TTTTTGGGGGGGGGGTCTTTCCCTAAATGTTGTTACAGTCATGTGTAAAACAGCAGGCATGCAATTATGGTCCTGCAGAAGGAGTTGATACAGTTCAATCTCTAGCAGGACCTGTGAGTCATTGCGCCTGATGCATGCCACACATCAAGGCTCCTAAATATTAAGACATCTCATACTGTCTGTTTGGGCTGCTTCCCCTCCCCTCCCTCCATTCACTAGTAAATTTCAGGAGTATACAGTGATTAAAATTGTTTTGTTCTAACAGAAACTGTTAAATATCTGAAATAAAACATAGAAATGGGATAGCTTCTATTTAAGTAAGGGCTTTGAGAATTTCCTCTCCAGTACAGTACACTGAAAAAAAAAAAAAGGTATGATTCTTCTTGAGACTTAAGAGGGAAAACATTTTAACAGCTTCTCGCCTTTAAAACTGTGAGTTGCATACCAGTCTGCCACCCAGAATATAGCAACATAGGAAGCTACCCTATAACAAATATGGGTATTAGTCCATCTGGCCTAGTATTCTAGATATTGACTGGCAGTACTCTGCAAGATGAGGCAGATTTTTTCCCCCAACTCTCCTTGGAGATGCCAGGGATTGGTTTTCTGCATGCAACACATGTACTCCATTGATACATGGTCCCTCTTTAACTTCAGCACGAGTTTTAGGTGGTGTTAATACCCATCCATGTAGCTGGTGAGCAGCTCCTGTTCCTTGTACTGCTTCTCCGGTACTTCCATCTACATCTTATCTAAAATACAATGTGAACATTGAATTCAGGGCTTAGATTACACAGAATTTTCTGACCAAAGTTATCACTTTGTTGCATTCTCATCTGTTCTATATGGAACAGAACACCTGAGTCTGATAATAAAGTGCCAGTGTTCAACACAACCTCAGTGTTTAAAATGGGATAATGAAAGATGACTAGTTATTCTTCAGTTTTAGGCTGTGGCTGTGAGGGCAGCCTTTAGGGGAAAAAGGATATTTAGTATTTTTAGTTAATACTATGCTTAAAAATTTTCTAAGGAATGAGCAGATATTGAAATATAAGACAGCTTCTGCTGCTTCCCTTCACCCATGATATGGATGGTCACCAGGAATTGGATAACAGACTAACTCAGTGTGGGTGAAACAACCCTTAGATCCAAGCCAAGGGTTGTCAGGGTGGCTTTTTTCCAGAAGCAAGCTATTCTGCGAAAATGATTGAGATTCACATGCATGATAGTCCACTGTGGCTACTCCTGTGGAAACCCTGTATTTTTAAACTTAAACTTTTAGAACGTTCAAACACATATTCATACCTTTTTTTTAAATGCAGCCTATAGCAGCTATCCATATTCTGGTACCTCCAGATATTGGATCCTTGGCCTGGGCCAATATGGGTGTTTCTATGTTCTTAAGATGGATGGAAATTTGAGTACAACCAGTCTGGGACTCACCAGGTTAGAGAAGGCTGGCTTATTGGTACACTGCACGTCGGTTAAAGGAGAAGTTATTTGTAAGCAGGTAAAATGTTTCACTTACTGAGTAAATCCAGGTTCCTGTGCACACGGCAATTTCTGGTTTGATACAGGTATGTGCATGGTACTGGATTTGACAGTACTAGACAGATCTGTGTTTTTGCAGATGAGATATTGGGCCCTTCAAGTTTTCTAAATTATAACAAATTATTTTAATTTCTGTGTTTGAAAACTGGTTTCACTACAAGCCATCCCATATTTTTTCCATCTTTTAAAAACTTGCTTTAGTTGCTACCTTGTTACCTTAACGTTATATTTGTATGCATCAGTGTAGCACACAGGCTTGAGTTCAGAATAAGCATCTTTTGAAGTGTAGTTTAATGACTAAGCCTTTTTAGAAACTAAGATCATCATAAATAAAATATGTAGTGCCATTTCTCTGTAAACAATATCCACCTGTTAGGCTTATTAAAAATGTCTTAAATACATCCTGGGTGAGGTAGTTGCTGACTTGCAATATGTACTTGTTATGAGTAACCCTGTGACTTCCAAAATGTTTCATCCATTGCAATCCTTTTTAGCTGTTCTAAATTCAAGGCTATGGCTTCTTTTATGGATTCAATCTCATATTTGGCCTTCCTTCTCCAATTTTCCCTAGCATGATTTGCTTTCTCATGACGTGTACTTGCTTTCTCAAGTATGGCAGTCTCAGTCTTGCCGTTTTTGCTTCTAAGGAAATCTCTGGATTGTTTTGATCTAGCACCCACTTGTTCATCTTTTTTGTCATTCCAGGGTATTCACAATACTCTCCTCCAGCACCATGTTTTGAATGCATCAGTTCTCTTCCTGTCATCTTTCTCCTCAGTTCAGCTTTTACACCTGGCAATATAATAGGGTACATTCTGACTACTAGGTAGCTCATTGCAATGGAAGGTATAATTTCTTTTACTGTGTTTCAATAAATAGCTACATTTTCCTATTACAGGCAGTCTCCAGGTTACATACGAGTTCCATTCCTGAGAAAATATAAATTTGTAAGTCAAATTTGTATGTAAGTTGGATCATGTATAGTCAGCCCTCCACATTTGTGGCAGTTAGGAAGATAATGTAATATCTAGTATTGGAAGATATTACTCTGGAAGATAATGTGATATCTAGTATTGTTTTTCTTTTGATCATGATTCTATAAAGCAGGAATGGACAACTTGTAGGCCATATCTGGGAGACACAGATTTCCCTCCCCTGACCAAAAATTTCCTCCCCAAGCAAATTTTTCTAGATTTTTTGAACTACAACTGCCACCACGGTGGCCATTGGTCAGATTATGTGAGTTGCAGTTTAAATATCTGGAGGATACTGAATTAAAGAAAGAACAGTTAGCTCTATAACTTAGTCTAATGTTTATCCCAGAGGAATTTAGTTCATTGCAAGCTGCATCAAAAATATATTATAAGCTGAAAGGCTGCAGTTAACTCGCACAGGCAAATTGCATAATATGGGTGACATTATGAGCACAGATGCCAGATTGTAACAGATGAATCTACTTTTATTTTTAGTATTTCTATCCCATTTTTTCAAAGAGAAAGCCAGAGGGTGTTAACAATACCTTTTAAAATGCAATATTAAATATACAGTAAAATCTGATAGAGCATAAGCAGTTATATTAAAAAATTAGTAACAGTAAATCCAGACTTGGAAATCAAGCCATGAAATCTTTATGTGTCCCTATCAAAACCCCTGTTTTAAAAGAAGCACTTAACCTTGACAGTTCCTATAAATGTTAGCTGCATCCCTCCCCCGCCTTTTTTTTTTTTTTTTTTTTGCACATTTAGCAGCTTGGAAAAGTGTGGAAAAGGTAGAGGACATTGAGTATTTTCAGGACCAAACTTAAAACATAAAGAACCCTGTGAACTACTTACTATCCCTTTCTTAAGCAAAGATTTCAGTCAACATATCCAGAAAGTATCAGGTTGGGGAAGGATGGCTAACGCCCATAGATATAATTGGTAGACTAGTCCTGTCTTCCTGGCTTTTGGTTTCCTTGGACGCCTTCTCGCATCCCTTGTAAACTCAGACTTCTTATTGGATCATTTGGGGAATTTAAAAAAACATGTTTTTCTTCACAAACACTTCTGCTGCTGCTGCTGCTGCTGGCCCATGGAGACCAGTGAGCATGTAGAAGCTACTATATTTTTACTGTCCCTGCTTCACATCCAGATTCATATGCTCTTAGCCACCCGAGTTTCTGTTGGAGGGAATGACAAACATCCTAATACATTTAGAAAGCATAGTCATACTAAGCTCTTACCATTTCACTTGTGTTTATTGTCAGTAATTTACTTTAGCTGATGCCTAAGTTGGTCCCAATATTAGTTTGTGGACCAAAAGAGGGCTTTGGAATGTAAATGGAACTATGATAGAAACCACAGCATTGAAGAGAAGGGTGTTTGAGAAGCTTTGGCTGTGAAAAGAGTTAAAGAACTTCAGCTGCAATGTAATTTTTTTTTTCATACTGTTGGTTTAGCCTGTCATTAGGGGGCTTTAAAGATATTTATATCCTGAAATAGTTAAAAAAACAAGCAAGCAAAACCTCCAACAGCCCTGCTTTCTTTTGAGGTTACAGTAACGTTGAAGTTACTATATTAACTTCACAGTGAAGGTCTACATGAAAGGAAGCTAAGAAAGTTTTATCTAATGCCAGGAATCATTTTGATTCATCAGATCAACCTTCCATAACTTATTGCTCTCCAGATGTTTTGGACTTCAACTTCCATCAGCCCCAACCATCATGCTTGATTGCCAGGAATGCCAGGAGTTATAGTCTGTTTGCAAACAGTTTAGAAAATATGCAGTTACATACCCATAACATAGTGTGGGTCAGCTACCTTTTTTCTTCCCTGTGATGAACCAGCAGTAGAAAATCGGCTTAGAAAGTTCTTGGGACTAATTTAATTGAGTTGAATGAAATTCCCTTTGCTTGAAGACTGTGCATGCCTGCAAGCTGATGGTATTGTAAGGTATTATGGTTTTAGAAACTGGCCAAAAGGACCATCCATAGTCTTCTGATATGAGTCAGAGGTTGATCAGACATTACATTTTAGGGAAGAAAGTCAACACCTTAGCGTAAGTGTGGGCAATATGTGGTTCTTAGATGTTTTGTCTTATAGTTTGCATTTGCTTTAGCCAGCATAGCTAATGGTATGGGATGTCGGAAGTTGCAATCTCAGCAACATTTCAAGGGCCACAAGCTGCCCACCCCTGCCATAACACCTGGGAGTACAGCTTCTAATACAAAATGTCATATTCAAACTGTACTGTTACTTTATGCTGGATCTTTGACTCCTTGACCTGTTCTCCCTTTTAATGGCGGGATCACTGGGTGAGGTATTGCCTAGCAAGAGTAACAAATACCTTGGGTACTAATACATCCGGAATAGTTCAGCATTTGAGAATTGATTGATTTGTGCTCACTTGTGATTGCAATATGGTATTTGAGGAATCTTTTTTCTAATTATCTGCAACTTTCATTTTATTAGGTCCACTTTCCAGATACAGAAAGAGCAGAATGGCTGAATAAGGTAAGTTTTTCCTACTGCCAAGAACATTTGATAATAGAATTATATTTATTGCCCCTTCACATTAAGGCATGCATTTTGGCCAACTCGTACCATACACTTTCCATAAGCTCAGAACCTCTTGTATAGGACTTGAAGGTCCGCTTCAGAATACAGAAGAGGCAATCAAAGTCTCCCCCTTCTGACATTAGTAGGTATTAATTTCATGTCAGATAGTTCCAGTACTAAATAAAAAGTAGTAATTTCAGGGTTTGCAAGTTTCTGAGATCCAACTTTCTAGAGAAACTTTGAAACTGTATTCCTGGTGGGAAAGAAGTCCTAGGCTGATGAACACCTAATTTTTTTGCCGTGGGTTATTTTCCATAACTGATACGTTACTAAAAGTTATGGTAACCATGAGGCAGATTGTCTTAACTTGCTATGATTAGCAAATACAGATGCAAACCTTTTATTGAATTGAGATCCGTAATTTAAGAAAATGATCCTGTTGTTACTGTAAAGGTGAACTATTGCTGCTATATTGGACAATACAAGGCAAATTGATGATGAATACAACATAACCAGTAATCTCTGTGTCTAGGGTCTCCATTGTGGCTTTATTAATATGATTATATATCAGAAAAGCTTACAGATGTATGTATTTTATTAGATGATATTTATATCCCATCTTTTTCCTTTGCTTTTCTTTTTCAGACTGTAAAACACATGTGGCCTTTCATTTGTCAGTTTATTGAGAAACTTTTCCGTGAAACGATAGAACCAGCAGTGAGAGGAGCAAACAGCCACCTGAGCACATTCAGTTTCACAAAAATTGATATAGGACATCAGGTAAATTTCTTGATAGATTGTACATAGTCTCTACAAACACGATTCACATAGGACATCAATTATTGTATTGAGATTAGGATTGTACTTTTATAAATGACTGATCAGGGCGAGTGAATAGAATTCAAACAAGCTCTAAATTAATTTGTTCAGATTGACCCAAGTTCCTATTGTGGCAGGATTTTTCCTTGAAGTGATTAAAAAGACAAACCCAATCATTTGCTGTTCTGGAAAGAAAAATCTGATTCTGTTGGTCTGTGTTAATTTTTGGAGTATTTTTTATTTTAAAAATATTTCAGTATTTTGTCACCATTGTAACTGTTTTTGGTGAAGCAGCAGTACATATTTTAAGCAAAATATTCAGTGGAGTCTTGCAGTATTGGCACTTGGCAGCAGAACCATGACATATTTCAGTCCAGTGGTGGTGTATGTCAGCTTTGTGCTTTGGTAGATTTTGTATTAATAATTCTTGGGAGACTGTGTCCTTCCTATTTTGCTAGTGGTCAAACACAGTATGCTGTGGTGATGGAACAACTGAAGTGGAAGAATTGCAGACTCTCATATTACAAAATCATTTACGTTTTCTAAAAAACAGTGCTTGCAGTCTAGATGCCTATTGGACAAAAGTTTTCTCCTTTGGAAAAACTTTCTCAGAGCACAAGACACATCAGCCCTAAAGCACTCTTGTTCAGAGCAGATACTGTTTGCTCAGTTCTGCTCTGTGTTGATTTAACAACCAGAAGTTATGCCCTGCTCTGCTCATAGCAGTTCAAATATTAGTTTTATTGTTAACAGTAACAGACAAGCATGCCATAAGCATTTGGACCGAGATTGAGACTGACATAACTCTTGAACATTTTACTAATGTGAATTATGTTTTTTGTCAGCATCTCTTCATTTAATTGAAACACAGCTTCTGGGAGTGTTCTCATTTATTTGTTTTCTTTGATAAGTCTCCATGATGATATTTTCTAGAAATTGCAGGAAGTGCTGACATTTTACTTAGGTGGATGCAAATGACAAAAACAATTCTTGCCTCTCTTGTTTTATTTATCTAAAATGTATCCTGCCTTTCTGCCTGCCAGCAGGCCTCTAAGGCGGCTTAACAATAACTGAGAAAGAATATATAAAGTGGGGTGAGGGCTGATAGAAATGCTGGGGGAACAATGATGGGAATAGCCACTCCTAGGCATTAGATGCTGGTGCTGATGTGACTCTTTATACTGGTGCTTTTCGAAGGTAAAGGAATCGTTTCCCCCACACGTGTGCAACGCATTTAGCAGTACCACTTCTGGGAACATGGGGCAACTCCTCACATGTATAACTGGACAACCTCTTCTGTGTTGTAAGGGGATGATGAAGGCTCTGGAAGAGATTTAGGTGATGTGTGGCTCACCAGGTGTTAATCTGCAGTTTTCATCAGCTGTGACCAGCTGTGAGGGCTAATGGGAATTGCAACCTAATAACATCTTGGAAGGCTGCAAGTTGCCTGCCCTTGCTATAGGGGAATGATTATAGAAAATATCCATACCCAAGGCCTAGCCTAAGCATCTACACCAGCAGAAGCAACATCTGTATTTTAAAAACAACAAACACTTTCTGGTAAAATACTGAAGATAGAATTACAGTGCCTTAATAGGTTTGCAACAATATTTACTGATTGTCCACTCACCATGGCCACCCACCATATTACCCATGTATCCCATTTATTGGTTTTGCTGCACATGCATCAGGAGTATTCAGAGAACCCAGGGGCACTGCAAGCTATTTTTGTAGGCATTTTCTCAATCAGCCCCTTGACCAAGCTGAAACCCATATAACATTTAACGTTTTAACAGTAGATTATTCCCTTAGCACTGATGGTGAAAGTGGAAAGAGAACATTTTCTTTATGTAATCTTGCTTGCCTAGTGTCTTGAGTGTACTTTTTAATCCATACATGTGACCAGGTGAGCTACATTATAATATTTATGTAGGGATGCAAAAAATAACCTTCATTCTGACATAGTGCTGATTTTGCTTAAATAGTTTACCTCATAGAATTAGTTCATGGTATTCCGTGAATTGGGTTTTTTTTTTCTGAATCTTGTATCCAAATAGCATTTTTTTTTTAAGGGACAAGCTTTATTTTTAAACCTAACTTTGTAGAAAAATTCCTCTATTAAGTCTGAAATTCTTACTTTAGCCTCTTAGGATTAATGGTGTTAAAGTATACACTGAAAATGTGGATAAAAGGCAGATCATTCTGGATCTTCAAATCAGGTAATCTTTATAAGTGTGTTTAAGTTGTAAATGTACATGAAAATAATGTTTTATTATCTATTGCAGAAAATATTGTAAAATGCAAAATGGTATGGAAGAAAAGTGCCTTTTTGTTTCTATAAAAATTGGGAAAACTACAGAAGTCTTAATAGCATGATTATATAACATCAGACAAGGAGGTACTGTTATACAGACAAAAAACCAGACATTAGGATTGTGTAACACTGCTTCATAGCATGAAAGGGAAATAAAATGTTATTGTACTTTCTCATATGTGTTTATATATCCTGTCTCAGTAATAAGGGATTAATTTCTCCTTGATCAAATTTGCCAGTATAACCATGATAAAAGTAGCAATAAGAAAACTGTCTTCATGTAACTTAATAGACCTGCTTCCCTGAGCAAGAGGGCCAAATGGAGAGGAAATTGCATATTTGGAAACAAACATTGCCATTTCTGTTCATTACTGAAATGACAAGATAAAATATGAAAAGAAATGTTAAATATGCAGTAGTTTTAGTATCTTGAAAGCTCACAATTTAAAAAAAACAAAACATGGTGACACACAACATACTTGCATTCCTTGCAGTAGCTAAAAGTTTGTTTTTCTTCTTTAAATTCATGTTACCGTATAGTAAAGGATTTTACAGTAGTCTAGATCCAAACTAGGAAGCTTTGGACGTGTGTTTTTCAATGCTCCCCTCTCCCCCACATTCTGAACTCTTTTGAAACTAAGGGGAGTTTCAAAAGCAGAAGTCTACTGTTCAGAGGATGAGATATTGTATTGTACATGCCAAAAGTATTTGGCCCAGGATGAAAATCTTATTAGGTGTGCCTAAATATTTGGCCAATAGCTAAGTACAGTATCTACTTTAAGCATTAATTGGACCTGCCACTACTGACAGAAGGTGTTTGCTTTTACACATGAATTGACAAATAATTATTGGCAGTTATACCCATATAAAGCTTCTCACTGGTTCTTCCAACTCTAGTTATCTTGAAAATTTTGATGAAAATAAAGTGACTTTAATGAATTGCCTGGTAATATGTAAAATGTCTTTCTGACATGTTTGGGATCCACAGATTAATTTAGCCCTACATAGCTGACAGCCATTATGCACTCGGTGGATAAAGTGTTCTGCCTAACTCAGTGTCCAAATAGTAGATCATGTTTCATACAAACTGTAATCCAAATATCTAGGCCAAGAAATATGGGTTGAAGGCAACAGCTTCATTACTGAATTACATTGGTACAGCCATCTAGCCTATTTACTGACCTTGTTCAATTCTGCTGGGTGGTTTGGTATTGTGAATCAACATAATGCCAAAGATGCTAATAAAATAAGAAAAAATCAAGATTTAGAAGCTTTCTTAAGATTTGACTAGATGCATTTTAAATAAGAAGTTCTAATGGTAGTTTTTTACTTAAGCATTGTTGCCCTGTCAAATAACAAGATCTAGTATAAATAGCACATGCATTAGTTAGGGTATTAGGTACTGGGGAGTGTATGGATCTAGCCAAGCAACACTGGATCATAGCCCCCCCCCCCCAAAAAAAAACCCAACAACTTGGTGTTCTCTGAAGCTGAATTCAAGACAAACCACATGGAGAGACTGTTGGCTTGGAAACCAGTTTACTTGGGTGGAGCTTTACAGCTGTTCTTAGGAAGTGTTGCACTTCTAAAAAACAAAATGCATAATTTGGGAGTTGTCCTGGACTCCAGGCTAACTGAGGAAGGCCAGGTGGCTGCAGTAGTGCCAGCTCAGGGGACATCTGGTGTTCTAGATTTCACCTGAAACAAGGTCTTCCACTTGAAGAAGACCTTGTTTCAGTTAATCACATAGTGGCGACATTTAAGCAAGACTTGTGTTGGTGGGAATGAGGATCAGCAGCACTAGTTGCCATTGTGTTTCAGAGACCACTCTAAAGCTTTAATAGATTTGAGATCAAACTGCTTGAAGAACCATCTTCACCTATATCAGCTTCCTCTCAGTAAAAGATCAACAGTTGCCCACATTTGAGAGCAGTTCAGTGGTTATTTTACCAGAAAGTACCTTTTCTTCAGTAGCCCTACACCTCTGGAAAGCATTGCCGTCAGGAATCTGTCAGACCTCATCATCACAGGCTTTTAGGAAGGCCCTGAAGATTTACTTGTTAACTCTTGCCTTTTCCTGATTCTATTTAATCAGACTGTTCTGGATTGTAACTGAATTTGTGCTCCAGGTTTTTAGTCCAGGACAAATGCTTCATGGTTGTGTTTGTTTTATGAACGCTGGCTGCTGTTTTCCTGGGTTTTGTTGTTGACTGTTGTTATTAGGGTTACCCTTAATAATGCTAATTACAGTGAATGTTATGGTTAGAGGTTGCCTTAGGAGGGTTTGTACCCTGAAAAGTGACCTAAAATATTTTAAATAAGGAAATTTTTAAACAGTAAATATCAGTATACGTTTTATGTCTAATACAATATTGCAATATGTCCTCACACTTCTCAGTTTCGTTGGCAATTGTGAAATTGACTTGGAGATCAAGAGGTATTTCTGTAGAGCTGGTGTGAAGAGTATTCAGGTAAGTTCTATTTTTCTACCTGACATAAAACTACAGTCTTTCAGATAGAAATTTCATAGAATCATGCTATCTAACTCCAAACTGGAACCAAAACTCTTCTGTTTGTTTTAACATAGTTCTAAGTATTCAGGTGCTGACAGCTTCCTACAGTAATATATAGCTATTCTAAACATTGTACCCTTAATTTATGCTTGGTATTCTTACACTTGTCAATGTTTTTCTTCTTTTAGATTCATGGTACAATGAGAGTTATATTAGAACCTTTACTTGGAGACATGCCCTTAGTTGGAGCACTATCTTTATTTTTCCTTAGGAAACCGGTAAGTGAAAAATCTCTAAATTCCTGCCAATTCTATGGCTGATTAACACAAAACCATAAGGCAGAACTGCTGAGATTTTTGGTTTATTGGTAGTGTGTGAGAATGTTGTTGCATCCTCCCCGATAACTCCCACTTGGCTCCTTTTTTAAGTAGGAACAGCTACAATCACAAGGAATTTATAGATTGTTGAGCATAATGTTCAGACCTGGGCTCCTGGGTTGTCTTTGCTTTGTCAGGGCAGGGTTTGTACTGGTCTTCTAGATTGTGGCTTGTTCGTGGAATGACAGCCAAGAGTGAGATTAAGACATAATTCTATATTTTGTATGGCTGGTAGGTTCCTGGTTTCTGTAGTAACACCCACTTGCAGGAGGAGCCAAGAAGGAGCACCTGGTTGCTTACAGTAGCATCTTTGCTCATTACCAGTAAAGGCAAATTTCTGGTTAACCATTTTGTGCAAATGAAGTCAACCTTACAAATTGTTGCTTCTTTAATTTAATATACTGGTAATAAAAATAACAAAATCTCGAGCTTGAATCTAGAACCTGCTTTGTACAGATAAAAGAGCTTCTTTCCTCTATGGGAGGGTTCTGTTTCAACTGAGTGTTTTGGTTGTCGGAGCAGAAATAGAGGTGATCTTCACTGATTCTCTTCTTGTTCCTCTGCACCTTGAAAATCAGATCCAAAGGACTAGGCTTTTTTTACATAAATATGGATGGTAATGCTTTGGACTGACATAGGTGGAGGGTGGGAAGAACTGGGAAAAATCACCTCTCCCCCTTCTTGACAGTTGGCATGTCATTAGTGGAATTCTTCTCAGTGGATGCTGTTGGGTGAGGAGAAAACTGCAACTAATCTATTGTATGTCACTTTACAATTTCTGGTTAACAATAGCATTCTTAGGAATTTAGCTTCTTAATCACACTTTTATATAGAGCTCAGTGACAACTTGTTTTGAAGATAAATCTAGCAGGAGTTGCAGAGACTAGGCTTGTCTCCATTTCCTGACCCAAACTGGGTTGCTGATAGAGTAGACTTGCTGGTCTGATGGATATAACCACCACACTTTCCTCTGCAGTGGAAACCGGGGCCGATTGGGCTCCAGGGGTCACCACTTGCTGACTGTAATCCAGAAGGTGATATTAGGACTCATATGTTCCTGTCCTTTTTTGCGAAAGTACTTATGGAAAGTACTGTCTGATGAGTAACTTAAAAAAACTCAAATCTGCCCAGTTTACACTCTCTCATTTAGGGCCACCTGCTTTCAGACTTTGCAGAGATATAATTTCTGTCATCAAAATAAATACCATGTTGAATCACTAATGTTTAGAAACCAGAGATTTATGACAATGGACATAGTTATTGTAGGTCATTTTTAGTTTGTGTTTTCTTAAACTGCATGGTTCATTAAGCATACTCCAACTGAGAATTAGACATTAGGTTTCATTGCATCAGGAGCAGGCAACATCGTGCCCATGGGCACCAGGGCTGCCTTGGACGCTGTCCTTGGCACTTTTCAAGATGTTTTATCCCTCTAACTTTTTTTTTATGATTTGACGTGTTTTCTTCTGGCAGATGGGATTGCTGTGAATAGAGTTCTGTTCCTTCTCTGGGTTCTGTTAATGAGTTGGGGCCCAGAACCCACCTCTGTCTTTTGAACAGTTCGTTAGTATAGTTTGCTATACTATCCATTTTATCCTGGTGCCAAGGACAGTTCCTCAAGTTGTCAAATGTGTCCATGGCTTATAAAGGTTCCCTGCCTCTGCATTACATCATTAGCTAAAAGGAAGTAAAACCTGAACCCCAATGTAACGTAATTCAAGTGGGCTTTCAATAGAATTCTTAATTTCTGCACAGTGTCTTTTGTAGGCTCGGAAATGAAATGAGGCAGCACTTCATAAGCTCTATATGCCCTCCCCTGATCCTGTTGTTTTGCATCTCTGGATCTACTGTCTGCTTCTCTTCTATCTTCCCTTTTCTAAAATATTCTCGGATGTGCAAAACCCCAAATATTGCAAAGTTATGTAAATCTGGAGAACTTTTAAATGACATTTCATTATTTTCATTTCATTTTAACAATATTTTATATTTAGGTTTACTTTAATGACGAATCATACTGGAGCAAGATTTAAAGCAGTTAAAACTTCACAATCATAATGACCCAGATGGAACAAAATACATGGTGGGGAAAATTAGTCATCAGACAGCCTTCTTTAAAGATAAGCAAAAGTCTTGGGAAGGTGCAGTAAAATTCTTCCAGTCATTGCAGATGAATAAGCATCTGACCTTGTTAAGTCAACTTCAGTGAAAATCATCTTTTTCATAAGGCCATGTTGCTTTGTTCCGTTGTAATGGAGAATGCATGTTTCCTTAACCTTGTTGTAGAAAGGATACCTTCTTACTTTAAAATGCCCAAGAGTGAGAAATGGAAAATAGGAAACCAAGGTAATGGTGAGATTTTAGTGATTTGTGGGACTTGACCTTTATATTGTGAACTATTTTGCCTTTCCTTACTGTCTTCAGATCTGTGCACATGTGAGCCTGTGTTCTCTCTCCCTGCTTCTCACTCCCAGGTCCACCTTGCTTTTTTCCCTAGTGCAAATGGGATGCATTGTTGCCTTTCCCTAAAGCTATCTGCAAATTCTGCAAAGCTTCAGAGATAGAAATTTCTTATGTAAAATTAACAAATGATGACTCATAAGCCAAGGCAATATTCTGTGCATGCCCACTTTTGTAGTTTACAGTAAATTAATTAGAAAAGCTAGTGCAATTCTTAATGGGTTTTAGGGTCCATTTTATGATACGTGTTTCATTTCCCACTCAGTATGGTAGTTGGAAATCATTTTTTGTGTAGGATGGAAATTTTACTAGTCATTTTTTGTTACCCAGAATCAGTGATTGCATCTAATAAAAATCTCTCTGCACTGTTTTTGTGAGGAAAGAAACAGAGGAGTTATTTGGCAACTATTTACATTTTTTCATCTTCTCATGTTTTCCAGGCCAGAGTAACAACTGGCAAAAATTCAACATACTCTGCAGTCAGTATCTGTTACTGGCCTCAATGACTATATATGGCAGCAGTGCCTAAATTAATAATTCTGAACATATTTGTCTAATGAGTTTGCTTAAGCCTTGTATGGCTTCACGGCCATACAAAGATGTTGTCAGGCATCCCTGAATTTATAATTTCTACAAAATTAGTCATGATCAAGCTTACAGGATGGCTTTACTGTGCTTATCAAGAGCTGTTCAGCTAATATGCTAGCAAGTATTTTAATAGCGAGCACAGGAAGAATATAAAAATGCCTTGGCTTGATAAATGTTACACATGTGGACATTTTGAAAGGAAAAGTTGTCTTCAGTTTAAGCAAAAACCAGAAGATTCCTTTAATTAATTCCTTTAATTATTGGTAAATACAGCTTGCTTTTTGTAAACTGAAACTCCTCCTCATCCAATCTGAGACTGATTTGAGTATTGTAAGAGGAAGAATATCCGTGCTCACCTAATGGGATTGGGATGATGTCTTTCAGCTATTTTTATTGAGACCAGATCTCAAGGTTTGCATGGTTAGATGTTTGTTGTTGTTGTGTGGCATCTGGTTATCTCCAACTTACGAAGACCCCATGAATGGAAACCCTCCAAAATGTCCTCTCCATGACAGCCCCACTTTGCTCTTCTAAATTCAAGGCTGTGTCTTCCTTTATGAATTCAGTCCATCTCCTTGATTAGATGCAACATTCCCCATTTCAGGCTTCAGCATAGCTGCAGTGATTTGAAACAGGTCTACCAAATTTCAAACATTTATTCACAATGAAAGCATGTTAACATGTGTGAGTCATTCAAGCAGAAAAGTTCAGGTCTTTTTCACACAGACTGCGGTATGAACTGAAATGGACTGGGTTGTTTTAGAATGCAGGCTCATGTGCCTGAATATTCACATGTGAGAAAACCATTCCCTGCACAAAGAAATCTAGTAAGTTATGGAGAAGGCTAAAACTTTTTTCTTAACATATAGCTCTCTCTTTATAATCATATATTTTTGTATGTGTGCAGAACATTCAGTCTTTGAGGAACACCTTTGTTATAGGCAACATGTAAATAAAAAGGTCCTCTGTGCAGTTTAAAGTGATACATGGGCTGTTTGTGAGAATTAGACTTGTAGCAATTGGAACATTTGTTAGTACACATACCAATATGGATTGTAGATAATTTCTCCCATTTAAAAGTGAAGGACTTTGTTGGGAGCTGTTTTTTGCAGTCAAGGAACTGCCGTGGGGGGCGGGATAATTGAAGAACAGAGATAACCCGATGACCTCCTGTGTCTGAGAAATCGGGAACAGGTTTGGTTCTCATTGTAGCAATCTTCTGTAGATTGTTTCTTGTTTTTCTACTAGCAAGGACTCAGTGGGAACCATTAGGTTCTACAGGAGAGGGTAGAACAAGTGAGGATCGTGAAGGAGGCAGGTAATGTCACAGCAGAGGAGGATGTTGGGAGCTTTTATATATTGTTCAAGTTATCATACAGAGGTGGTCGTATGTGCTTGCTTTTTTGTTAAGTAGGAAATTGCTACTTCTCCCTAGTACTTATCCATTGCTCCATGTGAAACGTGACTTACAAAACAAAATTTATTTGACCTTTGTGTAGTAATTAAAAGTTGTAGAACAAGAAGAATTAATCTTATATCTTCTATGAGGCAGGATAATCCCATCTCTATATAGTACACTAAAGTTCAGAACATGGTGTGCTTCATAACTAACGTGGCACAGAATAATTCAATGTGTTTGTTTAAACGTGTGTGCCCTAAAGGAACTGTAGAATTGTAGCTTTGCCTGCTATTTACTTTCAAAAACTTTGCGAAGTGTTATTTTCTCAGTCCTTACTCATTACTATAACCAAAACTCAAATTTTATTTGCTTCTAAATCTAACATTCTTATTAACTAAGGATCAATGTAGCAGTTTTCTACCAGGCTACTTGGAGAGATCAGGTTTTATCCAGTAGTTGCCCATGGATTCCACAATCTGAATTCAGCCTATGCAGAGGATGAAGATATAAACTAAATTGTGTATGGGGTTCATTTTGGATCTTGTGTTAAAATGGTGCTTTAAAAGGGGGAACATCATAGCGTTAGTCTCTCAAATAACACATACCAACACTCTTACTACCTCTTGTGTCATAATGGGAAGAGGTACTGAATCACAACTGAGTGAGGGCTTCATCACTCAATCTTTTATAAAGGGAAGGGGCCCTGGACATCTGCCTCAATGCATTGCAAGACTGCCGCATCCATCCTACATAAAATATATATTCATTAATGAGCATGGAAAATCCGTGGGAACAGTTACCTTCTGAGTTTTGGTACTGACAGGTCTTCCTGGTTAAGGTGATCTGATGTATTGCCTTCCCAAGAATGATTCAGGAAGCTTGGTTTGTACACCACATTGTTTGTTTTATACACAATCTTTTATCTTTCTTTGCTGAGACTTGAGATCCATATTTAGTTGCCGGCTGGTGGGTATGAATGCTCCCTATTATGTTCCTGATCATTATGTATGGGTGTGAAAGCTGGACAGTGAAGAAAGTTGACAGGAAGAAAATGGATGCATTCGAAACATGGTGCTAGAGGAGAGCTAAGTTGACCTTAGATCTTATCAGATCAAACCAAACTTTCCCTGGAAGCAAAAATGATGAAACTGAATCTGATGTACTTCAGGCACGTTGTGAGGAGGTAAGACTCAGTGGAGAAGACAGTGTTAAGGAAATTAAGGAAAACAGAAGAAGAAATCCAACAAGTTTGATGGGTCAGTTCCTGAAAAGAAGTTCATTGGGTTTATAAGAGTTGAACAGGGCTGTCAAGGACAGGGTTTTGTTTTTTTTTTTTTGGAGGGCATTAATTCATAGGGTTGCCATAAGTCAGAGACAACTTGATGGCACATAGCTGTTTTATGTTTTTTGTATTGTATTTTTATTGTTTTGTTCTATGCATTGTTGTAAACCTCCCAGAGAGCTTTGGCTATGGGATGGTATAGAAGTGCAATTAATAATAATACTGGTCAGGAACATCCATTGCTTGGGTTTGAAAAGTTGTTATTCTCAAAATTGAGCTGAGCCTGAAGTTTGAGGCCCATAAACTTACATGCCTTGCATCCTGTCAACACTTCCTTCCTTCTTTTTATCTTTCTTTCTTTCCTCAGAAAAGTTAATTTGTTTAGGAAAAGGAGGGAATGCTACCCCACTGCATTCCATAGTAACAGACGAGGTACCACTCCCCACACACCTCACATCTACATGTAGGCATTAAGTGGACTGGGAGCTGAACCTTCTGTGACCCTGGTGACAGGGCAGTGTCTTCTGCCGCAGCTAGCTTAGGGGGGAGCAGGTTAGGCCATGTGGAATGCAGCTTTTGTTTTTTGTATCACCTGGTGCCTGCTTGCTGCCAAGCCCAAGGAAATGCTGCAGTGCAGCAGTAGCGTGAGTCCCGTGAGCACAGCAATACATGCAGACCTCATGCTTAATGCTTTCTGAAGTGTGTGGCTGGACTGACAGATTCTGTGCCTGCTTAGGGGCCTTTCCAAGCAGTGCTGGCTGTGATGTTGAACGTACTGATGATTTTTCTTTGAACTGCTATTTCTGACAGGTTCCCTTTTCCTGTTGTCTAGCATGGGCTAGAGAAATGGTTGCCTTGATGCTGCAATGTGCTGACTTTCACGCACACCGACAATTTAAAATGGAGTTGAAAGCTACTGTTAGAAAAAAATAACTTCCATACACAGCTTTCATACTTGGTACAGAAAGAGAAAAGGAATAGCATTATCTTACTATGTTCACTGGTGAAGGATCTGTCTTATTTCAAATGCCCTTTGTATAGTGTTGGAAAAGATCCGAGGAATCTTTAATGAAGGCATCAGAGCTGGAACTGTGTTTTATACTCTGTTTTAAGCTTGCTAATGGATTATCATAAGATAGTCTAGCTCCTTCCAAGTCTTTGCTTTCTCCCGCCTACTAACATTGCTGACATCTTTGTGAATTGCATAGAAATTTGAAAGTTTCCCAATTTCTTAAAGCATCCTGCTATGGTTGGCAGCTTGTCTAAAATAGATGTATCTGCTTTAAGCTTAGTTACAGTGCCTTTTAAACTTCTTACAAAGTGTTGGAAAAAGGTGACTAGATCAGACAGCAAGTAGTCCAGACTAATAATAAACAAATATTGCCACCATTATGGCACTGGGTCAGGTGAATGGGGTTAGCCTTTTCTGCAGCAATTGTGCCAACATTTGAAACTCTCTCTGTAAATATTTATTTCATAAGTTCTATCAGAAACATTGTATAGAGTTCATTATGCAGTGAACCAATATGATTAGTTTAAAAGGTTTCTTTCCTTCTTGACCATTTAGACTTCTGAGATGTAATATAATAGTTCAGCCAGAGCTTGCAAACAGGGTACAATAATAAGCCAAGTAATCTTCAATAACAGGGAAATACCAAAACATTTTGCAGAGTGAAATTTTCAACAACACATTGCTTCTAGTTTATATGCAATGCAGCCACTTGTAATATGTATAGCATGCAACCTTGTAAAAGGTTAGCACTCATTTTTGAAGCATGTAATTCTTAACACTGAGAATAGTCCTGATTGATTTAGGTGGACTAGCCAGTGTAAATTTGTTTCAGAATAGCAGCCTAATATGTTGTAAAGAAGAAATTATTCTGGGATTATCCTGCTGTTCTTAGTCTGTAACTATAAATAAATTGTTTGATATCCATCCTGATATCGTGCAGGAGTTGTCAAAAGGCCCACAACACAAATGCTTTCTTCAGTTTCGGCATTTTGGCTAAAATTCTTGTGTGTCTTTATGAAACTGATTTGTTTCTACCTCTCTTACAACTGTCATAATGTATGACCCTTTACCCTGTTTCTTTAGCTGTAGGAATTATGACCAATGTTTAATACGGTTTTCATTTTTTCAGCTTTTGGAAATTAACTGGACAGGACTGACTAATCTTCTGGATATTCCAGGACTAAAGTAAGCTGAAAATATAATGTAACTATTTTTATAGATGTGTGAAATTTAGAGTGTGTGTGTTTAGCATGTATTCACAAAGAAATAAGGCATTTGGTTTCTACTATACTCTTTAGGGGACTTTGAAAATTATACAACAGTTGAATTTTAAGATAAACATACTATACAAAAATTAACCTTGTCACTGGTTCAGGCCTGCTGGGGTTTGTTGGCCTTTTTTCCTGTCTAAATTTGCAGACAATTGCAGCTTTTTGCAAAGATTTTTAATCTTTTTTCAGTAGAAACATAATTGACAAATGTGTACCACAGATGCAATTAGAATATTCTACAGATGTTGGTTAGATTTTTAAATATTTTTTACAAAGTCTTCATTGTATTAAATATGAACTTGAAACTAATGGTACATGAAAGGTTGCAGAAATGGCTAAAGGAAGTAATATGTGACATTAGGAATACTCTTCCAAATCCAAGCTATTTTGCAAAGCTACTAGGCTGATATACCGTGCATTGTTTGTTCTGACTTAAAATTTTAAGGAAAAGTGTTGTATTGAGAGAAAGATCTACATAATTTTAGATGGAAAAGTTGTGCTTACAAGTTTCATGTTTTCTTGTGAATCAATAGCTTTTATAATCTGCAGCGATTTAACATCTGGAAGTAAACAAAATGTTTTATGCAGTGAAAGCTATTAACATTCTAGCTATTCTTGGCTCACCCCTTTAAAGGAAAGAATGTAGCCATTCTGGCTTTGTTGCAGTTAGAGAAGTCTCAGTCTTGAGGTGGTAAATATCTGAGGTTAAATTGCAAGGCTCCACCCAGTACCTTAAGCTCTGAACTCTTATGTTTGCTTTTGGTTAAGACCTTTTCTCTTGGAGTGCTTAACTTGGGAAATGCTTAATCAGAATCTGTGTGCAAAATGTTCAGGCATAACTGTGTTCGTTATGATTGCAGCCACCAAATGCAATACATTCTGTTGAGTCTGAAATTCTTAAGATGATGGTTTAGTACCTCTGAGGGAAAAAACATGCCATGTAAAGTTTTTGATCACCCTGCTATATCTCACCTCTCATTTAGGAAATTGTAAACATACAGGAAAGGAAAAAACTTCCCTGCAGTCTCCCATTATAGTCAGTACATGATAGCTTCCATTGGTTAGGGATGCTGTTGCTCCAATCTGTGTGTGTGTGTGTGTGTGTGTGTTAATTATTAAAAGCTTTTATAGGCCATCCACTATGAGTGTCTCGGGATGGCTTACAAGAAATTTTACTGTGGTGCTCCTGGTCGATGTATTAACAGCTGCACTGGTGCTTTCATACTTACTCATTTACTATACGCTGCCCCAATTACTCACTCTGTGCTGTTCTTGAGTCATCAAAACTGATCTTTAAACTTAAGCACTTCAGACTTTTGTAGACGAATTTGCTTTTCTGCTAGAGAATTTTCCCTCTAAAACTGCTTCAAAATAACAGTTGGATCATTCTAGCAGCTCATATTTAGGGCATGAGTGCCTGAATGTCTCAGAAATCCAGCATGGTTGTTCTATATATAATACAGAAAAGTGTAGCTTGATTTCATTTTTTCTTCTTTCATTCCTGCTGCATTTAGACTGCTTAGAATTATTTTTTAAAGCTTTCATTGTTGATGCTCCATTTATGAGAAAATCCATCATGCCAGTTTATGCTACTGGCATAGTGCTAGATGTCACTTGAACTAGCTCCGCATCAATTGTATAAACAGAGCAGCAGCAATGGATACTACCCTATGCTTTTAAGAGGCTAACTTGCTACATCACTTTTAATTGAATTGACAGTTAGTCCAAGGCTTTTGAATGCTTTATAAGGATTTCAGATGCATTAGAAAGAACAAGATTGTATTGGTATTCTACTTGTTCTGTTCCTTTGAATAACACCTAGAATTTATTAAAATACAAGTAAGTTAAATATTGCCTAGGCAGCCTAGTACAGAATTAGGTGCCTTGTAAATTGTGTTTATCACTGAAGCTATGTATTCTGAAGTCTCTTTGTAGGAACCAATATCTGTCAAGTGTGGCATCTGCCATTTGCAAGACAGCAGATGTAAGAATAAGTTTCCTTAAAATGACTGATGTTAAGTCTAATTAATATATATTCAACCAGCTGTTGTTACAAAAATGTCAGCTTTTGATTAAACCTTGTCAGTACTTGTGGATAACACTAATTAAGGAAGTGCTAGAAAGAAAATCAGTGCAAACTGTGGACAAACAAGTGTTGGAAAACTGGAATACTGCAAGCCAACTGCATCCCATTTAAAAGAAAATAAACTCAAGCTTTCGCTGTCGATTTGAACTATACTGATACTCATTGAAATTGAATTTTTCTTAACCCGTATCTTTGGTACCCCAGGGAAAAAATACATTTTTTAAGTCTTTAAGAGCTCTAGGTACTGGGCTAGATTGAAAATTTTGAGGGCCCAGTGAACTCTAGAATTTTTCGTGCAGGGAGGTATGCTATGCTATCAGCTGCCCTTGTCACTGTCATTTAATAATTACAATGCTCCTATGTCATACTAGATTCATGCATATGAATACACCCAATTCTGTTCCTCATTCTGCTTCTCTGCAACCATTGAAGGCTACTAAAGCCTCCAGTCTTTTAAGGACAACTATTTTAAGCTAGATGGATGCTGGAAGGCATGCCCTTTCCCATGGACTCTAATGGACTATCACTTTTTATTCTTTGCCTGCCTGCTGTGTTGCAGTAGATTAATAAACTGTTTGTGGAAAGGCAGCTTAGTTATTTCCAGGAGGAAAAGGAGCTGAATTGTTTTTTGTATTTGATCATTGCTTTTTTTTTGGAGGAAAAAAAGATTCTTGATCAGAGCAAGTGGCATGCTTCAGTAAGTTCTGATTTGCTACATACAGCCTATCTGCATCATCTATCAAACCCTCCAGATATTGAGAGAAAAGAAAGTCCTTCCCATGATGCACACACTATTCTGATTTTTACTAAATGGATCTGTTTGCACGATTGAACAACTCATGGCTGTTATTTTGTCATAGCAGTGCTTGTTTTGTATGACTAGCCCTTAGGAAAGTGAAGTGATTAACCTGTATGCTTAGATTACATGAAGCAACATCTGCTTCATCAATAAATGTATGAAAGAATAACCTGATGTAATAAACCTTATACTTGATCCAACAGTATAATATACTCAACAGTTATGACAAAAGATAATCCAGGGAACAAGGAGAGCATTAGGCCATCTGCTTACTCTGAGCTACTATTTCCATCTTGTGGCCATTTAATGTAATGCTGGGATACATGCAAACTTTCAAACTTAATTTGTTTGCTTCCATTTTGAGATCCTTGTGCATTCTAAGTGGTAGATTTATTTCATGTATATATAGGACAAGACTGGTACTAGATGCAATACAGTAAATTCAAACAGCTCTGCCACTGCTTTTTAAACTAAGTTTTAAGCACAAGAAATTTCACAATGTTTGTTTGTTTGTTTGTTTGTTTGTTTGTTTTAAATCAGTCCATCTTTGACTACTCACAGCTTTGCTTTCCCTTGACAGCTTACCTTTGGCAGCTGCCAATAGAGTGTATAGGACAGCATCCCTGGATCAGTGTCCATCGTTGGTGTGGCTGCATTTTCTCAGCAGCCACCTCCCAGGGCATTGGTCAGGCAAGGCCATTCTGAATGCCTCCCTCCCAAGTGCTCACCTCCACACTTGTACAAGTCCTACTTCATCAGACAAAGAAAAATTGTGCAGATCTCTTGTGATTATAAGAATACTTTTAAAAGAGTTGACAAACCAGAGATAGAAGTCTCTGTAAATTTAATTGTTGTTTTTTGATTGGAAGGCCAAGGCTAATGGAAGGCAAATATGATGCTGACTTGCCTGAAACTTTGGTTATGGAGAAGCATATAAATTTCATGAATGAATAAATCCCAAATTTGACATTTTCCTATTCTGTACTGTTTAGTATCATGAACAACTGTGGCTTTACTCGGCAAGATAAGAAATATTCAAATAATGACAATTTGTAAAACTGTTGTGAATAATGCCTTGAAATAATTTTGCTCCTTTTTTCTCCCTGTTAGTGGTTTATCAGACACTATAATACTAGATATAATATCCAATTATCTAGTGCTTCCAAATCGGATCACTGTTCCTCTTGTCAGTGAGGTGCAGATTGCTCAGTTGCGGTTCCCCATACCAAAGGTAAGAAATTTCAGTAGAAAATCCTGATATAGTGTTCATCTATACCATTTGAGAACCTCTGATGCCTTCCTCTGAGTGCTGACCCCATAAGAGGTTCTCTTTCATGAACAGACCTATTTCTGAAACAAAGACTGAACAAATAATCTAAAGTAGAACTAGATAACTGTTCATTAATGTCCCTTTTCAGTGTAAGAGTCTGGTTTTCTTCAATTTTATCCACAACAGCATAGGATTTGCTTTACATTCCATCATAATATTATTTAGAAACCTGGAACCATAAGGATGAGGTAAGTTGGATGGGTCCTTCCAACCTGATTATCAAGTAACTGGGAGAACTCGTTCTGTTGTCTCTACTCTTATGATTCTGACCTTCTGAACATTACTATGGTAACCTAGAAAAAGCCATAACAAAGTGACTTAATATAAAGGGGCTGTAGGATGCAATGAACCCCTGTAGGTGGCTGCTTCCTGGTACAGTACATTCCATGTCCTGCCCATGCTAGAGGAGTTGTTGTTAGTAATTTCATTACTGTACTGCCCCATATTGTGACATATATTTAAACAAAATTATTAATAACATTTAGTTCCATAGCTCAAGTTTTCCTCTTGTTTTATATAGTGCCTACTGTAAATAAGTTTTAAAATGGAAAGTGTATAGAACTGCAGTACAAAATAAAAGCACTGTTATCAAGAGATGTCATATGTGCAGAAACTGGATAGTCAAGAGTGTGGACAGGGATATATTGGGTGCATAAGGAACTATCAGTAGAAGCCCCTCCTTTCCATTTTGTCTAATTCTTCAGATGATATTCAGAGGAGAGGCTTTTTAAAATCCTATTCTTATATGTGGTCCCCATCCAGGATATTGAACAAATCTGAACCCGCTTGTCTTTAGCGACTTAGTGGTATTAATGGCTTCCAGTGTTAATTGTTCTCCAATTTAATAGAGTAAAAACAAAAGTATGAACTGATTTCTGTTTTCTTTATATTCTGTCATAGACACTGATGTACACTTGCCCTTGGAACAGAATCAATTTTCTAGCCCTGTGGTACTGTGCAACTGACAGAACACATCACTCCAAGCAGTGCCCATCAGAATTAACTCAGTCTAGTTAATGACAAATTTATAGCTGGAAATACATTGTGATTTATTGTTGAATACTATGTGATAACTATTTTCTTGTGTTTTGCTAGGGTGTGCTAAGGATACACTTTATTGAAGCTCAGGATCTTGAGGGAAAAGATACTTACCTAAAGGGAATTGTTAAGGGAAAGTCGGATCCTTATGGAATCATTCGTGTTGGTAATCAAATCTTCCAAACCAAAGTAATCAAAGAAAATCTCAACCCAAAGTGGAATGAAGTGTATGAGGTACAGATCTTAAAATTACTGATAAATTTTGCTGTGGTATCCAAATTTCATTAAGGTGGTTCTAGAGTCATCAGGGCCAGCATCATATATTTTTCTTACATGGAGAGAATCTATCTCCCTCTCCCTCTCCCTCGCTCCTTTTTGCACATGGCACAGTGAATAGTATTGCACTAATAATTCCTACATTGCTGCATGATCTCTTCCTCTTTACCCCTTCCTTGTAATTTCCTCTCATTTGTGTTTGGTAATACCTTTATGTTAGATGTTAGATCCATGAAAATACTAATTGGGATACCACAGTAAGTTTTACTGAGTGGTTTGTTACTGAACTGGAACTGAAAGAGGAAACTCATAAATAGCCTAACACTGTGGTTTACCATTTTATTTTAATCCATCCACAAACAGCAAGTCTGGGTCTGTACCACCTTATCAACAAGATAAGCTACAAACCAGACACCAGATTTAGAATTTGGTTTTAAACTGTTGTAATGCACTGTGCTTATTACAATATCAGTTAAAACTGGTAGGGTCATCTAATGGTCTTTTCCAGTGGCTAAATATGAGGAACTGTGTAAATTGCATTCTTGATCCTTTTAGTTGTTATAACTATGAAGACCAAATGCAGTTTCTTTAATATTTTAGGATAACCTCTTGGGTTATTAAACAAGTTACAGTTCCTTGGAATTTTTTAGCTAAATCTTGTGACAGCTTTAGCCTGGTGTAAACTGAAAGAGATATTTTTCCACCCTCTTGGAATGTTCTAACTTAGTTCTGTAGCTTTTCTAACAACAGCTAGGATTGCATATGTGGCTTTTGGTACAGAATGGGAGGAAAAAATGCAAACTTCTTTTTTCGTAATATGCACACCACTTTGTCCATGTGACTCATGATTCATTGAGGCAGGAATTCTTGATCTCCAAACCCTCTGCTTGCAGATTAATTATAAATGCCTGGGTAGAGATTCCAAGTGCATTTTGAAATTAAGCATCTCATTCCACACTGAGGAAGATATAAACGAGCAGACTTTCATTATTTGTTTCTGTCTACATATATGGTAAATCACAATAGTGTATCAGCATCCTTTTACCCAAACCTGTATGTACTCTGCATTTACCCACCTATTTTGTATAGTTCTGTTATAATTGCTATTTGTATAATTTAGACACAGGCTTCAAACTGTATGAAATATTTATGTTGAAAAGAGTAAACTATTCTTGTTAACTCCAATATTTTCAGGCCTTAGTGTATGAGCACCCAGGACAGGAGTTAGAGATTGAACTCTTTGATGAAGACCCAGACAAGGATGACTTTCTGGGAAGGTAAATGCCAGAAAAAATATTTTTATTGCCAAAATGAATGAAGATTCAAACTGAAGACATGAAAGAAAAATAGCTAGCCTCTCTAGGACATTTTAATTCCTATTCGGTGGGCAGGTAACAGTGTTCCGTGCACTTCGGTGTTTAGTCATGCTGGCCACATGACCGCAGAGACTGTCTGCGGACAAACACTGGCTCCCTCGGCTAGGAAACGGAGATGAGCACCGCCCCCTAGAGTCAGGCATGACCGGACTTAATGTCAAGGGGAAACCTTTACCTTTACTTACTAGTACATTTTAATTCCTATAAGGATATATACAAAATTAACTTCCTTTTTTAAATGCTGTGACTTTAAAATGACTGCCTTTTAAAAAGAAAGGAAACAAATATTGATACTAATAGAGGTAACAATAAAGTGTTCCACTTACTATGCCTTTCTTTTTAATGAAATGCTTGCTTTTAACTGTCAGTTACGTGTTTGGGGAAAAATGACAGCAAAAAGCTGTCTTTGGTTTACTTGTACCACCACTGTCGAAAATCATTTTATCGCAATTCCAGAACCAAATCTCCATCTCTCCCCTCCTATTGCAAATGCTGCCATTTTTATTCACAACTCTTAATTGACAATTACACTTTACTTCATACCTGCTAGACAATTCTTTTCTTTCTAAATTGTTTCCTGCCCAATTACAGTTTAGTTGCTCTTCTTCTCATTCTGCTGATAAATACATTTAGTATCCTTTCATCTTTTCAAAATACTTTATTCATCACTCTACTTCCATATAACTCTAGCTTCGTATCCTATAAAAGGGATAATGGCATTCTTCTAATGCATTGCATTCTTCTCCTAGTCTAATGATAGACCTAACTGAGGTTGAAAAGGAGCGCCACCTAGATGAGGTAAGTCTCTATCTGTTCATGGAAGAGAGAGGAGTGGTGGGTAGGTTTGTACCTTGAGAGAGGTGATCCAACCATGCTTAACGGGGGGTGGGGGGAATAAACGAGGGACAGGACGAGAATTACTGTGCTGAGCCTGAACATCTTTCAGTTACATCTGTGTAAAAAAAGAAGAAAAACTGCAGTGAAAACTTCATGGTAATACTTGTCTTGATGTGTGAACCTACCCATTGGGTCTGTCTGAACAAGGCCATGTCCACTGGCACCTCCAGGCATGGCTTCTGCCATGGTGCGCCCCTATGGCTCCTGAGGGAAGGGTCTGTCCACTGCATTATGCTGAGCCCTTGGCTTCTATGTGGACTCTTGTTCAGAAGAGGACAAGCAGATAACTGTGTTCCTCAGCCTGCCAATCTTCCCTTGCTTCAAACTTTATGGACTGCAGAGCTATTTGCTCATTAGGGTTGCCTGCTCCTAGTCACTGACGATGTTACTGCAGGCCTTAACCACAGGAATGCATTTAAATTAATTGAAATAAATTAGTATGTTTTAACATGCGAATAACACTGACGTGTACACCCCCAAGGTCCTCTTAGCATGCATGCCAGTTTCAGATGACTGGTTTCATGGTCTTGGGGGCTATGGCATGGATAGACAGACAAACCTCATCTTTTGTTATTATTGACTTGCTATTATAAGGTAATTCTTAATATGTTATCATAAGATATTCTTAATATGAATGCATATTAATACATATATGCAAGGGGAAAGTAGAAATCAAATTGACCATTTAAAAAAAGACGTTGCTGTCTTCTGCCATTTCCAGTATCATTATGCTATATCAGTGGTACTTCACAAAAAGTGCCACCAGTGTCTGCTTTACCAGGAAACTATAATGCATACATTAATTTTCAGTGAGTATTTTTGCTTCTCAACCCATGTTACTGACTTTGCTTACAGTGGTTTACTTTGGATGAAGTCTCCAAAGGAAAGTTACATTTAAAACTCGAATGGCTCACATTGATGCCTACTGCAGAAAATCTTGACCAGGTATTTATTTTACACTGCACTACCACAACTTAATACAATTTCAGGACATCTCAGTATAGATAAATTCTTGTGTACGTGTATATGCACACTTATGTACATAGTTCCACTCACAGTCTATTTCAAATGAATATAGGGTAGCAACCAGATATCTGTGGGTATAAATACTTGGAAAGTGACACAGCAGTTCAGTAGTATTTAGATTCCCTTCTATATCTCCTGTAGCCTTCTGCATGCAGAGCTTTTTACGGTGGAGGAGAGCTCTGTATTTCTTTACTATCAGGAGGAGGATTTGGAACCAGATCTAAGCTGGATTGACTATAGTGATGCAAATGGATGTTTCTGCGCCCTTATTAGCATGCTATCCTTCCATTTTCTTGAAAATATTGCACAGGGACATAAGAAACCCTGCCTGATGCAGTGAACCGTAGTATGGGGGAAGTGGATCTGCCCAGATCATTTACACCTCCAGTAAATAGAGGCTTTGCTTTTAAGGAAGCCTGACCCTAGATCAAACCATAGAAGTGAACAAAACTGAAAATGTCTCTGTTCTGGAGATTTCTTTTCCCAGGAAGTACCACTTGAATCTAGATCTTAGTACATTTGGAGATACATGTAAACGTTTCATTTCTAGATGATTATTTGCTCATGAGTAAGAGTAGTATTTCAAATGTGTTTATGTATTAATATTTTTAATATGCATGCTGTGACTTGCTTTGGTTTTACTTGCAAATGATGTACAAAAATCGTGTAATGGGATAATTAATTTTTACATATCTCTATTTTTAGGTGCTAAAAAGCATTAGAGCTGATAAAGACCAAGCCAATGATGGGCTTTCATCAGCATTGCTTATTCTCTATTTGGACTCAGCAAGAAATCTGCCAGTAAGTCTCCTTGTGGTAACAACATTTCTCTTGAACAATTCTTTAATTTTTCTTCTGTTGCACATTGCTTACTGCTATGCCACTTTGCCTCACTAACCCACATTATGCCATGTTTTAACTACATTTTCATGTGCATTCTGTAACTCTCAATTTTTTCGAGGGCAAACATGCATTCTGGTTAAGTTTGTTTTGCAGTGCTAGTATTGCAATGGGGTTTTCAGAATGTTATTTTTATAACTTCCAAATATTGCTGCTAATGTCACAATCTTTGAAGAATGTCTTGAACAATCCCATAAAAGAGGAGTAAGCAGTCCTCAGTCCCAACTCAAGTACTTGTATATTTTCTTGGATTCAGGAGCAGATACTTTGGAGCTTCTAGGGCTGGGGCTGCAATTCTGTGTACTCTTACTTTGGATCTTTTTGCTCATGATCAAAATGAGAGTTGCACACACATGGAATGGCTATTTTTGTGAATGCAACACTTCTTTGAATTTGCAAGACATTGCTGTCTTCTGGTATAAAGGCTGAGTTGAAAGAGCCCAAAGTTGCTTTTGAGCTTGTACCTTTGTGATAGTACTTTATACTGGACTGGGTCGTTGGGTTCTGCTGTCCATTCTCCTATAATAGGCACATCCTGAGTGGTTCTGTTATTCATATGGAAAATGGAGTTCACATTCCAAGGTTGGGTTAGAGACTGCCCATGCTTCTTGGCTCCACTTACATGTTGTTCTTGCAGAGGCGGTAATGTATTAAACACCTTAAGATTGCCTGCCTCCATTTTCTGGCAGGCAGGCAGAATTACAAAAATCAATTTCAGAATGTTTCAGGTTTGCTCATGTCCAAATGATAATTTCTAGATAGAATAATAAATGAATACTGGTGATCTCAGAGTACAGGCTTTTTCCATTCTAAATAATGCTGTAAAGCAGTAATACAGTTTAAAGAATTAACCTTTTAGTTGTAGAGTTTTCAGTAGTTTGCACTATTTATTCTTATTGCACTGACATTTGTAAAACCATTCTTATTTTTGAAGAAACAAATTGTTGCAATAAATGGCTAAAAAGAGCTGAGAAAAAGCTTTTCTATTCCCTTTCTGTTATATATATATAACAGAATATATATATACACACACACACACACATACACATATATAACATATATATTATATATAATATAATATATATTATATATGATATATAACATATATATATTATATATATATATTAAATAAATAAGAAAGATACCTTTTTTGTACCTAACAACACTTGAAACTTTTTAGTAAACTAATCCGTTTGGACAAGAGATAAAATAAACTCTAGCTTATAATTGACCTGAATTGTGAGATCTACTGAGGGCCTTTTACAGGCGCCTCCTTTATCAGTCCCAAAGGAGAGGGCTTTTCTCAGGTCTGTGTGCTATGGAATGCCTTCCTTAAGAAGCGTTGTCTGACACCTACACTGCAATCCTTTCTACAGCAGGCTGAAAATTTTTTATTTGGCCAGATAACTTAATGGGCTATAGAAACCCACAATGTATGTTTTATTATTCTTCTATATTGTGATTTGATTTTGGTTGTACGTTGCCTTGCCTTGAAATTTCTTAAGAGGTTGACAGGCAGTATGCAGAATCACCGGTAGTGGTTTAGAGTGTTGGTCTGAGACTCAGAAGACATGGATTTTAGTCCCTCTTGGCCATGAAGATCCCTGGATGACTTTGAGCTAGTAACTGACGCTCAGCCTAACTAGCTCATGGGCTCTTTGTGAAGATAAAGAGGAGAGGGGAGGAGAGGAGGAGGGCCATCTAAGCATCATTGGATTCCTTAGTGGGGGAAGCAAGATATAAATATAGCAGGCAACAAACAGATGGTGAAAAAACAAATAAGTGAGAATGAGCACACACATGATTACGGTAGGATTTGATAACATGATCATAATTTAAATGTATTTTGTGGTGCAGTTTATGGTGTACCTTTTAACATGATTAAGTAATGAAGAAAGTTGTAGTATGTGGAAAACCTTATATTTAAGGGTCTTCCCAATCAAAAACATGTTTAATGTAATATGAGGAAAACAGAACCTGAACAAAAGCTGTGACTTGTACTTGCTCATTACGATTTTAGTGAGTTATTCAGAGCTGGCTTGGAAAAGCTGGAACTCTCCTCCCCTCCCACATAGGCTGGACCTAGATCTGGTTAAAAAGAGATCACAAATATGTAATCTTTGCATATTTATCTGTAAGCATGCCAAAATAGCAAGCAGTAGATGGTCAGATGGTATACAGATTGCTTCACTGATACCTGTATAAGAGATAAAATGGGGTGTTTTAAAAGGTGTTGTGATTTTTAAAATTATTCTTCAAGTGGTATTGTCACTGAGTGATTGCTTTTCAGTGCTAACGAGATGAGAACAAAACATAGAAAAAGATACTGACATGCTGAACATTTTGTTTGTGTGCCAGTCAGTAATTTCATACTCCTTTGACTGTTTTCCTTAACTGTGCAAATGGTAAAGCTGCTTGAGCATTCATGCTGCCCCAGTCCCATCACTCTCTGCTTTCTCCCATTTCCATCTTTCTAAAGAGTATCTACGAGGGAAACTTTGGGTGTGGATACTTAAAAGAGAGGAGAGCATCGGGACTAGTCTTTTGTGAAAACACTACCTCACTCTATAGAACACTATTTGTGAGTTCTTGGGTGTTATATGTATATTCTTTTTTTTAACTTACCAGAGTGAATTAGTGCTACTAAACCCACTTAGCCCTAATAGTGGAATGGTGGAGCATGCAATTTTTGTCTATATGCATGATTTTAAAAGCGTGCGTTGTTATACTTTTTACTGCATTTCCAGATTGTATTATCAGCTTAGCTTATTAGGTAAGTGTGCCAATTTTAAGTTAGCCTTTTCGAAAAATAGCATGTTCATCCATTAATCTATGTGATTCACTAGACAAAATGCTGACATTTGCTTGCAGAGAAATGAAATTGTAATGAATTTGAAGAGTCAACCTTTTTGTGTGATGCCACTGAAAATGAAATGCAAGTATTTTGTGTGGTGTAAGTGAGGGTCTGGAATCCGCCTCATTTGGTTCAAGTTGCAAAATTAACTCTGGAAACCTCTTAAATGCCCCTGTAGAAGTGGCCCTGTAGAATACATATTAATACAAGCCAACAAATACTGAATTTGATTGTGGAAGCTGGTGAATTTTGATTAAAAATCCAGTAATGCCTTGACAGTTAGTCAACTGTGGAACTTCCTCTGCCCACAACAAGTAACTTTAGTTGCATTTGGGGTACTTTTTGATCCAAGGTGAAATTGACTTAGGCAAGGAAGATGATGCAGTACTAACGCTATGCAGAACAATAAACTCTGCATAAGAATACTTGGCCTGTTGATCTTTTCTCTGCATAAGGATAGTTTGGCCTACTGATTTTTAAAAAAAATCGTAGAAGAGCTTTCTCTCTGGATTCTGTTTGCTTGAGTTTTTGCTAAGAATCTTAGCTTTAAAAAGAAACCAAGATCTGTATGGAACCTTCTTTGGTTCCTTTATTATAGTTTGCATATAAAAGTGACCCACAGAACTACTCCTGTGGAGATTTTGGGGTACTTTTGGACCCTGGGCATGTTTTAGTTTATAGACTAAAATCTGTAAAAGGTGAGAGGCAGAAACTTGGGGTTCTATGAGACTTTATGATGAAGTTTTAGAAAGACAAGTCTTATGTGCAAACGATACTACGAGATGTGAGCTGGGGTATTAAACATGTCTATCTTAACATTGGCTCGATGTTAGTATTTTTTCAGTATTATAACCCCAAGTCTATTTTCACACCTATATCCTAGATAGGTATTCGTTAGTGTCTTGCATTTGTTTATAAATAGTAATGTATCATTTTGAGGACTTTTCCTTTTGATATGGTTTTCTTGTTTTTAGGTGCTTTTGTTGAGGACATACAGACTGTTTGGTTTCTAAGCAGATAATTTTGAATCCTCATCTCAAGCAGCCGAAATCACTGGGTGGGTCAAACAGTGCAGTGACTTACGACACATGCTCTGCTTGTCCCACGCTGGAGTAGGTAGGCCAAGCGTTTGGCTTCCCCTTTCCACTGCTGATGGCAGTGGTGAGTTGACCTTCATCTTGCAGTCTTCATTCAGTAGGGCCGATGGCCGTGGATCGAAGCAGCCACAATTGACTCAGCTGACTCATGGAGCAGCTGAACTGGTTGTCATTCCCCCCCATCCTGAGCTGCCAACTCCCTGAATCATGGCTTGGGAAAAGCTTTTGAAAACCACCTGTGCTTGGGCACATGGAGGCAGGGTGTCAGTGGCACTTACCAGCAACACCAAGCTATGGCCTGTCAGGGTAGCTCATAAGCTGGTTTTATAAGCCGGCCTGAATAAGCATGGTGTGCTTGCTGTGCAGCTTGTCATGGTGTGTGACTCCAGACCCTAAGATGAACTGAATGTTTTTGCCAAAGCTTTCAGAAACTTTTGAAATCCTATCTTAAAACAGAATATTGAGTTGTGATTACCTCTGACAAGTAGTCACCTTTAATCTCAGCAAAGACTAGCTACAACCTGAAAGAATCTGGAAGCATAAAGAATTTGAGAAGATAGCTAACTTCCTAGCTAATAACTATTAACATTGGGAAAATATATTTTGGCTCCATAATATCACCATGGCTTCTACTTAGTGCTTTGGACCATATATGAATGCTAAACAGTAATAGATATGAAAATTTGCTTTATACATGTTTTTTATTATTACTACGTCTGGGTAGTTTACAACATTTTAAGTCACCCATCCGGATTTCAACCAGGCTTGACTCTACTTGGCTTCCAGGATCAGGCACTTCAAGCTATATGGAGTCTTACACCTGATGTACCATTTTCAAAATATTTAATAAACAAGATTTACCTGGAGGGACAGATACTAATTTCTTCTATGGTCCATTTCTGGTACACAACAGAACCAACTCATCTTGTATTCAAAATTCTAAAGGAGCATGGCCAATTTTGTCTTTGGCTCAGGTTAGTGATGACATGGAATGCCAAAATTATTTGGTCATGAGGAAATTCACGTGGGAGGAAGCGTACATAATCCTCTATCCTGCTACCAGTCACCAAACCCTTATCCCACCTCTGGTCACCTGGTTTCAGTCTACCAAGTATTGTGCCTTGGATCCCTAGATAGGGATTTCTTATAGCCAAGCAGGTTTTGATTCAGAAAGGGGGACAAACATGTTAATAGCAACTTGACCCAAATAAAAGTGGAATTCATCTTGTCTTTTTTAGGAGTGACTGACCTTGTTCCCTTATACATAGCAGACATTAATGTTTGTTTGCATGACAAGGGCATGCAAACTGCAACCCTCTCTACCATCAGTTGCTTTTATTCTGATGTTGCTTCTTTCTCTTGATTTAAAGCAGTTACAGTGCTCATTCTAAGTTGAGAAGATTTTTTTAAAGTAGTGTGAGGCAAAATTTCAGCATGATCATGAATTGTAACATACTTAAGATGCCCGTGAACTCCTGCCAAACAAAAGCAACAAGAACAATCAAGTATCTTGCATGCCAAGAACCAATATAGAAAAAAAGATGGACTTATTTCTATTCTAGGCAGATGTAAGTGCAACATAAAACCACTTCTGGATATTTTTGTTTAATTCTTATAGGCATTCTTTCTACTCTTAGTGTGTACACAATGCACACAGCTATTCTCAGTGGTACATACAGGGAGGCCAAATTCTTGCACTTCCTGTCTGATGGCCAAGATGCTAGTGACACACAGGTAGTATAGAAACATTTTTTTGCATTTTTCTGAGTTGAGGAGAGAATCTCAGGAAAAAGAACTGACAAGATTTAAGTATGATTTCTGGGTTTTTTTCCTTAGAAAAATATTTTAAGGAGCTATTATTTCCTGATGTTCATTCTCTCTTATCCACACAAGTCAGAACGCAACTGCAGCTCCACTATACCCCACCAATATATGCATGATTTCCTTCCTTACTCATGCTAGACCATAAAACAGCAGAGACAACAAGATGTGACTAACAACTTTATAACTATTTTTAGTAGAAAATAAGTGCATTCTTCAAAATTAAATTATCAATCTGTCTTTTGAGGAACAAAGTATTTAAAATTGCTCCTGCTGTTTTGGGTTATAGCACAATTACAGAGCTATTTATATACTTTAAAAAAAAAAAAAAGCTAATGCTGTGGCTTTTTAAACAGAACTTAACCACTGAAATGTGTTCTGTTTCTTTTTTAAAAAAACACAACAGCTGTGGAATAGAGCAGCACCCTGATCTCTTTCTTTCTTCCTTTTCCTTAAAGCCCTAATTCCTCAAGCAAGATCCTACAGCTAGTAGGATTGCACTTTTACTTTAATGAGCCATAGCTTGCCTCATTCATGTTCAGGAGGCTGCAGTTTTTACTGAAACAGAATGAGAAATAGTTAATGGAAATTGTCAGAGGGCTCGCTGTGTTGTAGCAATTTAAAGAGTTTGCTGTGAAGAAAATAACCATGGGGGAGAATTTAGCCGTAAAGGGAGAAAGAGTGCTTGAGAATTGAATATAGGAATTAAATATGGAATGAGAACAAAAGGCTGTGTGAGATTATTTTGAAATAACTTTTTTTTTCTGTTTTCCCCATGTTCTGAGAATGTTTGTTTGGTCTCCTCTTGTCCTGTCCTTAATTAACCAAGTGGAACTGCTTCATTGCATGTTATATTAACCCTTCATATGTTCATTTTCTTCTGATTTAAAAGCATAATCCATTAGATTATAATCCAGATGCCTTGAAGAAGTCTGCTGTTCAGAAAGCCCTAAAGGTAAAACTAATGCAAGTTTAATTAAAAGGAGACACAAGATTGTATACAACAAATAGATACTCTAATATATATTTTATGCTGGAAGGCATAATGCCTGGTACCAAGAAGTGAAGGCAAGGGGTTACCCAAGATCCTTTCCAATGGTTACAGCAATATGTTAAGTTTCTTGGAGCCTCTTTATAGCTAAATCCAGAAACTTCCAAGTTACTTGTTCAACATTTAGTGATTACTTTTAAGATTTGCTGGATGTGGAGCATAAGCATCTTGTTGCTGAACAGGTATATCCTGGAACTCTTATTTTGAAAACTGGCTGACAGGCATTAGCGAACTGACAAAGATGTTGTAGCCTTATTAAAAGTAGTATATTACTTTTAGGAGTAGCCTCATTCACTTTTAGGAGTAGCCTCTTGCATAGACATAGAGGCAAGAATCAACATAAACAGGTGGGGGGGGCGACTTTGGCTTGGTAGTAGAATACTTGCTTTGCATACAGGAGGTCCTAGGATTCCTGGCATCCCCAAGTAAGACCAGAAGAATTCTCACCTGAAAGTTTGGAGAGCTACTACCAGTTGGTGTTGACAATACTGAGCTAAATGTACCAATGCTTTGACACCATTTAAGGCAGCTCTCTGCGTTCCAATGACAAATAGTCAGTGGTAACAATAAATACAGTAGGGAAACTGGTAGGGGAAAGTCTCTAGTGTACTTTGCCATAGGAATAAGTACCTCATAAAGATGTTGGAGGTACGGAATGGTGCTAGCTGGTATGTTCTGGGGAACACAGGATAATTATCATGCTTGGATTGGAGAGCTGGCTTCAGGTGCTTGCGCTTCCCAAGCACATACCACCTACCCCTCCTCACCAAAACCATGAGACAGATGCAAAAGAGAGGTGCCATGCTGTCCTGTGGAAGAGAGGAGTCTCGCCCCTGCCTATGAGCAACCAGCCCACCTAAAATGTGTGGGGCCTTGTAGATAAATATAATGTTGCCCACCTTACAAAATGTGGACAAATATATTTTTCTGCTTAATAGTCCTGAAATATTTATACACTGCGTTAAAGTAATTGGATTAAAGTAATTAAAGCAGTGTGTGCATGTGTGCGCATACACACATATAAATTTATATAAGACAGAATATATGTGTGTGTGTGTGTGTGTGTAGAGAGAGAGAGCGCGCACACACTATATTTAACTTGCACACTATACACACTTTATAACAATATTTCTATCTTTGAAAAATCAAAATAAGAAACCACCTCTATTGAGAAGGTTGTTACACTGGTGTGTAGGTGGTTGTCTAACTATTGATGAGGGCATACTCTAATTATTTGAAAATCAGAGGCCAACACATTCTACTAAATTATATTCAGGTGTGACTGAATACTTCAATCAAAAAGTCAAGTGTTCACTAAAAAGCACTATTGCGACATATTCTGTGGGGAGTGGTTATAGGATCAATGGAACTCCTTCTATTCTGCTGGACACCACTGATGATTAACAATGTTGGTTGCATATTTCTTTTTAAATGGAGTGTTGGCCCAAGAAATGGAAGACCCTTGAAGATCAATTCCAGTAAGAATACCTAATTTGATTAGATTCAAAACATACTGCATAATTTTCCCAACCTAGACACTTAAGCTTCAATCAGTGAGAAATAATGACCGTAAGGAGCAGACTGTCAGAAAAAGCTTGCATAAGTATTAAAACTAAATACAAGTTGCTCTTACCTTAAAAACTGAGGAGAATAACTGATATAACCAGAAAATACATGTTTGTTGCCCTCTAATTTTAGCTAACATGCCTATCTGAGTTTTGTGTTGTTTTTTTCTTGAGACCCCGTTCAAATTAATAATTAACAGTATACGTAATGTGTTTTAACAGCTTTAATAAATGCTTTAGATTAACCACCGTAACTACTTTTTCCTTAATAAAAGCTTTTCTCTGCAAAATTGATGCAAAGCATATCAACAGATATTCATGGTTGAGGAATGTTTCAATTTCTGTGAAATTATTGTGAGGGATTGTTTACTTTTGCAGTTTGACCTAAAGCTATATATATGGTGAGCAAGGCTGGTGTCTAGTAATTGCTTGGTAAACCTATGCGGAATTCCTTACTGCCCAGAACAAAATGCTTTACAGTTCTGCAATACAGTTTAAGCATATATTCCTTCATATATATGTATATGTAAAAATAAGCTTTCTAAGCTTGCGCTTTCTCCATATCCCCCATTTGCATGCAGATTGCAACATTCATTTATTTGTTCTGATGTTGCTTCATTGGCTTTGGGGGTTGAATGCAGATTGAAGGATGAGAGGTTGAATTTTATAAAACAGTTTCATTCAAAAGGTATACAGAAAATAAGGAAAGGATCTAAAATTCCAGTTTGTTAGTAGTATCATGCAGTGTGAACACTTTATGCCCCACCAGTTCCCATGAATATATAATACGTGGTAAGAATAATTGATAGAAGATGGAGGGTGGGCTTCAAAACCCTTTTGAAGTGATGGGAGTTGAAAAATATATTAAATGGGCATCATTTTTCCTCATTTCCAGTCAGGAAAGAAAATGAACAGCAACCCTAATCCGCTTGTCTTGCTGACAGTTGGACACAAGGCACAAGAAAGTAAGGTAAGCGTCTACTGTCGACATTTATCTTAGTTAGGCATAAAAATACCATGTATTTCTCCTGCCCACAAGTTTAGATGTTGCGATCAAAAATAGAAGAGCTAGCTGTACTCACTGTGCTTCTCAATAAGAGACAAAGAGCAAATTTCCATCTGGTGAAGGTTTTCCATAAGATAATTTTTCATGTATAAGAGAGCATTTCTCTCCCAATCCTGTACCTTGGTGGTGGACGACTGACAAGATGTCTGGAGAAAGAGGCAAAACAGTACAGCAGTTTCCTTAGTTTTATCACCCCATTGATGAAGAACTTGAAGCTGCCATGCTTTTACAAGACCTCTCTTGGTCTTTTGCCAGAAGAGTGCATGTTATGGGAATATGTTCACCAGTACTCTTTCTGTTCTTTTAAAAAAGAATGAAGTTTGTACTGCAACCTTTTCTGAACTGTTATATATTTATCATTTTTGTCTTCTGCCCTTCCTTCAGGGAGCCTAAGACCTCATTAAAAGGATTTAGTTTTCCTCACAGGTTAAGAAATGGTGACTTGCACAACATCAGCCAGTGAGCCTCATAACCAAACACATGATCTTGGTTTTCTGTCTCCAAATCCACATTCTATTCAGCACAGTACTAAGGCTCTAGAATAAACTGGAAAATTGGTTTTAAATCTATAATACACAGTTTTACTACATGAACTATTTAAGCTATGTGATTTATCTAATGAGAGCCAACAGGAAATTGTCTTCTTTTTTTTGAGGGGGGGTTTAGTCAATTTCTTTGTTACAAGAAAAATACAAATAATCTGTTTAATTCAGGAATGAGAAACCTGGAGGCCAGAGGGAATCTTTGGAGGGTTCACATCTGGACTGCAGGGCCCCTCTTCCTCTGCCCTGCATGCTGCTTCTCCTTCGTTATCATTGCTAGCTAGAGAGGGAAGCACATCACTTCATCTCCAGCCAGAACAGAAGTGGCAAATTGCAGGACCTGGAGGCTGATCGGGATTTGGACTTCAGCATGAGCAAACATGAGCAATTTAAACCTGCACAGTAGTCCCAATTCTAATCAGGAAATCTGGAATTAGTAGTTGGAGAAAGAATCTCATTTATTCCTGTTTTTATCGCAGTGCAAATTGCACATGTGTGGGGCCTAGTTTGGCAAGGGAGGGGCAAAAAGTTAAAGCTCATTTCACACCAGTGTCTCAATCCACTGGGAGGCAGCATCCAGCACCCAGTTTACTGATTTTATTTGTTAGCTGTGGAGGAAGAGATGCCTCTCCCTCTGCAGCCAGCATGAATGCTGAGTAAGAGTGAGCAGGACAAATTGGAGACTTTTTCCCAGTGTAAATGGTAGTGGGGGCCCCTCTTGTATAGGCACTTGGAGTATAGTGTATACCTAGTTCTGGATCAAGCATCACTCACCACTGCTATTCAGCCCATGAAACATAACTCCTGGGGGAATGTAGGTTCTCAACATGTGGTATATGCTGACTTCATTTTAACCGTGCATTTCAATAGAAACCTCTCTCTATCCCTAAATAGATTCGCTACAAAACCAATGAACCGGTGTGGGAAGAAAATTTCACTTTCTTTGTTCATAATCCTAGGCGGCAAGAACTAGAAGTTGAGGTAGGATGTTATTTTCTTACTGTCCTGAGGTTTTGCCCTTCCTTCTTTATACTAGTTGCAACTCCTGTCCCTGAGGAAGTATCTTACTATTCATTCCTGTGGGTTAAATTCCTCCTTTCCCATTTAGTATTTTTATCTTGAGGGCCTAAAGAACAATGGTAACAAATCCCATGGGGTCCATCAGTCTTGTAGCAAGAGAAAAAGTCTTGCATCATTTTACAGCACAATCCTGTGCCTGCTAGACATATTTATTTATTTAGACAACTTATATGCCACCCCATTGCATGAGCCTCGGGGCGGCTTACAATCATTAAAATCCCGTATAAAATGCAAAAAAATTCAACAAATAAATAAAATACATAAAATAGTGGAAACAGCCTGGTCAATTTAAAATCAACAAGTAAACCATTAACAGTTAAAATAGCGTTTAAATAAACAGTTCTTTGCCTAGCACCGAAAAACGACAGCGTGGCGGACCTCTCTGGGGAGTGCATTCCATAGGTTGGGCGCCACCGCAGAGAAAGCCCTCCTCAAAGTACTCACCCTCCTAATATCCTTCACGGAGGGCTCCCAGAGAAGGGCCTCTGCCGCCGATCTCGGGGCGGGAGGGCATATATGGACGCAGGTGCTCCTTTAGGTAACCAGGGCCTAAGCATAGGTTGGTAGCGGGTAGGTTTTTCAGTGTCCCAGCTCTGAGGGCAAAAACTTACTCTACCTTTTGAGTTGGATCTCTGAACTTGGAGTGTCCTGCACCCACCCTTGCAGCTAGTGCTGAAAGAAATTCCCTGGTTGCAGCTCCAATGTAGCAAAGAGCAACCAGAGATATTAGCTTCTAGAGCTAGAACAGGAGGAGGCAGGATTCACCACAATATGAAGTATCTTATCAGCTGTTTACACTCTTTAAGTCTGTTCCAAGGCTGAACAACACTTTGATGATCAAAAGCAGATATCTATGCATTTTACACGAAGAGTAGTTTCAGCCTTTATCTCCCAGCACTCACAGGATGCCCATAATCCTCCAAATTCAGATTTGGATTATGCTCTTACAGATTTACCAATTTATTATGCTGTAAACTTGGATAGTTTAGTTCACAAAAGTATATATTGTTGTGAACATAAGACTGAGAAATGGAAGAGAATTATGTAAGCCTCCTTGAGTTCCTTGGAAAGAAAAAGACAGGATATAAATGTAATAAATGAGCCACAATAAATATGTTTAATCTGTCAGGTGCTACAAGGTGCTTCATTGCTTCAGCTAGAATGGGTAATATTGTCTTGGGAAAAATTGTGCTAATTCTACTAATACTGAACAGTTTGCATAGTCAAATGTTATTTAGCAGAGTCAGATAGTGATATTTCACATAGCTTTTGCAATGTACATTTTGGTAGCCACAGTAAATCTGGCTTCACCTTATGTGGATTTTTTGGGTTCACAGAGAGAGGAGTGCAATAAATTAAAGTTCCAAACTATAAAAGAAAATGAACAAAATTGATAAGTCCATTTCTTGAATTTTTTAGGGCAACTCAAGGTACCTTAGCAGCATTTTCCCTTGAATTTATTCTCAGCAGGATTTAGCTTATATTTGTAGAATTAGGACAGCTTAATAATCTGTTTTTTTTTACCATGCAATCAATAACTGTTAGTGAGTGTGAACTTGTGTATCTTTAAAGAAAAATCATTTAAATGTTATCATTCATCTTTCCTTTTTGCTTTAGGTCAAGGATGAACAACACCAGTGCTCCTTGGGAAATTTCAAGCTTCCTCTGAGCCAACTTCTTGAGAGTGAAGATCTAACTATGCATCAGAGATTTCACCTTAGCAATTCTGGTCCAAACAGCACTGTAAACATGAAGATTGCTCTCAGGGTATATTATAAAATTTATCTAAATGAATACACGTTTACATTTTGATGGGGGATAAGCAACTGTATTTCCTGTGTTTCAAAGGAAAGAAATCTACTGTTATCCATGTTTTTTCTTTCCAAGAGAGGAAACTGTTGACAGAATAGATTACTCCTTCTCTCTGAAACCTCCTGGGTGCCCACCAGATCTTCTGCAGAGGGTTGGGCAACACTACAGAGCAGATTTAGGGGTGGCATGAGAGCCTCGAGGAGGAGAGGACAGGGAAGTCCTGCTGCTTAAGCAATATCCTGCTTATGTGATGTTGGAGTCAGCCCTGTGTAAATTACTTGAATACTACAAACCATCATTTATTTTATATGTAGAGTTACTAAGGAAACAGCAAACATTCTTCAAGATAAGATTGCAGACAGTTGGAAAGTACCACAGTCTTCCATGCATTGGTGCCCTAGCTCAAACTTTGCATGTAGCTGGTCAGTTCCAGACTCTCATTAGCATCTCTTTTTAAATGCATCTCAGTTAACAGATCTGGAAAGGACTTGCCTGAAGAAATTGAAGATTGCTTTTCTATTAGGTTTAAAAAAAATATATTGGGCTCGAAACACCAGTTGCCTAACTCTGTACGAGGCGGTTTCCTATCTTAGGTATGGTTGATCCACTGCAGAAAAGCAGAAAGCTCTGTTAACTCTGGAATGCATGTGGGTAACTCTAAATTTTGGTAATGCATCTTGATTCAAAACATATTCACATAAACTTTCAAGATCAAACATTTTAAAAGAGCAAATAAATGAGATCACTTCCTGATGAGAATAAACACTACACAGTATGAAAAAGGTAGCAACTCGGATTACTCGTGCTTTCTCAACATATTGTGACAATTAACTGCGAGTCCCTGCACTTATCCATTGTGCCACAAGTGGCCTCTGGTACACCAATAAATCTTGCAGAAGGTGAGGTCTACACATTTCAGTTCCTACATTTCAAGAAAATTGTGGGTGGGGGCGAGGTAATACTTCATTTCTCTTTTGCTTATCTTTGTTTCTGCTTTTCTCCATAACATATGAAACGCCTGTAAAGCTGTTCAAAAGTAACTCATTCAAGAAGTAACTTCAATAAAGATGGTGGGGAGAAACTGAGAAAGGGTTTGCTGGTGGGGTTGTAACCATATTGAAAGGTGTAAGAGTGGCCAGTGGTTGACCAATGGAGGAAATGTTGTGAACTGTTAATACAAGCAATAGAAACTTCCATGGAAAAGGGACAGGTACCATGGCTGCGAAAATGTTTGCTGCAGAATGCAAAAAAAGTTTTATGGTTTTATGTACCTAAGCTTAACAAATTGGATTTTCCCCACCATAATGGAGGACAGACCTCTCTGACAAAGGTCATGTTAGGGATCTTTCAGCAATGTTTATACTGAATTGTTTGGACAAAGAGCATAAATAGCTGTTTGGCTAGCAAGACACTCTCCAAGCACTCATGTCCAGAGTTCAAGTTTGGAACTGAATTGATTGCCTTGTTTATCTGTTTATGTAAATAGTTTCCATTCTTGACGCATGGATTTTGCAGTAGTTCTATCTTAATTGAACTGCATAGGAAGCTCTCTTCTGGAATTAATTTCATGTTCTTTGTTCTGTGGCTGCTAGATCCTTTCTCTTGAAAAGCAAGAGAGGTCTCCAGACCACAAACATTCGGCCCAAGTGAAGAGGCCATCTGTTTCCAAAGATGCAAGAAAAGGTTCTTTCAAGCCTCAGGTTCCCATTTCTCCAGCTGCTGACTTGAACAAACCCCCTGCTTCCACAGCAACAGACACTGATAAAAAGACTGATGTGGTTGAAAAAAGCCATCCCTCAAATCCTAGTCCTCAGTGGCCAACAGATCTTAGCAGAAGTTCTTCCAGTCTGCTTGCCTCCAACTTGAGTTATTCACCCAGCCATCTTTCAGTCAAAGAACCAACTCCAAGTATAGCTTCGGACATATCACTACCCATTGCCACGCAGGAGCTGCGGCAGCGACTGAGACAACTTGAAAAGTACAGTTTTTTTATATTGTTATGAAGTTGTAGACTTGGAAGGAATTGATGCAAGCCTATGCAATAGATGTTAGAAGCTGTGATCCTTACATGTCAAGTTATATAGTCCATACCATGGGATTTTGCATTGCAAGAAAACTCAATGCCCAACAGTGTGATTTCAGAGCAAGCGAGCCAGGCTGACTGGAATAAAATTTATTATACTTTCCAAATATACTGATTGGTTTGGGTCTCTGCATAAAGCAAAACCTATGCAACAAGAGAAATATTACTTTTTCTGAAAGCGAAATTAGCAATGCCTGCATTTTTTTCTAATAATTTGGTATTACAAACTCTGAATTGGATTGATGTTTGAAAATAAGGATTGGGCAACTAGATGATGGCTGGCATCCTTGGATTATAAATAGTAACATAACCCAGTACACAGATAAATTGACAAATACAATACTGTCTAATGAAAATATATTTCTTACTGTTGTAGCAGCATGACTGCAGGTAGAGTATCGGTTAAAGAAAAAGTTGCTATTCTTAGAAATGTATTTCCCTTTGTAGGCAGGCTATAACATTTACCTATTTAGATTGATATATTGGATCTTTCATGACCAAATCAAAGCCATCTAGCGAAGATCCTTTTTAACTAATGTTGTCTTGCCTGGTAACGCCTCTTATTATGCTTTTCAGAACATAGACGTATTTCTCTGTTCACATGCATATGCCTGTGAGTGGAACAAAATGTGTAGTTCAGCTTTGTTAGATATATTTATATAATATGCAGCCTTTGCTGCTATTTTTTCCTGAAAACCAGTTGATGCCATCTGTTGGCAACTGCACATAACAGCAACTGTTTTGTATGTTACATCTGTTTATCTAAATATAGACTCCAACATATAGAAGATAAAGATGATATCATTATTGTTGGGGTTGTTAGTATACTACTGTTATTTGGATCCTTTTCCTTTAAAAAGGCTCATGGCAACTTGCAAATATGCATCATTTGCATGTTGTTATTACTTTGTGACATATATGCTACTGGATGTATACTAGATGAAAAGTTTAATTGAAACAATACTTCTGAAATCTCATATCCTATTTATTTATTTCTTTTTTCTACTGCCTAATAGCTGAGGCTCTCTGGGTGGTTAACAAAAGTTAAAATTAAAAGTTTTAAACACACATAATTTAATTTTGAAAAACAAAGCTCAATAGCAATAGCTATGATTCAACAGAGAAGCTGAATGAAGAAGTAAAATATTCCAGAAATCTAAAAGAAAGGGCAGTCTGCTTGTCTGTGTGAACAGTTATCCCTTAGCAACTAAATACTGACTGCTGCTATTGTTATTTTCACAGTGGCACAACGTTAGGACAGTCTCCATTGGGACAGATTCAGTTAACAATACGTCACAGCTCACAAAGAAACAAACTTATGGTAGTGGTTCACACATGTAGGTGAGTCCAATTTTGATCCTTCCTAAATCTTGGAGCAGAACTGTGACATTACAAAAAACTGAGTAGCTGTGCCCTTCTGAGGTAACACATTGGAGGAGGAGGAGAAACCAAGGCCAGAATACAATGCAGGTGTATTCAGCAAATGTATATCTGTCACTGTTTGCTGCTGTTGTAATATCTGCTGCCTTCAGCAGAAGCAAGCATTCTTTTTAAGGTCATCAGCCATATTTAGGAATCTATGATGGGGCAGAGAAGCTCATAAAAAGTCTTCATAATTATGCAATTTTGAGGAATGTGTCTGGGTGCCAGGCCATTTCAACAGAGGACCAACCTTACTTGGCTAGAATATGAATTTTATTAAGAGGATCCTACTGTTTTGGGAGACGGTCTCTTCTCCTTGACTGATGCTCTGTGTTCCCAGCATGACCAGTAGCAGATCCCAGGTAACAGGACTGGGAAAGATTACCAGCCAAGGTGCTGGAGAGCTTCTCTCAGTTGGGGTTGGCAATACCAGACCAGAAGGACCATTTGACCCAACACCAATTCCAAGTTCCTTACACCTCACAGTGGTGGCAAACCGATGGCACGCGTGCCAGAGCGGGCACACAGAGCCCGCTCTGTTGGAACGGGAACCAAGTCACTCCGGCATCACCCCAGCGGCCGAGCAGTGGATAAAAGCACACATATGGGCCATACGCATGTTCAGAAAGGGATAGTGGTGCCAGGCGATGACATCACAAGCCACGACACATTGCCCATAACTTGTCCAAGCCTTTGCATGGCTGGTCAGTGTGCTGCCAAGGAGAGGGAGAGGGAGAGGGGGAGGGGGAGGGGGAGAGAGAGAGAGAGAGAGAGAGAGATTTTCTTGGACTGGCTGTTTTCATGTTTTATTGCAGTGTTGGCATTTTGCAATAAATAAGTGGGTTTTCAGTTGCAGTTTGGGCACTCGTTCTCTAAAAGGTTCACCATCACTGTGTTAGGGTTAGAAAAACAAGGTGTCCTGGCATGATTTTGATGGTTGGAATGTGTTTAGAATGGGCAGAAATGATGAGCTGTGCAGAAAAAGCTACTCAAGGATGGCCTTTTCAAAATTGCATTATTTTCAGTGGAACTTTAGCCCTATTTTAGGGTTAGGGGTGTGCACCAGGGTAGGGTTGGGGTTCAGGTTAGAAAAATGAGGTGTCCTGGCATGATTTTGATGGTTGGAATGTGTTTAGAATGGGCAGAAATGATGAGCTGTGCAGGAAAAGCTACTCAAGGAAGGCTTTTTCAAAATTGCATTATTTTCAATGGGACTTCACCCCTATATTAGGCCTTGGGGTGTGCACAGGGTAGGGTTAGGGTTAGAAAAATGAGGTGTCCTGTTAATGATGAGCTGTGCTGGAAAACCTACTTAAGCAAGGCTTTTTCAAAATCGCCCTCTTTTTAATGGAACTTAATTTCTATATAAGGGTTAGTGGTTTGCACCAGGGTAGCATTAGGCCAGTGGTGGCGAAAGTATTCCATGCGTGCCAGAGTGGGCACGCAGATCCGGCTGTGTCAGCATGCAAGCCATGTCGCCCCAGCATCACCCCAGCAGCCAAGCATTGGATGACACCATAGTCGTGGCAATGTGCATGCTCTGAAAGGAGTAGCAGCGCCAGGTTATGACATCACGTGCTGCGACTCATTAGCTGCAACTCATCCGAGCTTGGAGCAAGAAATGGGGAGGTGCTACTCTGTATCTCTCCGGTTTTCTGTCCTTGGTTCTGAAGATTTCCCAGAATAGTGTTGATCCCCAGAAGAAACAACAGCAGTTCTTAATAAGCTGCATTTGAGAAGGCAGTGAGGAGTGGAAAGCTCCTTTGTCTTTCCGGCATGTGGCTTGTTGATAAATACACCACTCCTCCTAGCTGTTTTGGCTTGAAAAACAGCTGTGACAAACACCAGCCAGATTTTTCTGCCTGCCCCATATGCATGTGGGCAGGCAATTGGGAGAGCAGAGCTGAAGTTACAGTACATCCAGAAAGTGCTGCCTGACAAGGTGCCTACTAATAGCCAGAATGTGTGCTGTTCTTTATTTGTGCTTTGTTCTGATCTGGTTATTTTTCATTCTCTGGCCACAGAAATCTAATCGCCTTTTCAGAGGAAGGATCTGACCCCTATGTTCGAATGTATTTATTACCTGACAAGAGGAGATCAGGAAGAAGAAAAACAAGTGTTTCCAAGAAGAATTTAAATCCAGTATTTGATCAGGCGTACGTTGCAATCAGCATTTGCTGCTCTTATTGCATGGAGTTGATAAAATTATTAAAATTCATTTACTTGTATTGAAATTGAAAGAGAATCTTTTAAGAGTAAATTGATTCCAGAGTCCTTTCTTTTATTTTCTGTCATCTAATGGACTCACATGATATCAAAATGCAATAGAAATAGTTTCATTATCCTAGAATTCTAAGTAAAAAGTCACTGACTTTTGATTCATGCTTATTGGCCAACAAAAAAGGTTTTAAATCATGTGTCTTTGTGCCAAACCAGATACAATGAAAGGATTTTGATCTAGACTATAAGAAGACAGAAAAATATCTATGATGAAGTTGGAAATAATATAAAGAGATGCAAGTTTTTAAATTTATCTTCAGGAAAACAGTATAGTTAAAATTTGCAATGGTTTCTGCCAATTTGAAGAAGGGGGCAGAAAGCCAAAAAAGCAAGTAATTGTCCAGGAGAAAATAGTCACTATAAGGCTAAGGACACTTTTTGTCTCTGAATGTCCTATGTAAGTTTAAGTGCAATCTCAAAAGTCACTTGCAGATTTTTAAAGTTCCTTTCTGCAGTTCTGTGGATTGGAAATACTAATTTTAAAAAATGAAGCTGCAGAGATCCTGAACTAGATGCCTGATTTGGTGTTACTTGTCTGAAACATAGCAATGCATGTTTCCAAATTCTTTTATGATATGCTGCCTGAATTTTTTTTTCTCAGTTTTGATTTCAGTGTTTCATTAGCTGACTTGCAGAGAAGAACACTAGATGTAGCAGTGAAAAACAGTGGAGGTTTCCTGTCCAAAGACAAAGGGCTGCTTGGTAAGGTAAGTTATGGACAAAAAGAAACATAGGTGCGTAAAGAAACACCAGGACCCAGGTATAGGTCCATATGAGTCAAAGTGTTCTGACCTGAATCTGTGTACATTGTCTTTGTCGAGAGATGCCGCCTTCTCCTCTTAAGACGGCTGCTCAGTTAGGTTCAAGCATGCATTTCATCTGATCCGCAGCAAAAACTTTCCTGTGCTATTTCCTGTGAGGCTTCTAAAGATTGAGGTGGGACATAGGCTTACTTACGGTGCTTAGGCTTCAAAATCAGAAAGTAAATTACTCCTATAAGATAGTAGCAGACCCAGCCTTTTCTGATCTGATCTAGTTTCTTGTTTTGTTTCATAGGTATTGATACCACTGGCTTCTGAAGAACTTTCCAAAAATTTTACCCAGTGGTAAGTACAAGCACCTTGACCCTCTTTCCATCTTACCTGTATCTGTACCTTCAGTAAGACTGTCTACTTTTGTTCATCTTAAAGGTATGACTTGACTGAGGATGGTACAAGACCACGCACTGCACCTTAGGCAGATTTGGATGCCAGAAGATCCCATTAGCATACATTTGCCAACCTTTATATATTTTATCAGCATCGTTCATGAAGATGTACCAATATTATTTTTATAACTCTTAGTTATTAGGCTCACCACTGCTTCTCAACTGTTTTTATAACACCTGGACATTTTATGTAGGCTTAAGTCAGTTTAATTGTAAACCTTTTCTTCATTTGTTACAGCTATTTTAATGTGCAATGGAATTTGTAGTGTAACCATTTGTTTAAATGGACCCTTTTATGGTGTTTGTACCCCTGAAAAAAATGAAACAATGTTTATCTGTCTTTCCTACTTTGTTTCATACCTCACCAAGGTGGCTACCATGTAAATAGATACTATTTTTTAAATTGAATTTTCCTCTGTGGTTTGGAGACAGAAAAAAATGTCAAAGCAAATAGCTCCTTTCTTCTAAATGCATGCTATAAAATCTTAAGGCAGTGTTTTGGGAATGGTTTTAGCAGCAAAATGGTCGTACTAATGTTAAGAATTTATGGATTTCTTCTGTTTTAAAAAAGTCTGGAAGAAATTAATGTAATGGTTAGCCCACATATTTCTGGCCTTAAAGGCTTGCAAAAGAGGAGAGTACAATGTAGTAACTTTTTAAATATTTATAAGAATGTATTCCTGGAATTTGAGATAATGCCTATAATTCACACATTCATTCAGATATTATAAAGAAAATATATAAAATGATATATAAATAAGATTATCAAGGTCCTGAAATCACAGTATATTCATATGGGGTCTCCAGTGATGTGAAAGTGAATGCTTTGGTAGCACAATTTTTAAATGCACTTTGCAGTCATTGCTGCCTGTTTGTTTTGTTGCCCCACCCTAGTACCATAAAATAGTCTATGCAAGAGCATAATTAAAGTGTATAATAGATTACTGTTCAGTAACCATACTGATAATCTACCATTTGTGGTGGTATCAGATTGATTGCTTCAGATAAAAAATAGTTTAATACATGTGTTTACTATTGATACCATAAAATGCTAGCAGATCTGTTGTTGTTAAACTGGAACTCAAGCTATAGAATGCTCCAAACCTAAATTTCTGGCTGACACTTTGCTTCAGTGCTGCCCAAAGCAGCGTTGGGAGCAATTCTCTCTGTTTTGGGTCTGACCCATGTGAAGAGTCACATTCCATTTAAACAGTACTGCATTGTCTGCAAGGACCATCGCTGAAGTGGATTCCTTCGTGGTGCAGGCCTGTGTCTGTTCAGGTAGGAAAGAAAGCATGGTGAGCTGGGGAATGCGGTGAGGTTTGCATCTTTTCTGTATAAACAAGAATGAGACTGCAGCCTCATACACTACCAGTTAGGAAGCTGTCACAGGCAGTTGAAAGGACAGCGTGCTTTTCACAATTGTGCTAAACTGACTTTGAATCTGGAATGCATCACTTCTGAATAACGCAGAAAGCAAAAGAGCCATTTAAAATCAAATATATGGTCTAATCAGTGTAGTCTTTTCTTTTGATTTTTACAGGCCCAGGGAGTGCAAGAGCAGTTTACAAAAATGGACTTGATTATGATCTAAGAGGGAACTTTTTGCTTCATTTTATTCATTGTTGCTTGCCGAACAGAATCAGTGGGGCATTATATAGATATATTTCAGGTGGTTTTAACAAAAAAATGTACATTTTTGTGTTTTGACCCAAAAAGACAGTGCAGTTCCTCTGTGGTCAGTAGTCTTAGAGTCTTAGGTAAATATGCAATTGCTTTAGAAAAAGTGTCTAAAACAGATTAAAACAGATTATCACATGTTTGATGGACTTAGGATGGCTTTGATTACAAAATAACTTAAGGTGACTAAACTTCAGGAAGTTAGCTTATTAGCTTTATAATGAAATGTACAGAACCTTAATTCTAGCTTAGATAATAGGTATATTGCAGGAATTTCTCCTGACCAAGCACCCTTCAGTTCGGCTTGCACAGAAGATGTTCCCATTGTGCCCTTTAATTACACTACTAAGAATTACCAAAGTGCCTGTCGTAAACACTGTTCATACAAGTTTTTAAAAACGCACTCAGTTTCATGTGTCAATCTGGACCTCGGCACGACACATATACCCCTGTACATTGGCATCTATGATGTTTTATTTTGCTTAGGCTTCGCCAGGTAGCTCTCTGAGGCATCATTCACTTGTTTGGCTGCATATAGAATAGCCTGAATGAGCTCTTTGAGAACCAGCTTACATGACTACAGCTTAATCTAATACAATTTTCCACTTCTTCTGAAATGACACCTCCACTGTGCATGGCCATCTTTGGTGAGCTCTAACGGGAAACTATATACTAGGAAGAGCGAATACCTGTAAACTATAGTTCTGATCAGTTTTTATGAGAAACAAGGATAATGAAGATGCAGAAGCTGTCAGTAGAAGTCCTACTGAAGAAATTTGGTCCAATTAACCTAGCATTCTCTTCTGACTGAAAGCAATTTCACTAAGTGAGGGCACTGTACATGGGTGATATTCATGCCACCATTTCTAAATAATGATTTAATGTCTGCCTTGGCAGATGAGGGTGCCCATGATTCTAGCATATGTGTATGAGGAACAACCTAAAAGAAGTGGCTTTCTCAGCGGGTCAGAGGGTGTGATTTATGTCTTGAACACTCTATGTAATTTGAAGGCAGAAGTGTCCAAGAAATAAAACATATTCTGTGAACTCAAGAATTGTAAAGTCTGGGAACTACAACTTCATGTATCAGTAGAGCTTGGGGCATCAGAAGTACTTTTTGAGAAGAATTGTTTTAGGAGTAATGCAGGGCACACAATGCAAAGGTGTAAAAAGCTTTCAGTTGGTTATTGAAGTACAAGTTATGTTGTCTCTTCTTCCCTCTGCCTCCTGATACATCAGCAGTGTCCTTTCCAACATGTACAGGTCTGCTGAATGAGTAACATTTCATGAGAGAATTGAGATATTAAATAATGGATGCAAAAAGAATTGAGTGTAACATTAGACGATCCCAGGAGGCCCTCAAAGGAAGAGATGGCGAACTCTTGAAAATTTGGACCAAAATCAGCATTACTTATAACAAATTTATTTCTGCCTTTGAAAGTTAAAAACTACATGCACAAATCTATTTTTCCATAGTTGATGATCCATGGAAGAATGATGAGGAAGTATGGATTTTCCATTAGCAAATCAAGAACTGAATGTCAATGGACTAGCTTTCCATTTTTTTTTAAATCCTGTGCCTTAAAGGAAAGCTTGAATATGTTATGTGTTTAAACCCAAGCTTTTTTCTCTGCACTTACCATTCTTTATTTTTGTGCTATTGGAGCTGTTCGATGCTGTGCTTTGTTGAAGAGGAAAGTAGCGACTGTAATCAACTCAATGTGTTACCTGGGTTTGGGATTTAAGATCAATTCTGATCCCTTTCTTTATTCAACCTGCAACAGCTGGTGAAAAGAGAAGAAAGGCTGGTTGGTTTAGTACAGATTGCCTTTTTTGCTCATGTAATTTTGCAACTGCATGTATTTATTCAATAAATGATTCATATGGAATTTATTCTGGTGTTGTCTTTTTTCCTTTATTCCAAGACAGTGTTATATATTTATGCAACATAATTGGCAGCCATTAGTTCACCATCACTGTACTGCATTAACGAAGTTCTGTACTGTGTGTACATTGACTGCTGAAATCAATGAGACTCCGGTGGTTCAGGAAAGACGTTAATCAATATGCCTGAAGTATTGTACCTGAAGACAACAGCTTGGTTTAGGGAAACTGCTGATAGTGACTACCAAGGCTGTTGTTAATCATTACCCAAACTTTTCTGGTGATTAAGCATGCAGGAATGAACATGCTTAAGCAAAGGTCACCTTCACACTGCTTCCATTCTGCAAAGCACCTAAATTCCTCTTCTAAGGTCACTGCTATGACCTTGAAGAAGCAGCCAACATGGCTCTTTCCAAGCCAGCTGTGCTAGGAGGGGAAATCAGAATGTGGACCCTCAGCTCCAAGGCCTGAGCTCTCTTCCAACCTTAAATCTGGGAATCCAAACAATCCTATGACCCCACCCTTAACCCAGATGGAGTAGCTCAGTGGGCCTTATTTTTGAGTGCATAGGATTGTGTTTAAAGGAGGACTTGACACACTGTTTGAAATTATATAATGTGCTACAGCAATCAAAAAGCAAAACTTAAGTTACCAATCTTTAGATTGGACATAATAAGGCACTGAAAACCTTTGGAAATACGGAATATAGATAACAATTTGAAATGTTCTTTATTTTTGCTATCTCACCCTAATGCAACTAATTTTTTCTTGTAATCCTCTTTGTGGAATGATGGTAATTATACATAATTAAAACCATGCTTCTAATGTCAGTAAATCCTAAAAGCATAAACCCTTTAGATAGTCCTGAACAGGAGTGGGCCCACCCTGATGTCTAATTGGTTGTGAACACAGCATCCCCCAAAACAAATGGGGTATTATATTTAAGTGCCTTGCCATTATGTAGTTCTAGACTACTAGGAAATATTCTCACATTCAGAGGTCCCCTTGCTAATAATAATTTCTGGATGACCCTGTAAAATATAAATGTAACCGTATCAGTTACATGGTGTTTATGCATATACCTTTTTGGTATATGTGTTTTTACCCACATTTGTATGCATTCTTATCTCCAAAATGCTACCCAGTATTTATTGTTTCTTTCTTTATGTGCTGTGTTTCAATATGTTTAACTTCCAACACAAATGCCTGCATCTCAGGAAGACTATAAAATCAACCATTCACTGGATGGTATTCTTCACAGTCACCCTCTTGCTCCCACAAAAAACTTCCCCAGAAATGCTGTAACCTATGCCCACTTTCCCTATGGGTAACTGATGTTGAGAGGCAGTGACATACACCAGAAGCACATTTTCACAGTGCTTGTCCACAGCAAATGTGATTCAGAGAATGCATCAACACTGCCATATGTACTTACGCAAAATCCCATTTTGCTTCCATAGTTTGCTTCTGTGCAAATTGCACAGAATTATAGACTTACTTCAATCCTATGCATGCTTAGACAAAAAAAGTATTGCAGCTCCCAACATTCCCCAACCAGTTGTAGGATGAATATTCTGTCTAAAAATGCATAGGGTGTGTGCCCTTAATCTATCCTCAATGAACTTGCCTTGAGCCCTTAAAAAACACTATTTTTACACATAGATAAATCTGGGGGCACTGTGTTTTCTATAAAGGAGTAGAGTTCTTCCATTAGTAAGCACATATATAACTCAGAAGGATATTGCTTGTTCATTTTTAAAAGAAGTTCTAACAGATGGTTCCAGCAAAAAATATTATAAAAATAAAAGCAACATCACGGGCTTTGCCAATTACAAAGCTTTGCAATGTTTTCTGAAAACGTCTGATTTCATACTTTGTATTGCATTCATGTTTCCTTTTAAGCACCTGGAATGACACAAAAATGTGTAATATTGGCACATGGATTTTTATGCGCATTCTTAAAAGAACAGCTTTCTCTGTCTCTCACACAATGCTTATATAGCACTAGATGGTGCTGCAGATTCTGCTGAATGGCTGCTCTTCCAGTTTATTTCACCTTGAGTAGTGTTCATGGAGAAAAGCTTTCTAATACGTAATTTGAAACATGTACATAGCATGCATGCAACCCCTAATGTGTATATCAATTCTGAAGCAATTTATTGTGCTCTGCAGAAGATTCTAGCCTAAATGAGGGTCACTTTTTCCAACCGTTAACTGCACAGTAAAGGGGGGGAAAGAATGCGGATAGAATTTTCACAAATGAGATTACTGATTACTAGCTGTGGGTAGGAGCTTTTTCTATACTCTAGACCCCTTGCCTGTGTATTTTGACCTAGATGCTTATTCAAGCTACATAAGAATGGGAAGCCACATTGATGAAGTTTTACAATTTCCATATATGAGGAATTATGTTTTTGCAAAAGCTGAAACTATACTGCAAACCCAATGACAATGAGCAACTGTAATTATTGTGAGACCTCTACAAATGCTTTTGGGAAATATAAGTGAGGCCACCTTGGCAATCAGATCAGGAACCTGAAGGAACAACTGTGTTTTTTGGAAATATATCCATGGAAGCCGTGTATGTTTCTACAACGGGCGGGAATGTTGGAAAGGCACACAAGCCACAGTGCAGCAGATAAAAATGACATGTGTACTTGAAGTGGGGAAGAAGGTTATCTGCATTTTAAGTCAGTAGTACATTTGACTGAGCTGACACAGCACAAGCATGTGTCAAGACCTACTTTCACCCCACTTAGCAAAGATGCTATCATGCACCCAGCACATTAAATGGGATCATCCTCCCTGCCTTGGCTGTTCTAACATGGACCATATTTACACCAATAGAAGTAATGCATGAAAATTAATAATTCAACAGAACTGCCCTTTAAGCCATATAAAATGATGCTTTAAAATCCTCCTTGTGATTTTCATGATGGTCATTAAAACACGATGATTCTGCAATATGAAGAACAAAGAAATCAAAACAGCATCTATTCTATACTATACCTAATGGAAACATCTCCTAGCAGGTTTTCTGAGGCAACAACTAATCTGTGTAGTGGGAACAGCTCTATAACAGAAAACTTGTACTTGTCCTGTTGTATTATCTTGAGCAGGGCCAGCTTTGACATTTGGCTGCCTAGGCTGAGCAGCAAACGCACACCTACCTGCACTCCAGGCATAAGCCAGCTCAAGTTATTTTGGTCACCGAGGCAGAAAACTGCCCTTCCTGTCAGGAAACAGGAAGTAGCTGTAATGATGAACTTCTCATTGCAAACTGTGTCTAATTGCTCACACTGCTCTAAGGTTGCTAAACTTATCTAATCTTTGCTGGAATAGCTTTGGATGTTTTACAACTACTGTCTTGAGTTCAAGTATTTGATTATGAAACACTCCGTGAGGCCCGCTGAGCACTAACCTTGTCATCCTTTGGCACCAGGTCAAGACTTGTCTCTGCTCCCAGGCATTCAGGAGCATAAACTGGTGTCCTCTGGCAGTCATCCCCAACTCTGTAGATCCAGGTTCCATTCTTTACACAGTCATACATCTCAGTAGGTGACTCTCACATGGTTGTTGTCATGAAAATAAAAAGAAGAAGAGGATATTGCCTCTTCGGAGGAAAAAACATTTTAATATGATGTAATAATAAATAAGGTTTTAAGCAATCATGGAATTTCTATTGCTGATGGTTTTTAATTGGTTTTGTGTATAAATAATTTTTATATTATTTATATTATATTTTAATCTTTTGTGAATCACTCAGAGAGTTTATGATACTGTTCTAGCTATTAACTACATTGGTTTGCTTGTATTGTAGGCTGCTTTGCGGAAACCATTTGCCCAGGAAAAACAGATAGAAAATATGAATAAAAGAAGAAATGAAAATGGGAAAGGTTTAAATATGAACCATAAAGAAAACAAATAATAAAAAAGTTATCTCAGGTGATATAAAATAAATGTTACCATGTTATAAAAAGCTATTCCTGAATGGGTTTCTGATAGCAGATGTGAGTATAAAATAAGACTCTCATGTCAAATAACTATTGCAAAATGGGCACATATGCAATATAGTTTTAAAAAATGCCAGCTAGCCATTGTGTAATGTTTCAGTCTAGGAATATATTACTTACATTACTGCTGATAACAGTGGTGAATAATATACAAAATCGCACTGGCTTGCCTGAGGCATTTTAGGCTACTTGACAGCTAGTAAGAGGGCTCACTTAACAGGAAGAAAATGAGAGGTTGTCTGGTGAAAGGACAGCACTGAAGCAAACAGGCATTTGCTGTTGCTCAGCAACCTTGTACAGAAAGCCCTCTTTCCAAGGCTGCTTTAACTAGATTTGACAAGAGAATGATAATGAGTAGGAGATTAATATAAAAGGTACTGAGTGCTCCAAGCTGAGGTGTAGATGAATCAGGACTGAGGTTTGCAATTTAGGTTCTGCTGAAGGAGGAGGGCACCCTATGAAAACTGACAATTGGGTGGAAGGCTCATTATTACTTACACAAAGCCATTCATACAGGAATCGCAAAGTCTTACATTCCTTCATTTTGGCTGCCTAGCGTATCACTTCAGATCTGATCTTTATTATTATTCAGCCTGCTGTGATTTTCATGTCAGGTTTGAGTTGCAGACTAGGGCAGAGCAGGAGAAAAATTCAATATGACAAGACAAATCACATTTTGGAGAAAGCAGTATTTAAGTGAATCCACCAGATGGGTATCTTTTAGAGCTGGAAACATAAATTAATAAAATAAGATTTCTGGCTCCTTAAAAGTTGCACAATTATTTAATGACTAGAAGTGGACTCCATTCCATAAACACTTTTGGCATAATAAAGTTTTAGTTAAGGTGCATGTTTTAGGGGGACTGCCACCCTACTGGGAATGATGGGTACAATCACATGACACAAGAAGTCATGGTGAAATTTTAGCACTGGGAGTATGTTCTGCCATCTGAATCTGGTTCTGGCATTCCTCTGTGGTAGAATTTGTTTTTTTGAAACCACTGAGAGAATACTCTGTTCTAAGGGTTCCATGCTTCACCACAGCTTCTCTGGTCATCTATACCCAGGATTGCCAGTTTACCATTGTTGGTATGGAAATACCATAGAATCCCCAGCAAGAATGCCCACAGTAGTGGCTGCTCCTAGCCTCCAATCTCTACTATCCTCTTCCCCCCAGCAACAGATACATAATTGCTTGCTTTATTCCCATTGGCTAATTACATGGCTGTCACCTGGTTTACCTCTAGAAAAAAGTAAATATGCAAACATACATGGAGGAGGAAGGAGGGAAACACAGCAAAACCGTTTAATAAAAATTTTTTCTGAGCTGGAGCAGCTGGGAAGTGCAGCAGCCATGCAGGTACACTCAGGAGAGGGAAGGGGAAACTTGCCTCAGGACTGCAGTGGGCCAACAAGGAAGTGGCTGCTGAGGTCCGTAGGCAAGACTAGGGAATGAACTGAGATCTCATTTGTGGGGGTTCTTGGGATGTGTGGCAAGGATAGAGCTGAAAGTATGGAAAGCATGCTGTGCCCCTAACCAAATGATTGACTGGCAAGTTCAGGCCACAATGCACACACTGTGGAACCTGTGGCATGTTTTTCTATGATGTGTGAACTTTGCCAGCATTTTCCATACAGGTCTCTCTTTGTTACCTTCATCCTACATATTGGAGTAACTGCCTCCCCATTAACATTCCACTGGGTAGTTATACATGAGTAGACCCACAGTCTAGTCCTCCTAGGAAACTGTGAAAATCTGCCTAGGAAAAAATCCCCCCAAATTCCAGCCACTTGTCTTTTTACAGTTTTATCCCTATAAACCTGGGATAATAAAATGTCCCAGCATTTGCATAAGAATAGTCCTGTGGAGTATTTTATCTTCCAAACAAAGGAAGTTAAGTACAAGTGAACTTAGTCATGTTGAAAGTCAAGAGTCTGACCTAAAAGTTCCAGCAAACAGAATTAAAATCCACGGAAAGAAAGCTTTCTTATGCTGGTTTAAATTTTGTAGGCCAAACTAAAGATATGCGGACCCAACTTCAATAGGACAAGCACTGCTATGTATGCACATTTTGTTATGCATAGCCACAGGAAAAATTTACTCTTAAATTACATGTACTAGCTGAACCCTGAAACCCATTCTTATGCTGCTTCAAACCTTCTCTGGAAATCATTCAGCCAAAGCACTTTTGAGGCACTTTTGTCTGGGGTCAACATTGACCCCTTTGGGGACCAATGCAGGATTTCATATTGGCTCAGGTTCTGACTTCCTGCTGTAGGACAGAGGGGGCCTGAGTGTTATGCTAAATCAGAATAAAGGGACCAAGACAGTGTTAAAGAACATTTAATTACCCCAGAGTGAGCATACTTCACTGTCCAGGGCCATATTACAAACTATAGTTCTATTGGCACAGACATGAAGGGAGACACAATGCTGAACTTTCCTGATTCTAGCAGCTCCTGCTGACCACACCCTTGATGAACAACATATGGTTTAAGAACGTAAGATGGCCTATCCTGCCCAGTGTATTGTTCCTAGTGGCCAACTAGCTGCCTGTTGGCTTCAGCTCGTAATTAGAGTCTGAGGGTAGTAACTACTTGCTTAGGTTCCCCACTAGCTGATATTAAGAGCCTTACAGCCTCTGAAAACATCCATCCATCATGACTATTACCCACTGACTGCTTTTTCATCCAAGGAGGATTTATAGGGAAGTCTGACAAGAGAAATTTGGAATATAGTACTAAGGGGACTTCCTTCCATCAGGTTCCTGTACTATTGCATAAGCAGGTCTGATCAATTTCTGGAGACAAATTTTATTCCCATTGATGATAGTTACTGTCCTCTCCCAATAACTTCAGATAATTCTTAGCTTTGCTCTGGAGTTTTTATTATTGTTGTTTTTAGAACAATATTTTAATGCAAAGGTACAATTTTATGCATGCTTTGGCAAAAGGAAAGGCCTACAACTCAAGGGCACATTGGTAGTTGCAGGCCTTTTCTTCTGTCTGAACATGCATAGGATGGCGCCCTGAGTTTCATTATTGAAGATATTTTATAATATATTTAATCCCCACATTAAAATATTAACAAATTCTGGAACCAAACTCTAGTAAAACATTATTGCATGCCTCAATTTATTGGAATTTTTTTAATGCTATCTGGACACTTCTGATTTGCAATACATTCATGCTCTGGAACTAGTCCACACATCAAATGATTTGGGTGACTTTTTTTTAGTCAGAAATGCAGATATCTGCTTCAGATGTAAATATCTGGGTCTCTCAAAAGTGACATTTGGCAAAGAATATTGGAACCAATGACAGACCCTGTGCTAAAGTTCTCAGGGATGACATTTTCTAGACTCTTGAAGAGTGAAACAGGTGGATACAAACTAAGAAGTAAACAAAAATAATTGTCAGTGCCTTCATTAGAACCAACCAAAATCCCACAAAAGTGTTTTAGAAAATTTGCACTTTTGTGGAATTTTGGTCATATTAATAAAGACATTGATTAGCTGTGAATTTTTTTCTCACATACCAGTACAGTGATCCTTTAATAACAGAAGATCCTTTTAAGAAAAAGACCATAGAAGAGATTACTGTTGGCTGGCTGCACCCTACAGAACTTGGTCATGGTTATAAAAGAAAGTAGATAATTGTCACATATGATAAAGGGGTTAGGGATTTGGTTTGGTTTTTTTAAAAAAGCAATTGTTTTTTTAAAAAGTTATCTCATTCCCAACATTGCCCAGCAACAAGGTTGAGGAACTGTCGGATTGTAGAGTTTTTCCCATGCAGAGGATGTGCTCCAAGTGACAAAGCAAAAAAGCAAAGCAAAAAGGGTGCGGTGCTAGCGGTGGGGACTAAATAACAGATTTACCGTAAGCAAGCATCTATATAGCTCTATAGATAAATCCCAAATTTTATTTTTCTTTACACCAATTTTGATATATGCATTTTTTCCTTTCAGCCGCCAGGTCCAGTAACTCCTTCACCCCTAGTTCCACATGGGATGAGACAAAAACCTTGCCATTTTTAAGGGTGATACTCCAAGCTTAACATCCAAGGAACAGAGCCGACTTAACACTGATAACCCGAAACAGGCAGGCTGCCCCCACCTTCTAAAAAGACTAAGCGCGCACGCGCGCTGGCAAGCCGGAAAGACGTCCTCACACTTCCTTCGCGTCCTCCTCCCCCCTTAAGTCAATTGTTAGTCAAGCCAGTCAACTGACTAACTAGCTCGCGCATGCTCAGTACTTGCTGGAGGACGGCGATGGTTTAGCGTCGTCGGCCGCGGGATAATTCGAATCGCGCTGCGAGAGCGCCAAAGAGCATGGATGACTCCTTCGCAGTGAGTTTGGGCGGGCGGCAGGGAAAGATGGCGGGGAGCGGGACAAATCCTAGGTCTGAATTTCTCACATAAGTGAGATGTGTCCGGGGAAGGGGCTGTCGTGAATATTTTGCCACTCTGATGGGGGAAGCCGTTGAGTCTGTATCCGGTGCCTTCCGTGGAGTTTGGGAGTGGTGGGCTTACTCGCAGCGCTGAAGTGATCGGTCGAGTCCGCGGCCGCCGTTAGCCTGCGAAGAAACGTCCCTCATCACGGAAAGGCTGGCAGTGGAGGGAGGAGAAGGGCGGCGCTGGCCCTTCTGTGTTGTGTTTACATCCCGCCTTTTTCCCTGTAAGGAATCCTCTGTGAGGTTGGCTGGGCGGAGGGAGGGCGGCTGGCCCGAAGTCCCCCGGTGAGCTGCATGGCCGAGTGGGGCCGAGCACCGGGTGCAGCTCGTAAGTGCACTGGCTGTCAGAGCAGCCCACCGCGTCTCCTGGGAAGTGCGCTGGGGAGAGCTCACTGTGGCTCCGCGGCTGGGCTGCTGTCGCTTCTTGTGTGTTTTCTTCCTGTCTTTCTAACAAGGAGGTCAGGGCGACCCCCCCCCCCATTGTATCCCCACAACAACCACGTGAGGTGGGAGAACTGAGCAGTGGGGCTGAGCCTCTGCAAAGGATCGTCACCCTAGCAGGGAGCTCACTGGGGTGTTTCTCAACCTGCCTGTCTGCTTCACCACTGCACCCGCCTCTTGCCCTGGGCCCGCCGAAGTAATTGTGCGGGACAGAAAAGAGTCAGAGATTTTTTCTGCTTGTACACTGGCTGCCTGGCTGGCTGGCTGGCAGGCAGGCAGGCAAGTAGTTGTGATGAAGATGATGATGTGCAGGTACTGCTGATGGCAATATTATTATTATTATTATTATTATTATTATTACATTTCTATGCCGCCCCTTGCCGAAGCCTCGGGGCGGCTTACAACACAATAATATACATTGAAATACAATAGAACATAATAAATTACCACTAAATACAAAAATACAAAAAATACACTGAGATACAATAATATAAAATTAAAATTAACAGTATAAAATAAGTAAATAAAGAATATAGAAGGAGAAAAGAGAAGGAAGAAGAAGTTGCCCTGGCCAGATCATATATTTTAACAACTAAAATGATGTTTAAATTAAAAGTGGTGAAAAGAAAGGGTCTCGGTGGTGGCTTGCCCCAAGGACTCCTACCCAAACCTAGAGCTAGTGTTTGGGCCAGAATCTCATGAAACTTGGTTTACCTAGTCCCAGGATATCAGTGCTATTAGTGACAACTGTACCAGAGAGGTCTGCCTGGCGCCGACTCTTTACTCTTTCTGGTGCCAGGTAAAGACCTTTTTATTTAACCATCATTTTAATAACTAAAATCACTAATTTTAATAAAATCATTAATTGTATACAGTTGTATCTTCATTTGATTTATTTATTTATTTTCTTCAATTAGGAGATGATATATTGTTGTTAATTTGTTTTATTGTTGAATGTTTTAATGCTATCTATAATACTATATTATTTATATTGTTATTTCTGTAAGCCGTCCTGAGGCTGCTGCAAAGGACGGCATATAAATGTTTTAAATTAAAATTAAATTAAATGGTCCCTATTGATACAGCTGTCGCTCTTTGCAATTAATTTCCTTCTAACTTTATTGTTTATAGTTCTTCCCCCTGCCGCTTGAGGTTATATTATGTATAAACATGAAGCACTGTAATATTCCATGCATCTGTTGAAGTGGGCTACAATCTGCAAAAGCTTATATTGGGATAAATTGTATTCATCTTTAAAGTGGCACAACACCAATTGTTGTTTCCTTGCTGTAACCTACCATATATACTTGCTGGGACCTGAGAATGAGAATGACTCACCAAAGGTTATCCAGCAAGCTTCATGGACGAGTGGTACACATGTTCTAGTTAGGGTTTTGTGTATATGTGTGCAATAAAATTTTGGGTGGTTGTGGAAAAATACCAATTTTCTGGCAGCCATAATGGGAAAAAGCTACATGGGACTGTCACTTGCTCATAATTTCAGTGGATTGTTCACATTGCAAAATCTTTATGCATGGTAAACAGACATGTTATTAATATCTGTCCATATTTTTAGGAGTAGGGGAAGACGGAATTGGATGAAGGAGCAAGCTTAAAGTAATTTCCTCTTATTTTAAGTTGTTTTTGTTTCTCTTTTTAAGCATTAAATATACACATAAAACATTTACTTATTGAAATAATGTATATCCTATTGATCCAATGATCCTCAAGCTGTATAACAGACATAACTCATCTGCCCTTGATCCCTGATCAAAGGGTGGGGCCAGTGAACCTATTTGCACACAACAACTCCCGGTTGCCATGAATGTGCTGGTGTGCCAGCCCCCACTGCTCAATCACCCCTGTTTAACACTACTTGCCAATAGGAACAGCTCAACCGTCCAGGGATGCTATACAGCAGCTGTAGTTTTCAGTCAGGTGCTTGGCCATCGCTCTGGTAAAGACAAAATTTTAGGTTCAGATATCATATTCAACATCTCAGTCGAGAAGCATCTCTGGGCTTAGTGGCTTTCACTACAAGGAGTATCCAGTCAGGTGTAACCAGTGCACTGGCTTGTTTGCTGCAAAAAGGATATGAAGCAGGCCAACTTGTGCTTCCCTTTGGTTCTTCAGTCCCAGAACAATTGGCAGTTGGGGGCAACCTGGCTATACAGAAACTTTCTGCTTCCACTTTCAAAAGTACATAGCTGGAGAAGATGCCTCCATTGAAATGCTTTTGGCATCTGGCAAATACTTCTAAAAGACTTCCCCCAAACTTTATAAGGGCTTGGTTTGGCTTTTGAGAGATGTTAAGATTTTCTGGCATTTAAAATGTTGAGACTGGTCTGATAAAATATCAAGACTGATAAATCAGTTTTATTGATTTACCTCTCCTGTGCTGTTTTTATTGTTTTATTGTATTTTTAATAATGTGAGTCCAACCCCCTGCTGTTGCAGGACACTGCGTTACACTATCCCACTCAGATGGCTGTCCAGGTTCTTTTTGAATGTCTTCAGTATGGGAGAGCCCACCACCTCTCTAGGCAGCTGGTTAGTCTGGCTGCACCATTTTGCACAAGCTGCAGCTTTTGAAAATTCTTTAAGGACAGTCCCATGTAGAATGCATTCCACTAATCTAATTTAGAGATTCCTAGCTCAATAAATGACTGAAACCTTGTCATTCCAGGCCAAATAGGAACATAACTGGCAACCAGCCAAAGCTGATAGAAGACATTCTATGGCAAGAGGATTTGAAGGCCCTACCTGCTATTCTTTTTCTTCTGTCTATTCAACTGTACCCACCTACAAATGAGTGTAATGCTCTGTGTTTATTTTCAAAATGTTTAACAAATGCTTATGTTTAACAAATGTTTATTTAAAAGTAAAAGTATTTCTAAGCGTAGGCAGGCATGTCAGCAAATTCCAGCTGCTGCATTTGTCATGGGTTGACATGGAACTTAAATAACATGGAAAGTAGATCAACAGATGCTTTTTGCATGAGTTTTGAAAATTTATGTTTTAATTAATTGTTCTGTACTCTCAAAATGATGGGGTGTTGTTTCTACATGTTACATTAGATACATAATAGGCCTACTGCCCTTTCTTTTCAGAAGAGCTACTCTCTGTACTACACATCAGGCCACATCAGGTCACAGCAGCTTTAGATTTTGGTCAGGTGCTGGACCATCTGTCAGCCTTGTCAACCCATGGAAGGTGGTTGTGTGCATGCCATCCTCTCATTTTAAATCAGCCCAGAACACATTTTGGCATTTCCATTGCATTTGCTGCTGCCCTGGCATAGTCTACTCTTTTTCCAACATGTAACTGTGGCCAAATAAGCAAACACTTTCCCATGTGTGGATGTAGTTGAAAATTGATAGGGCTGATGAAAAATTATGGCTGCCATGGACTGAAGCAGTTGCATGAATCAGCTTCTATTCTGAACTACTGGTGATTTACTAAAGAAAAATTGCCAGGGTTATTTTATTTTACCTTGAAGCCCAATTGCACGCCTGTGTGGTGAAACCTTTTTTTTGAAATATTGATCCTGCAATCTTGTCTGTATCAGAGCAACTATAAAGTGAAAGTTTAACTGTCTGATTACTATTATATCTAAATAGGATTTTCTATTTCAGTGCTTTTTCCTTAGACATTTGTGAATTACAAAATAATACAACATGACAAAACGTGACGCTTTCCTTCAAGCTGTATTTAATGGTGCCATCGAAGAGTTCTTGCATTTTATCCAGCTTCATGTAAGTTTATGTGACAAATGTATTGGTGCCAGGAGTAAACAGAATTTCAGCTTCCTACGCAGGGCTGCAAATCAGGCTGCAGCTTTACTAAATAACCAATATTCTGAATGGCATATGCTATGTAGTCTAGTGTCCTGCCTGTGTGCTGGGTGAATTGCATCCAAGCCATCTGTTGAGAAAAACTGTGGGAGGGTGAATGCTGTAAGACAGAGGACTGTCCATGTTGCTTGCTGCTTGGGATGTGAGTGTTATATGTCCCAGTAGCAGGACAGTTTCGACGCCCAACTTGTTTAATGGCTCATAAAGGGCTCATGTTCCATTTGTGCCTAGCCTGATAGCTCATCTAAGGCCAAGTGTTTTTCCTAAAGCTAAAGCACCAGTAGGGGCAGACTATAAAGAAAACTCACACAGGGAAGAAGATTAATTATAGAACAAGTATGAAAACCCAGGCCAGGCGCATAATTTGGCAAAAATTCCTTCCTGGTCTCACCAGCAGGTCATTAATCTTGCTCTGTAGAAGGTAGAGCCAGCTCAAGAATGCATGAGGGTTACATGTGGCTGGTACCGCTGTGATCAGATTAGATCCTTGCTTTTTCTTGGGTTGAAATATGTATGTATTAATACATGCATTAATATGCATGTATTAAGTGATAGCACATTAAAGGAATTGCTTATTCTTACTGCACTATGACATGAAGCATGAAATACTTGGTTCAGGACAAATGGTTGTTTTTATCATTTACAGAAAGATGCTGCTGATTCATTTGATCTCAATGAGCTGCTTCAAGAATTATCAAGGAAACAGAAAGAAGCATTATGGGAAAAGTTAAAGCACTTGTTAACACAGGTTTTGGTAGACGATCCAGTAGAAGAATGGCAGAAAATTAGAGAAGAATGTGATGATGACATGGAAACAGAAAGAGCTGCTAAAAAGGTAATTATTTCAGATAGGTTAAATAATACATTTCTATGTACTAACAGTCCATGTTCATTGTTGTGGTTTTTCCTTGGACTCCAGCACTGGGAAACCTTGCATACACAGTCCTTCTTTTTCATTTAATCTCGCAAGATCTAGCCCAGAGAGCTTCAGTTGTGTGGCAGTATATAAATGAAATAAATAAATCAATAATAATTATAAATGGTTTACATGTAGCTTTCTCTGGCAATCTCTTATCATCAGAGAGCCTCAGCTATCAGGTGGTATAAAAATGAAACAAACAAATAAATTCCACTAACTACAGCATGTTTCCTTAGACCATTTTCTGTGCCTGATTTCTAAAATGTCCCTTCCTGAGGTTGTAGAGTCAATGTCTCCAATCACTGGGGGATCAAGTGTTAGGACCTTCTGCATCTTTACAGGGTTTCACTTCCCAGAACAGTCTTCCTGCTCTCGTCAGTCCCATTTGCCCATGGGACTTCATCTGCCACTTGACTGCTCAGCAGTCTTCTCTAGTTACCAGCCTAGTATGCCCTGCCCTTTCAATCCCTCTTTCTGCTTCCCGTCGTTGATTACCCTCTTCTTACTAAATGCCCTTTCTTCCCATGTTTGCCTCATACTCTTCCTTAAAATCCCTTCTATTTTACTTTCCTTTGTTTCTGTTTCTTTCCTTCCTCTCTCTCTTTCTGTGTAGCTTATCTTTCACACAGAACCTGATGCCTCCCGGCCAAATATTATTTGACTGAAAATCATTATACAAACTCTGACTAGGACATATCACTGTATCGAAGCATTATCTGCACCTTAGGGAACAAGTGTATGGCCTCCCCGTGTTGTTTTGGTGGCACAGGACATTTTAGAGCCTGCTCCAAGGCTCTGAAACCTCAGAGCTGGGAGTCCCAAGACTGAACCTCCACTCTAACAACCTCATGGCCAGCATGGAAAGAACCATGCCAGTTTCCTTTATGAGGAGGCTGCAGGGCCTTGAGGAGGGTTAAAAGTCTGTGTCAGGTGGCTGGGGCCAATGGTTTTTTGACCATCTAGTTAAAATTAGCAGATTGAGAGATCACAATCACCACTTGGTACATGGGATGCGCTTGAATTTGGAGCTTTGTATGCTTTTGGAGTCCTTTAACATTTGATTAAGGTTTAGGGCGCTGGGGTATGCTGAAAGTTGCAGGCCTTTCCTTTGTCTAAGAAGAATAGTCACAGCATTGCCTTTTAAAAGAGTAATTCTCATTAAGCTCAATGAATGTGCTCATATCTGGCTTTTATCAGTGGCCACATAATGCCATCAGTCCTCAGTAATTTCCCTATCCTTTTTTCAGGCAAATGTAATTGCCTAATTTATTCACTTTAGCTTCTCTGGTTCTCAGCTCATAATTCAATGAAGAATATTATTTGTTCCTGCTTTAAGTTCTTTTGCTGTACTTTGGTAGAACTAAAGATATACTTATTATCATTTAATACACTCTGGAAACGTTATATGTAATTGTATACTTTATTTGAGCATTAGTTAACAGCAGCTCATAAACTATTGGTGTGAAACATGTTTATAAGAAGATATGCAGAATCCCTGCAGGGAAAATATGTGATAGAAATCTTGTTTTTAAAAAGCAGGAAGATAAATATGGAAGATTCTGCCAAGTGGCTTTTAGAGAAAAACTTTGTGGGTGAGAGTTGTTTGAGCATGGAAACCACACATGTATTTAAAAACACCAGTATTAAAAACAACCAAAAATTAATATACTGGTATGTAAAAACAGCAAGCTCTTCCTTAAAAAGAAAATCCACAGTGCAAAAAAGGACTAAAAAAAATCTAAGGCACAGTCTGCCTAAATGACTCTCTTTATGGCTGCAATCTTATGCACATTTACTCAGGAGGGAATATAATAGAACTAAATAAGGCTTATTTCTGAGGAGTCTTGTATAAGACTACGTAGCAAGTCCTATTAATTTCAGTGGGAAAGTCAAGCACATATTCAGATCCTACTCAATGAAATAAATGGGATTTAAAAGTGCATAGCTCCGGCTACAGCTTGCTTCTACTGTGTGGAGAAGTCCTTATTCTTACAACAGTTTGGGGGCCTGGGCAATGGTACTGTATCATAACTGAAAATAGAACTGCTTTGTCAGAAATGTAGATTTGTACTAAATGTGTTTGGGTTGTGAGGTTGGGAAATGTATTGAAAATTCTTAAAGCAAAATTATTTACATCTTGGTTGCATTAAGCCAGTCATGAAGTTCTACTGAAAACTTATTTTCTAGACCCTCTACTTTTTAAAATATGGTCTAATTGCTGTAAGCAATTTACTTATTGTCCTTGTAAAATATACCTGTTTTTCAGGAACGAACTACCGCTATAATTCAGAGTGTGATAACTGTGGTTACTTCTTCCATACCTATAGCAGATGAAAATATAAACTTCAAAGCTCTTTTAGAGTGTGCACTGATATTAAATGGTATGTATTCTGTGTGGTACAGCATAATGAGATTAATTGATTTCTTAAATCTTTGCTGCATTTATTTTGTGCTAACCAGTTTTTGCCTGAGCAGTTAAATATTTAAGCAACAGGAATGCCACTTTTGATAATTTTGGCCCAGCCCAAATGTTATTAGCTTCTAGGCCCACCTTCTTCAGGTAAGGTCACAGGCAATCCCAGCCTTAACTCCTGACCAGCTGATATTCCTGACTAGTACAGCATCCAGGAGAACTCCCATACTAATGTGATTCTTTGCGGGGGGGAATACAACTGCAAACTTCAACCAAGAATGCTGAGTTTTCCCCATTCACAGTACCTTTGCTTATCTAAATTAAGTCTAAATTTAGCTTGCTCACCCTCATCCACCCAAAAACCATTTCCAGACATTCAGGTAAGAGTTCCACAGCCTCCCTGAGATGAATAGATGGAAATGCGGAAGAACTTGATGACATATACTGATGACATACATCTGAAGAAGGTTGGTGAAAGGATTGGAAGTATACAATCTGTATGCACAGTAGCTAACACTTTCATCTTTGCCATTTTGTGTGTATATCATATGATGTTATACCTGAATGGCTTCTTGCTATATACTTATCTAAAGATAACAGAAATGTAGTTAGGGAGGACTGGCAGGAAGCAGCTTTCCCAAAGATTGTTGTGTTATGTTGTTATGAGTCAGCAAAATAAAACTGCTTTAGGAATCTTAATGTGCCTGTAGAAATTTAACAGTCTTTTTGTTTGCAATATCTTATATTTGCAGGAAATAACTTTGCTCAATTTTTGTTTAGGCATTGTTTATGCATTACCAGACTCTGAAAAATCTCTTTTGAGAGCCATCCAGTGCCTCTGTGAACGGTGGTGGGAAAAGGGACTTGAAGGAAAAGAAGAGTTTGGAAAAACTGCTTTTGTTATGCTTCTGAAAAACAATCTTGAAAAGAAAACTATTGTGGTATGCATTATCTGTTTAAAAGTTTAAACAAGGTTATTTATACACTTTAATTTCTATATAAGCCAATTGATGCCATAAGCCTTAGTCATTATTTCATACATCACATGACTCAAAGAGATTTTACTGTTTTCTGAGAATGTATAAAGCTGTGTCAAAACAAGAGCTATTGAGTAGTATTGATTACACTGGCTGCAGCACTTTGAATGGTGTGTGGCAAGCAGTCTAGCCAACTGAAGGTATTTTAGTGTCAAGCTACAACAGAACAGCACCAAAAAACAAGATTATACTATGTGCCTGTGTATATGTTTATGAATAGCATATTCATAAAAAATTCTCTATTGCCTGGATTTCTCAGCATTATGCCCTTTACCTTATAATCCTAACAAAAATATAATTACACATCTCTTTTAGGGGGCAAATATAATCCATCTGTGGCGTCTTCACCGGGCTTTACTGTGTTTTGATTATGACCTAGAAGAGAGTAATGAAGTGAAAGATCTGTTACTTCAGTGCTTTATGAGTGTGAACCATATTAAAAAAGAAGAGGTAAGCCTACATTTTGCAGATATATTTTTCCTGCTTTTTAATTACTCACTGTCTATGGTTAAAGAACAACAACAGAAGTGAGTGTAGGAGCAAATAGCTAAATTGTGATTTCTTACAATTACTGTAAATTGGTGGGAGGTAGCTAGGTAGACTCAGCTCTCCTCTGCCAGATTCTTTGAAGAAAATGGTGAAGACTAATTTGGTTTGCCTGGTGAAGATTATGGTATTTGAACAATTAATGAGTCTACTGATTTTTTGGTTAATCCTTAGTATGTGCTGGTTTGTTTTTTTTTTTACAATTTGGATGCATGCTCTGCAATATAGTGCTACTGATGTTTATGCAGAAGTAAGTCCCATTGTTTGTTGATGCTTACTCCCAGGATGTATAGGATTGCAGCTGTAAACACAGGAATGCAAACTGTATGAACTCTATAGTGCTTAAATGAAAATTTTAAAAGGATATATGGGTACTTCTTGAACAATAGTACTTGTTTGTCTGAATTCTTTTACAGGTGACTGAAGCTGCGTTTTATAGCAAAACTATCCACATTTTGAAATCTGTTTGCACGTGTATGAACTAGATGTGCTACTGTTCATCTGTTTTGCTTTTGAGTGTTGTGTCATGTGCATTGCATTGTTTATATATCAGTTTGTTCTTTTACAGGGAAGAAGGTTCCTGAGTTTTCTTTTCACATGGAACGTAAACTTCATTAAAATGATACATGGGACTGTTAAAAATCAATTGCAGTGTTTTTCTAGGTATGTTTTACCTAAGGTGATTGCCACTGGGTGCATTTTCATGAAACACTAAGCCATAATTTTGGAGGTTCTGCCTTACCTTACATGAATACACATACTAGTGCATGCTGCCTGATTATGTCCCCAAGTCTCTCTCTAGCAGTGGAAACAGCTTTGAGAATCAGGAGTTCACCAGATGTTAAAAGCTCAGAGTTGCATCTGAACATAACTCCTGAATAGCTACTGTCAAGCAATTTAAGATTCTAAGCCAACTTCAGCCTTTGGATTGTAAGTCTCAGTTCAGATGTGATGCTAATCTTTTTTCTCCTGCTGAGTTCTGGCTAATAAAATGTTCCCCCCTCTGGCAGAGGGATGACTGTTAGGCAGCTTATAGCAGCAGGCTTGTGAGTGTTACATGAGGATTCTTTGGCATCCTGTCTTACTGTTCTGCATGCATGTGGCCACTGTGTGCATTTTGTGGATTTTGCTGTTTTTCTTAAGCTATTGTACTGTTCTATGCTTAGGCTCATCAACCCCCTACCCCAGTGCTGAGATACATAGATAGGTAGATAGTGTTGTGGTGGAATCACCCAATAACTACAGCATGTCATAACATAACATCTTTGTTTCAGGTGTACAGGCAGTCCCTGGGTTACAAACATCCAAGTTATGGACAAACCATGCTTACGAACAAACTGCCATAAAGCCTATTAAATTTGAAAAACTACTGTGGAAAGTTGTCATTACCATAGAGAAGAAGCAAAAGGGGGAGAAGGAGAGCCTCTGAAGCATCACCAAAGAGAGAGGGGGGAAGCAAATGGGAAAGAGGGAAGGCATTCAAAGCGTGCCCTCCTGCCCCACCCATCCAGAGAGGGAAATCTCACTAGCATTTCCTTGCTGCAAAGAGGAGGCATTAGTTATCTTGAGATAGTCATGGCTTTTCCACTTTCATGGTGGTTCTGCACACCAAACCCATGAATGTGGAGAGGCAGCTATATGTGATCTGACTTATATACAAATTTGACTTTAAGATAAGTTTCCATTTTCTCAAGAATGGAAGTCATTCATAACCTAGGGACAGCCTGTACATGAAATGGCTGTCTTCATTTTGCAGCAAGAAGGAGCTGACTCCTCCTGCGCACCTGGCTAATTACAATGACCAGCCTAGGACTAACTCTTAGCTACAGCCACTAAATTAAGTCTTCATGTTTATAGGTAATAGGCGGAGCAAGATGCCTAGTCTAAGCTAAACTGAGTCTTCTGAACTGCAAACTGCAAAACTGAATTTCAATCATTTGGGAGGCCTGAATGACTCTTACAGCTAAAGGAACATCTTTGGGATTCATCTTTGTGAATCTTTTTTCCAAGTATAACTGGCTCTTAATTTACTTACTCAGGTTCTTGATGACACACATTGCTGAAGTTTATTTCAGAGCTTGGAAGAAAGCATCTGGGGAGATACTAGAGGTATATGGTTTTAAAGTTATTACAGGTTTTTTTTTCCATTTTAAGATAGATTAAAATAAAATTGGTCTAGACACTTCCAGTCTTCATAGGCATATGCAAGTAAAGGCAGGAGAGTGAGGTGAAAGGCTTTGTTTACTAAAGATGTATGCAGAAAGACCAGTCCTAAATAAATACTGATACTGGCATATTAAAATTGCATGTGGATGTTCTGTATAAAAGCAATCAAATAACTTTTCTTTGAGGGGAAACAATTTTCAGGAGAACTGACACTGATTGTCTTGACAATTGATGGAAAGAAAAAATGACTTTGGGCATAGGCTTATGCAAGTTTAGATGGAAAAATTGTGTGCAGCTCCACACTTTCCTTGCTTGGTCATGCTGAGAGATATACGGCTTTTTCTTGTCTAAACATGCATAAGATTGTGCCCTTACACTCTGCTTGCATTGTATTTGGTCCTGGGCTGACCAAATTTAGCTGGAGTTACTTCTGCCAGTAACAGGATAGTGGGATGATTTTTTAGATGGTATGGATTTCAAAACTAACCTGTGCTATTCATTAGTTTCTTTTAAAGTACTTACATACTACTTTACTCAGTATTGTTCACGGTGGTTAGGAACAATTGCAATTAAATAATAACAATTAGATAATTATTGTGATCTACCCAGAGAGCTTTGGCTATTGAGCAGTATAAAATATAAACCTGATAAATAAAATACAAACAGCCCTTACAAACAGATTGGTCAAACAGTTGCAAACGTTTTAGTAAGATTTAGTTACGAATCAAATTCAGCCCACCTGAAGTCCGCCTCAGAAGGCCATTCTCCTGATCTTCCATGCACAGGCTGTTTGGTGGTTTCTAGTTTTCCCGTGATTCTTCCCCTATGCTGCAAGGTTGAAATGCCTCTCCTAAGGCTTACATAGGTACTGGCAGAAAGAGCTTGAACCTAAGATAATGGTTGCCCCCTCCTTTTTCCTCAGACCTAGCCCACACTTTTGGTTGCCCCCTCCTTTTTCCTCAGACCCAGCCCACCACTATAATGCGCCTCACAAAATCTTGTCTGAAATTAAATTCAGCCCTTGTGCTGCAAAAGGTGCTTAAAAAGCCACCCATGGCACCAAGAGCTGCTTAAAAGGGAAAGCTTTAGCAACCTAGCAGAAGTGCATCCAAGAGGAGGTATAATGACCCTTTTTTAGGAGAAAGTTTCAGAGCCTGGGCTCTCTGACTGAAAAGGTCCTCTCACTGGTCCCAGCTAGCACACTTCTAGAGACATTCAGGAACATGGGGCAGCCTTTCTTGAGGATCTTAGTGGGCATCTATCCTGGCCTCAAACTGTAAAGTGGACATACCTGATACTTCGATAAACTGCTGTGGGCTCCAGCACAAAGTGGCTGCCATAGAAGGTGTGGCTAATCACAAAGAAGAAGTAACTTGCCCAGACTACAAGGAGACAGTCTATTTGTCTCCTAACACATTAAACAACTCCTTTAAACTCACATTTTTCAGCATCATCAAAAATCTTGTTTGAGTGAGGGGCTCACTGGTACCAAGAGGCACCACAATGACTACAAATACTGTAAAGGATTTTGAAGGTTATCACGGCACTGTGATCTGGGCCTGGAAACCACAGGGAAAGCCTGAACAGTTGATTCAATAATGGAACCATATGCTTCCTGTATATTAACAGGAATATGTATTGTTCTTGTTTTAGGTTATTGAGCACAGCTGTATTCAGGATTTCATGCATCATGCAATTCATCTTCCCAGGAAGTCTCCACTGCACCCCAAAGTGCGAGAGGTGTGTCGATAATCATCTAAAGCAGTGATTTTTAGAATTCTTACTTCTGTGTTCCATATTGTCTTATCTTTGGAAAAATGCCAGCTGATCTTCTTTTATCTTTTGAACTTGGTTTCCAGTTTTGACTTAGAAGCATACTATGCTTTACTGTAACCCAGGGGCAAGGAACATTTTTCATCCCAAGGCTACACTTATGGAGAATCTTCTGGGGCCTGCAAGCAAGGGGTGGGGGTTAAAGATACAAATTTGGTGACTGCAGCTATCTTCACTTGTTCTTCCATACACTCAATATATCTAGTCAAATCTTTCTCTTTCTCCAGCTGCCTTCCTTTTGCAGTCCAGCTCACCCACCCCTAGTACAGCATTTTGGCTGTGAAAAAAGCCCTTCAGCCCACTGGAGGCATTTTAAAAGTTCAAAGAGACTTTCTCTCCCAAAAGCTGGTGCAGCACACAGGGAAGGAGCATTTCACCCTTCTGTTCCTAGGAAGAATGCCAATTGTACAGGGGGGGATCTACTTTGTGAGCCATTGTTACATTCCTGCTGTATGCTATCATTTGCCTGATTTGGGCATAATAACAAACTGGTTACCACAGTCCAAGAACTGAGAGAAATCAAAGCATCTTATGAGAAGAGGGAGCATACAAACCCAGGTCTTGTTCACAATAGCCAAATAATTGTTTGCACGTAACACTTGTGTAAGGCAACTATTACTGAGCTGACTAAATGGTATAAATGCACATTTGAAGGAAGACTGGAAATCAGATGTGTTTAGATAGCAATTTTTTGAAAAATTGCTTATATGGAAAAGGAAACGCTTCCAACTCTCCAGATCTTAGCCATGGTTAATGGGCAAATGTGTACTGGCTTAACTTAATTGGCCCCAGTTCAAACAGCTGTCTTTTGAGCACCAAAGTTTGTTTCGTGGCCCATGAGTTTTTTTTTTTTTTTTAAATCTACTTTGATAGTTGAGCCCTGGTTTTGAAGCAGTTGATATGGCATGTGGGGGGGCAGGGCGCATATATGTGTGTGTGTGTGTGTGTGTGTGTCATCCAATACAAAAGTCTTTCAACGGCTTACCAAAAAGGGTCACACCTTAAGAAGCCTGAAATCACCCAACTAGTTGTGTGGTTTTTTGGATCTCTTCCAGTTGCTCATGAAATTATTGCTATTTACATTCTTTTAAGTGTGCGAGTGAGAGCAAATGAATATTACGTGGATTTAAATACATGTTGTGGTCTGATACAGCTACAGCTCTTACTGTAAGGATTGCATAGAGGTAAGTATGTGGGCTTTCCTGCTTACATGGACATTAGGAATACTTGTTTTGTAAAAGCTCACAATTGGATAGAATGGTCTGTTTTTCAAAGGGTATATGAAATGACTTCTTGTATCATCTGTATTGATTTTTGTTTTGTCAGTTTCTAAGCTATTTCCATAAACAAAATAAATGTCGGCAAGGAGTTGAAGAAGTTCTCTACAGACTTTATCAACCCATTCTTTGGAGAGCTTTAAAGGTAATTCTCTAAAATGTTGCGTTTTTTGGAAGGTATTTTCATACCCAGACTATTTACGAAAATGAGGAAATACTGGAAACAGCCTCCTCTGGAGATGGTAGATGAAAAGAGAGGCCTTAGGTGCAGTGAACAGTATTCATCTCATAAGGGTGAATATATTCCTTACAAGTGGGGCCTGCAGCACAATGTTGCAGTACAGTGGTGGGGAGCATGTGGCCCTCAGGTGTTCTTGGTCACCAGTTACCCTCAGACCAGTCCAGCATAGCCAATGGTGAGGGATTTATTAATTATTATTATTTATTTAAAACTTTCATATACTGTCCACTACCAAATGGTCTTAGGACAGTCTTAGAATGATGGGTGTGGGTGTGCAATATATGTTCCATTTGCCACCACCTTTTGTTCACTACTAGAGGTGTGCACATGTATGTGTTTTTCTCCAGAGTTGTAAAAACTCTGGTACGTGAGGCCATTTATTTATGTATTTATTGCCCCTGGAAATTGTGCAGCTGTGTTCATGATTTATTTATTTATTTGTTTGTCAATCTTGTGCAAGTGTTATTGTGTAGTCTCACTTGGTCAATTTCCTTGTCTGTTTCAGCTAGGAGAGGGAGCAGGGAAGTGAAGGAGGTGACAGATTGAGAAGGCAAGACTGCATATAGGTTAATTTGTGGAAAATTGGCAGGGACCAATTGCCAAGTGTCAATTGAAAAGTGCCAGTAAAGTGGGGAAAGCAGCAAAAGAAAAAGCACCAAATGGCAGGAGAACAATATTTAACTTCTTGGTGCCCTCATCTTTTCAACATTTCTCTGGATTTCTAGCTACTTCAGAAAGAAGTTATAAATCCCTCTGCTTTGCTGTTCCTTTTCAGAGCACTTACTGCTGCAGTTAGTGTAGTTTCCTGACAATTCTAAACAAAAGCTCCACAGAAAATATACACAAATGTAATGACTGAGAAGTAAATGGAGGAGAAAATTATGGCAATTTAAGGGCTGGGAAGTAAATGGAGGGGAAGTTTGCACACCTGCAGTCATGGAGCAATTAAATGGTTGTCTTTTTGTGTGAGCCCAGTCAGTGTCAAGCCTTGCCTTGACCAAGGGCTGATGAGTGTGCCTCTGCCTTTCCCGATCATGTGCCCATGGCTGTGGAGTGGGTGGGTCCAGGCTCCCTATTTTTCTCCATGCCAGTTATGTGTGAGGCTAGATGGGGTGGTTCATGTGAAAGGAACATTTTATGGCCACATCCACAGGAAATTCATTTGCCTCATTCTGCTTACCTACCATCAATTAGCCATTACTTTTTTTATTCAGATAGGCCCTTAATTTGCCTGCTTGGGTTTTAGTATCTTACCCAATTATTATAGTTGTGTCTGAGCTGATGCTGTTGCCTTTTACTGTGTTTTAATTGTCTTGTATTATATATACAGTGTTTAAATGATGTATACTGGCCTTAATATTGTGCATTACTGTGGGAAGGTGTGATATAAATTTTCTTAAATACATACATGGACAAATGGTAGACAGAATAGCTCTCACTGTGGCAGGCTATGCTGCACTTACTGTGTAATTGCTGGCACTGTAGGTTGTGAATTGGAAGAATGACTTCTTAACAAGGGCAGAATGGACGGTATTAAGCATTTTTAAAAGGCTGTGCTGCTCCCTCCCCAACCCCACTTTTTTTTCTTTTTTCCCTGATGAAGAGCTTGCCCTACCTGATAATGTTTTTGTCTTAATAAATTTTATATTGTGCCTGTTATTGGCTCATTTTTCTTGCTGTTTTTTCTTGTCTGTGTGGCCTTGCTCTGATGTGGAGTCAGAGTGGGAGATAGGTTAATGGTTTGTGAGACTGACAGTTTTGTATTTTTCATTACCATTTAATTCTGCTGATGGTTTTGAGCACAGCTGAGAACGATGTTTAAAACTGGGATGGGCTATGTATGGTTACAGGAGGTGACCCTGCTTTTGAATTTGCTGTAGCAACAACACCCCTGCTCCAGTATTCCTGTAAAGAAGCAAGACACTCAGGGAGAGTATGGCTTGTTTGCAGGAAGGATTGTGTTCCTAGACGTCTCTTGTAAGCATGCTTGCAAATGACATCCACAGCAAATTCAGCAGAAATTCCAGAGGCCCTGAGAGTGGGTTCTGGGAGTGGGATGGGGGCATATAGCCCTGGAAATTACCCATCTCTGGGTAACATACATTGGGTGATCATGCTGTATTCCCCCTTTTAGTGGAAATCTATCAACATTGATTTTCCTTGATCCTTGCGACTTGTCATTGGCTGGCTTGATGTATACATGAGAGATGTACTTATAATGACTTTCTGAAATTGAAGTCTCTGAAATTATGAGATTATAAAGCGATTGCATTTGCAATTCTTTGCCTTTCTTTTTGCACAGTGAAATTTTGAATTGGTAGCCTGCTAATCTGTCTTGGCTGCTTAACATCTAGTCTTAAATTCTGGATGGTAAAACCCTTGTCCATGTTTAAATGATTTGATGCTTGTTCATAAAATACATTTTATTTAAGGCTGTGCCTTGGTTCTATAGTATAGTGAAATTGCAGAATATAACTTTAGGATCACCATTCACCTTTCTGAGGCTCTCAGCTTTCCTAGTCTTGTAAAACAAAGCAAGTTTCTTCCATTTTATAGCAGTGAAAATATAATCTGGACCATGCCAATTGAAATGTCAAGCAAAAGTGATGCTTGAATTCATACTTTCAGTAGGGGAGGACAGGGCTTCACAGGTTCTTGCCTATGAGTCATACAACCAAAATAAATCAAGCAGAAAAAATACAGAACAAGTTATGCAAAATGAGAAATATGCTTAATGTATACAGACTGTGGAAATCAGCTTTTCTGGGTGCAGATGACTGATTACCTTGATGTAGAATTTTAAAATAAATAAAGTCCTGGCTATGTGATATACAGAAACAGTTGGTGATGTGAAACAAAGGCTCTCTGTTACCAGACTTACAATGCGATCCTTAGGAGATGCGCATAGAAGTCAATTGCAGTGCATTCAGTGGTGCTTACTGCCAGGCAAGTACATGTAGAATTATGGCATTATTTTGTTATGTGGTGTTCCTCTGACCTCTTTTCCCCTTCTTTGTAATAGGCCAGAAACTCTGAAATTCGATCAAATGCAGCATTGCTATTTGTAGATGCATTTCCCATACTGAATCCATCCTTTAACAAAGAAGAAACAGATAATGAAATCCAAAGGCAATTTGATGAACTTTTTGTAAGTAATATCTTCCCTGTAGCATCCCCATCAAACTGGTTTGATTTAATAATGAATTCAGTAACTTCATATTCATAAAGCTGTCTAGAAAGTCATAATTCTGATAACATTGATTTGAATTGTCTGCGCAGCAATTCATCAGCAGCAGAATACTGAATGATGGTTACCTCCCCGCTCTCCAAATATTCAATTGTAACTTCATATTTCAAAACATGAATTGAATTTTATTTTTAATTTTATTTAAAAAGCTAAACTGATAATTAACATCTTAGAAGGACAAATAACTGTGCTGGTGATAATGATAAGTTTGATCCAAAATAAACTTCTAAGAAAGGCATGGAATAGTTAACTAAAAGTTGATGTTTCTAAAGATAGTTGAAGCACAAAGTCTTTTGTGTAAATTGTCAAAATGAATGTGAGCTCTACTTGGTTTTATCCAAGAGTTTCATATAAGGGTATTATTCATCATTATATTTTCTATTACAGTCTCTCTTAGAAGATCCACAACCTCTAGTCCGCTCAACAGGGGTGCTTGGTGTTAGTAAAATAGCTTTCAAATACTGGGAGATGATTCCTGCAGCTGTGCTTGCTGAACTTTTAAAAACTCTAATTGAAAATCTTGCATTTGATACAACTTCAGCTGATGTTCGGTGCTCTGTTTTTAAAGTAAGTGTCCTTGTGACTAACTAAAATGCCTTGTGTTTTAGAAGATTCTCTTTGCGCGGAGGGCTTTTTGTGTTGGATCCAACCCTTGCACAAGTGGACGTCTGCTCACATAACAAGACTTCAGGGCTTCCACAATGAGACCTCCTTGTCTCCCCTGCAGTCCCCCATGCATGTCTCGATTCTGTTCTGAAGCATTTTCAAGCGCTCCGGAACAGATTTGGGGCATCTGGAGAGGACCCTGAGACAAAAGGTGACATCCATTCTGCCAGTGCCTCCCTCTCACTGGCAAAACAACACAATAGGAATCATCCCATTATTTCCCATGTAAAATAACTTATTGAGATGTAACACTAAAGTACAATCTGCTGCAAGAAGGGCAAGCCTTCCATTAATAGTGAAGAAAAAGGGTAAAAGTTTCTGCTAGTTTGCTGTTGCACATACTACAAAATAGGGAGTCCACAAACCAAGGTTTGGGATCCTGCTTTGTTTTGGTAGGGTTCTGGGTGGATTGTTAATCATGGTAACAAACCACCTTTCCCTGTTCGTATGACAAGATAAGCCATATCCACCATGGCTCGAATGTTGACAATGGCAGCTGGAACACACTGCAAACCAACGTGGCTTATTCAAGTCATGCTGTCATTTGTGGAAAGCCAGTCACAACCTTCTTAGTTGTGGTACATTATTTATGGAATGCCCTCCACAAGAAGGTGTGCCTGACAATTATCATGTTATCTTTCCAGTGACTGCCAGAAAAAGGTCTTGCTTTCCTCCCAAGTGTTTGAGAATTTCACTTTTAGTTTTTATATATTCTATATTCCTCTCTTGTTTGTTTTGCATTGCATTTTATTCTTTTAGGTTTTATAATCTCTCCAGGGAACATCCATTATTAAGCAGATTAAAAATAAAATAAGATAAAATGTACCAGCAGAATGGCAGAATTTTATTTTATTCATTCATTCAAAATAAAATTCTGCCATTCTACTGGTACATTAACCAAATTGTGCTTTAGATTTAAATAAAAGTTTTCATAGGTATAGCAAGCTTTTTAACAATTTCTGCTCTGCACTTCTATAAATATATTTGCTGTCTTTGTTTCAGTTGAGTAATGCTCTCCTAGAAGGAATGATAATAGATAATTTTATAAGCAAAACACATACCACTTTACATTTAAATGGCATGTTTTTATAAAATGTGTTGCCCTGCTTTCTGTCATTTTTCTGAGCCAGTTCTCTGAGCTGCATGTATTTAGCAATTAGAAATAGTTCCAGTTCTGTATTTCCTGTTTTCTTGTGATAACCTTTTATTGGTGTTTTTGCTTTCTTTCTTCCAGTGTTTGCCTATAATTTTGGACAACGTACTAAGCCACCCATTACTGGAACAGCTTCTGCCAGCCCTGAAATACAATCTCCATGACAATTCAGAGAAAGTTAGAGTGGCTTTTGTAGATATGTTGCTGAAAATTAAGTCTGTCAAGGCTGCTAAGGTAGGATAAATTAGGTTTGCTAGGCTACAGACAAGATGCATAGAACTAGGCAATTTATTTTGGAAGATGTACATTCATCAATACTGCAACAATCTTAAAAGGAAAGGGGTGAAAGTAGCCCATTAACATTTCACTCCAAACTATTTACTACTGTTGCATTTTAAATGTAATCAGTGCCTGCAAACTTTAAGCATCTTCTTTTCCAGAGTTTTAAAGGAGTTATTCTGATAGTATGTCCAGCAGTCATTTAACAACTGAAAGATGGGATTTAATTATTTCTCTATTTTTGAATAATTAATAATTTTAGCTAATTATTTAAAATCAATGAAGTCTGCTTCAGAGTTGAGATACAAAATTATTTGGAAAAATAAACTGCTTCTTAAAAAAATGAAATGAACCCACTCTGCTGCATAAACAGAGTCCCTGCCTGAGCTGATGTCCATGCCGGGGCTGCCTTGTCTGGGGCAGTTCAGGACTTCATGGCTGTCATGACAACCATGGGGTTGTTTCAGCATTTCACTGGCCCAACACACGAGACGCATCATACTCTTGACCTGGTTTTTTCAACTAGGCAAGAGGATGGTGATCAGACAGTGAGGGATTGGACATCAGTACCTTTGTCATAGTCAGAGCACTTCCTCCTGAGATTTAGACTTCTTGCTGCTCTTTCCCTCGAGTGCAGGGATGGAGGATCTATTAGAATGGTCCGCCCCCAGAGTTCTGGTGGATCCAGTGGGTTTCCAAAGGGCTCTGTGGGTTTTTCTGGCTGATACAGTTGGCACTCCTGTTGAAGCCCAGGTTGCTCTGTAGAAGTTGGAAGTGGCCCAAGTGGTTATCAAGATCAAAGCTAAGTGCCCTCTCCCCATGTACAGAGCTTGCACAGCTCCATAGTGTACAGCAGAGCTGCAGGCAATGCAGCAACTAGGTAGATGGCGCAGGTGGAAGAAAACCCAGGCTGAATCTGACCAGACATGGGTAATTGTACTACCCCTAAAAGACAGAATGCGTTTGGTGGTGCTTCTGGACCGAGAATTGTCTCCTGGAGGATCAGGTGCAATCTATGGTCAGGAGTGCCTTCTATCCACTTTGGTTGCTATACCAACAACACCCCTATCTGTATGAGCAGATTCTAACACTGGTAATTCACACTCTGATAACCTTGCATTTAGACTACTGTAATGCACTTTATGTGGGGCTGCCCTTGAAAATGGTCCAGAGACTCCAGTTATCACAAAATAGGATAGCCTGCGTGCTGGCAGGTTTGGGTTGGTATGAACGGATAAGCCCTGTTCTCTGTTGATTAAATTAATGGATTTTATATTTGTTGTTATCTTGCTAATCATTGCCATGGCGTGATTTGGTTTTATCATGTATCTTATTGCTATTTCTTGTTGTTGTGGTAGCCTTGTAACTGACCTCTGTTATATTGTGATTGGTTGTGATTTTTAGTATATTGTATGTTTTATGTTTTTAGATTGTTGATTTGTAAACTGTTCTGAGAGTCAATCTGGCTAACTGAATGGGTTGTAAAAACCTTAAATAAATAAATGGAAAGTATTTGAGGACTAAACTGGGCATTGATTGGATAGTAGGTGTTTGGTATGCTTGCTGAATTTTTAGGAGGATATAGAAGGGAAAACAGAATTAAGGAAAAATTGATTCTATTTATATACACCAGAGACAGCCGATCAGGTCAAAGACATTATGGTGAATAAATATGATTTTTGTAACTATATTATATTTTGTAACTATATTTGCTGACTATATTATATTTAAGTGGTCCTTTATGGCAAAACTAATACAAAACTGAAACAAATTTGAGTTTGTCACTGGGATGAAGTGAGAGTGAGCATATTAACTTAACACAGCATGAGCAAGAACTTTTATTCCTTGCTGTTTATTTAACACCAATGGAGTACTAGGCATTGATACAGTAAATGTGCCATGCTGTCCACTTGTGGCTTATCTGTGAAAAACCTGAAAGTGGATTCAGGTTGGAGACAGACACTTAGACTTGATACATGTGATTACAAATTGGAAGAAGAAAAAGAAGCCAAAATCCTGAATGCAGGGAAGAATGGAGTCACATAAGATTAATCACAAATAATTAGAAACCAGAGAAAGCCTGGGTGAAGGAGAGCATTTTCAGGATGCATTTAAAACACGCCTTATATTCTTGCCTTCGAAACTGCAGTGGGGAGAGTGTTCCAGGAGGTGTGTACTGCCCATGAGATGATCCACCTTCAAGATATTTTGTGGCAACATAGCTTGCTCACTTTCCTCTTCACTCCACAAACAGCAGAATGTTGCAACAAAAGGTCTGGAAAGGAGGCCTTGGTGACACCCACCCTTCCCAATGCAGTTTGGGAGCCACAAAATGTGTTTTAAGCACCTCCTCAAAATAGGCTTTTTCATCCAGATCTTTCCTGGCTTCTAATTAATTAAGATTAATCATGCACTACTTATCTTAGTTTTCCCTTACATTACTTTTATTGGTGTTGTAGCTGAATTGTAATAGTATATTTTAAATGGGTTTTTAATACTTCTCTGACATGCAAATCGTAAGCATGTCACGAGTGGAGCTGGCTGGAGCAGGGGGTCAGACTCGATGGCCCAGGAGGCCCCTCCTGACTCACTCTGTTTCTATGTTTCTCTGTAAACTGTTTTGATTTTATTATACTAAGCAGTATATAAATAAGTGAGGTGAGGTTATGGTAGACAATGGAGGGAAATTCATGGATAACTATAAAACAAAACCATGGTAACTTCTTTCTCTCTCCTTTGTTTCTTTGTTTCCCCCTCATCTTTTGAAATGAGTTTTGGAAAATCTGTCCTATAGAGCATCTCTTAACTCGCCTTGAGATTGATTCACGACCTGTATCACGGCGCCTAGTAAATCTTCTGTTCAGCTCATTCTTACCTATCGATCAACCTGAAGAAGTATGGTGCGAGCGCTGTGTTACACTAATCCAAATGAATCCAGCTGCTGCTAGGAAGTTCTATCAGTATGCCTATGAGTACACTAGCCCAACCAACATAGGTAAAGTTCTGGAAAGGGTTACGCATGTTGTCGGCTTGGGTGTGGATAAACAATCTATTATTTAAAAATGTATTGGGTGGCTTAACTGTAAATGCTTATCCATTGGTTTCTGCTTCTAGAAAATGCTACACCAAATTGAAAATGCTAGGAATGAAGAGGGAAAGACATCAGCATATGGAACTGTATTCCTGACTTGCATAATGCATGCATGTATATGGGATAGTATCTACTTGGCCTGCTTATTTTTTAAATGCAGATCCTACTTAACTTTTCCCCGGTGCATAGCCATTGAGTGACGCAGCCACATTTAAATATTTTATTTTACAGTATGCACACATGAACATGCTCAAGACCATTTGCAAATCAATAAAAATTGCTAACAAGAAAATGGTGAATACAATACTAAGCTCTAAGCAGAGCATGCTTTATCATTAAACAATTTTAATGCTCATATTTTGTTTAAATTGAAAACTTCAAATGATTTTTTTTAATAAAGCAAAAGTTGGGTTGATCATTCTACCCTCCCCTACTTTCTTAATTGTTCTTTCTTAATTCTTAAATTGTTCTTGTTCTGAATAATCTTTTGTAATTATACACTTTGTTCTTTCATTTCAGCTAAATTGATGCTTACCATCCAGAGCTGTTTGAATGCTTGTATCCAACAGGGATTAAAGGCAGCCAACAGCGATGATGAAGACAGCGAGAAAGAAAATATCAGGGTAAGAGTATAACAGTAACCTTGTAATATGAAAATGTTAATTCATTTCATGGACTATGCATTGAACCTTCCTTCTGTGTTATTCTTTGGGACAAAAAAAAAGACATTTGCTCAATACTTTACCTGTTAAGAGTGTTTCTGGGCACTTTAGATACCTGCCCATTTCAAAGGGAATTTCTTGTTCTTAAATGAATAACACAAAACATAATCTAAGAATAAGGTAAATGAGGACCTGCTCATATGTATGGATTCTTCATAAAATACCTGCTCTCAATCTGTGGATGCTGGGTGGCAGTGCAGGGGTAGCCTAGACACATTACACTGGGGGCAAGCCAGCAATGTGGCTCCGCTTGTGTGTAGATGCCCAGTTTGCATGTAAGATTTGAATGTGGGCAAGCTTCGCAGGAGTATAAGCTGCAGCATGCTACTCTGTAAAAGTGCTTAATCCTGGTCCAGATGAGGTAATCTTTTACATGTTTTTTTCTGCGTGTGTGAGCTGAGGATCTTCTATGCCTGCTACTGTGCATAGGAATTCATGGATGTGATGAACATGCGATGTGTTGTTGTTGTTAGTCGCGAAGTTGTGTCCGACCCATCGCGACCCCATGGACAACATTCCTCCAGGCCTTCCTGTCCTTCGCCATCCCCCAGAGTCCACTTAAGCTCACACCAACTGCTTCAGTGACTCCATCCAGCCACCTCATCCTCTGCCATCCCCTTCTTCTTTTGCCATCTATTGTTCTCAGCATTAGGCTCTTCTCCAGGGAGCCCTTCCTTCTCCTAAGGTGACCAAAGTATTTGAGTTTCATTTTCAGTATCTGGCCTTCTAAAGAGCAGTCAGGGTTGATCTCCTCTAGGACTGACTGGTTTGATCACCTTGCGGTCCAAGGGACTCGCAGGAGTCTCCTGCAGCACCACAATTCAAAGGCCTCAATCCTTCGGTGCTCAGCCTTCCTTATGGTCCAGCTTTCACAGCCATACATTGCAACTGGGAAAACCACAGCCTTGACTATACACACTTTTGTTGGCAGGGTGATACCTCTGCTTTTTAGTATGCTTTCTAGATTTGCCATGTGTACAATTTAGCTAATTTACGCATCCCATTCCTTCCCCTTGCTTTGGGAAAGAAGGCATGCTGAATCGCAGTTACTCTTGTCTCATATGCTGTACACGGTACCCTGTCAATACGCTAGTATCAAGGTTTGAACTAGCCTTAAACTCTGGCAGTACCTTAAAGGGTAACCCTTTACTTCTGTAAGGTTGTTATATTGGCTTAGATGTTTTAGAAGGATGAATGTATTCTCTTCAAGTCCTCTTTGCAGTCATTTAGAAATCTCATGCCAAAAATGCCAGTTTGCATTGTTTTGCTGTGTCCCTGTTAGTTTCTGTGCACCCTTTTATGTTGCCACTGTCCTTCAGGTGTTACATTTGGAAACTGTAAAATCATATACTCTAGATGATTATAAAGGAAATGCAAGGGAAAACAAACCGAAATCTGCAACTAGGTAACTGATGCTCTCTTATACAATAGCAAACTTCTAAAATAGCTTTATTCCCAGAAATTAAAAGAACGGCTTTCAGGATATTAACATACTCATAAATTCAGAGGTGCTCCTTTGATTTTTTTTTTTAAAGCGTATAAGTTTAATTTGATACAAAATATTCAAGAGTACTAATCTTCAAATATTTGCATTTCAGGTGCCAAATAATGTTCTGTCGATTGATGACATACCTTCTATGGCAGGCTTACTTGAAATTATTGTAATTCTCTGGAGAAGCATTAGTAAAGCACTTGATTGGAACGAAGGAGCCAAAAATCATATCATCCGAAAGTTTGCTTCTGTGCTACCTGAATATTTAAAAGTATTTAAGGTAAATCTCATATAAAATACACTGAAGGCATAACCCTATGCATGTTCAGACAAAAAAGGGCATGCAATATCCAGCATGCTTTAGTCAGTATTGCTAGCTTAGGCATGCTGGGAGTTATAGGACTTTTTTCTGTCTCAACATGAATTGTGCCCTGAAAATACTTACAGCAGGTTTGATGTGGAGTTGTCTTTCTGTTCATGGAAGGGTCATACCTTAGTGAACCATTTCTCTAGGAAGCTTTACTCCATGGCCTGTGCCTCTAATCAGAATTAGAGAATTAAATAAGCAAAATATTAAAATAGAGAAGGAAAAGACTTGTGAGTTTAGGGAAAGGGCAAAATACAGTTGTAAAAATAATGAAAATGGATAGGGTTCTCTGAAATATAAATAATTCAGTTCACTTGATTAACAGCTGCATAGCCATGCTGTAAAGAAAGATAAAATGTCGACTATTTTTCACAATAAGGCTTATAATGTGTAGTGTTGGTCTTAGTCTAATAAGGGAGACTCCTTACTGTAACTTTAAGATATAAATGGTCTTTTGACATGTGTTCCTACATAGTTTTCACATAGAACATTTATGATTCATAGATCTAAATAAGCGGGACTTCTTTTTATTCAGATATGTTAAATTGTAAAAATACATAAAAATATCCAAACTCTGGGAAATGTTATGAGTTCTAGGATGTTATCTGTCTAAACATGCATAGAATAGTGCCTGTGAGGAATTATCTGACTGAACATATGTGGATTGCATAAAAGATCCAATAGTACTGTAAGTTTGTATTTGTAGCACCATATAGACAGCCCAAATGGATGGGTAAGGCATTGTACAAGAACTACTGCTACTAATAAGAAACAGATTAGTAGTTGCTGACCAGTTTTCATGAGCTGAGGTTTCTCCTTCGAGCATTCAAAAGCTTGAGAGCGTTTTCCTTACTCAGCATTCTTTATTGACCCAAAAGCACAGGTCACCCAGAATGAATCTTTGAGCATGCACAGAGGGTTTGTTGAATCCAATCTAGTAATCACCTCCAGGAACTCTCCTTATGAGTATGCATGGGCCCTATTCCTTTGGGAGGGGCCTTCTGAAAAAGAGCATGTTTCCTCTGCGCCACCGATCCTCAAATTGGCCTGCCTTCCTCTATGATGCTGCACCACGGGATGAAGAGCCAGGGATGCCTGGTCTCCCTCTGCAAAACACTCACTCTCACCCACTGGCTGTCCATCTTGGTTATTCCTATGAACTGCCTGCCCACCTGAGGAGTCTGGCCTTGAGGATAAGCAGGTCCTCTTCTCTTATCTCAGTGTCTTGGCATGGCCCATCCTCCCCTATTCCCCTTTGATCTGCTTTGCATTCCAATTTTTCTGAAACCCAGCCAGCAGTCCTTGAGAATGAGTACCCAAAGCAGCCATCCTCTTTCTCAGTACCAATTCTTGACCATACGCTTTTAGATCTTACGTTATACTATTAGTAAACAGCAGTTTACTATCAAAGGTGTGCCACTTAAAGTGTCTAGTATTCTTTCTGTTTAATAAAGAATTTATAAACTTTTTTTATACCTAGGATGACCGTTGTATATCTCCAATAATTATCCTGGCGTCTTTCATGTCACCTGCTGCTATTCCTGCATTCAGGTATCCTTAGTTCTTGATTAAAAGGTTGAAACAGTGAATGAGAACTTTTTCCTTTCTTAATTTTGTTCTATACAGGTTCTTCTGTTAAACAAATCAGTTATTTCCTTTCATATGGATATCAAGAACCTTTATAGATTTTTAATGTTTTTTATATGCTTAAATGGCTTACATTTTTTGCCATTTGTTTCTAGTTGTGGTGTGATCTCCAAATTAAAGAATCTGGAAAATGGTGCCTCAAAAAACAAATACTCCACCCTGCTTGACTGTCTGTGTCGCTGGGGGAAAGTGGGACATCTTCTTGAATTAATCTGTGATTGGATATCTCCTGAGCTGAATAAGAGAGAGGTGTGTTAAAGAAAATCTGATTTCAAATTGGTTGTTTATTCAGCTTTTGCAGTTAATATGTTTTGTTTGACATTTTGAAGTGATCAATTACTAATCCTTAAAAATAAAGGGACTCTCTTCTCCTGTTCTTAGAGTAATGGGGCTGCTGAACGGCGAGTACATATCCAAGAAACACATGAGCCAAAACCAGAATTGGCACTTGATTATATAGAGTACTTACTGACTCATTACATGAATCGGGATTGTCTTCTTTCACTCCCCAAAGAGAAATTGAATCAGCTTTTGAAAGTTCTTGAAGCTGCAAAGGTGAATTTTCAATTTTTTCATAATATCACATGACAATCTAAATTAATTTTAATAATTCTGAGGCTTTTTCAGAAAATGCAGCTAACTACCTCTTCTGTGACCTTCCTCCATATCACAATTACTCAAAAAACACGCAAAGCTACTTATTCAAATGAATGTAGCAAACACTTCATAGGGTGCCTAAATGCTTAGTTTTACAGTCAGTTATTGTGGTCCAGTCTCAAGTGGAAACTGTTATCTCTGTGCAAAGTGTGTAAATGGAAATACATGTGAATTTAGATGATGGCACCTGATAATACAGGTCCGTGATCCCCATGGATTTGCAATGATCGTACATACTGCATGGCTCTGATCCAAAGTCCTTAATTTGCAACAACCAGATGGATTGTGGAGATTATTTAATACTGGAGTGATCATTACAACAAGCTCAATCACAGTCGGATCTATATTTCCTCTGTGTACTTAGCCTCTTATTGTGGATGCTCTGCAATAAAATTGAACTGACTGGACATGGTAATGCCTGTTAATTTACAGGTCTGTGGTGTTAACAAGCTGTTTTTCTGCCAAAAAAATGCAATTGGTATGCTAAATACTGGCCAAGAGCCCTAGATGTGATAATTGGAAAGCTATTCTGTCCTTGAAGTTGGAGCCAGTTTGCCTGTGATGGCCATCCTTCATATTGTACTGACTAATGCTCTCCTAAACATTTTAGGGGAAAAGACTGGAGTTTGGGTATATTGAAGCAAGAAGCTTCAATATTAAGAAGGGATAGAAGAGCTTTGTATGAAAGTAGAACATTACATTGAATGCAGGCCACAGTGTTTCCGTGGGTCAAGTTCAGATACCATAACTCAGGTGATTTAAAAAAGAGAAACAGGAGTGAATGAGCATCTGGCTCCCAGCTTACGTCATGGCCCCATCGGTAGCTGGGCACAACTAAATGAACTTGGAATGCCATGTCTTTGGGTTGTTTTCTGTGATGCTGGAATATAGAACTTTGTCTTGCTGGAAGAGGAACAACCTGGAATGGTTACAGATCAAATTGTAATTGGGCCCCTCCCAGCAACCCAGAGTTATGTGTTCAGATAACATGTAAAAAAAAAAATCACACAGTATTGCAGTCTGTGAACAAAATACTTGAGGTACATCAACATTGTTTAGCTTAACTCTGACTTGTGGGTAGGAAGAATACATTATGTCTGAAGTGAGGGGGGAGAAATGTGTGCTGACCCCCCCCGCATCCTATCTCTGGAGGTATACAACTATAAAAATCAGATTTTTATTTCCTAAATGTAATTCTGAAATTTCAGGATGTTCTAGACTTGTATATCGGAGAAACAGATACAGGGTCTCCTGGCATTTACCAAGCAACTGCACTGAGAGCCTTCAGTTTGTATTGCAGATTAAATATACATCTTCAGTACAAGGTACTGTAACTTCTTTTTAAAAACTGTGTTAATCTATAACTGATATACAGCATAATAATCTTTGGGACCAAAAAAATTCAGTGAATCAAGTCCCTCCAAGAGAACATTTGAATCCCTGCAGCCATATATTCAGGGAAGCTTCTATTCACAGAAAATAAACCAAGTTTCAAGAAAGCAGTCATTCTTACTAAGTCCTTGAAGCAGTCTGCTGTGATGTGTCAAATGCTCTGCCAGAGCTATTTGTCAGATCTTCATTAACCAGTCTTGTAAAGTGAAACCTGCAGTCAGCTTCCAATGTTGAGCAGTTCCTGGATGCTAGATGTTAGACTGCTAACAAAGAATTTAATAGGTTTTAGACTGTTTTTCTTCCAATCTTATCATAGTTGGATAGTAGAGCAAGTAATAGGTCAGGGCTGATGGGCTGAGAAATAATATTATTCCAAAAATCCTGGACCGGTACAGAGAAATTCTGGGACATTCCCACCACATATGCATCTAAGAGTCCATGGTGTTGCAACCACACCAGCAGTTAGGAGACATAGGGATGCAAGCAGGATAATCTAAGTGGGGTGTAATAGCACCTATGAACCACTTTTTTTGTATTTTTTTCTGAGCCTAGATGAAATAATATAAAGAATGAAATGTGAGCACAGAGCTTTCCAGCTTACATCAGATGCTGAGGACACCAAATCTGCCTTCCCAAACAGATTTTAAGCCATTCCGGTCCCCAGTGATGGTACAAAACATTATAGAATGCAGTGTTGATAGCATCCCCTTCCCTAGCTTCTCTGAGTAAACACAGAATTCTTCAAATCCCATCAGGGGATCTGAGAGGCCTTCATTTTGGTAACCATATTCCTGGAAAGGGACACAGTCTGAAATTTTTGTAGCCAAGGAGGACATTCTATCTATCTATCTATCTATCTATCTATCTATCTATCTATCTATCTAAAACATTTCTATGCCGCCCCCATCACAACAAAGCCTCAGGATAGCTTACAGCAAGAACCAAATTATACAATAAAAATATTAAAACCCGGTGCATCTCGGCTTAAAAATAATTTTAAAATCCTACAAATGACCAATAAATTAACACTTAAAATAAATTTTAAATAAAAAGGTCTTAGCCTGGCACCGAAAAACAAATAACGATGGCGCCAGGCGGACCTCTCTGGGGAGCGCATTCTACAGGATATCATAAAAGTCCCTCTCTTTGGGTGGCTGCCCTCCTGCCTCCAAGATTTGAGTTCTCTACATACATTTAGATTCCAAACTGCATACTGTTTATATTTATCACTATGACAACAGCCTGGGTACTAGAGAACTGGTGACAATGGGAGGGGAGCCAATTTCTTAACCCACATAGAGCAAGCCAGCATAAAAGGTTTTAAAAATGGGTTATTTAGCTTTGCAAACTTTATATAATGGGTGGAAAGAAACAGACGACATCTTAATGAAAGAGACTGAGTCTCCATCTCTGTCCATGGGATTTTAACCTCACAGTGAATTACCTGCAGTAATTGTCTCAATTGCACTGCATGATAATAGTCTCAGATTGGAAAATACTAAACACTCATTATATAACCCTGTATAACTATTAGTTCTACTTAATCTGCTCTGTTTGCCTGTGTGGGTGAAAGTTCCTAAAATTCTCTGCCAGTTTTGAATATACAATTGAAGTAAGCATATTGGAAGTGTTTGAAATAAAAACAAGAATTTAATAAGACTTGACATACTCATATTTAAGGCTGGCATTCTCCCCATCAAAGCAAACTTTAATTTACACCAGAATAATAACTTAGATCATATTTCTTGAGTCAAAGGGGAATAAGCTGCTTATGGAGCTGCTTTATATTGTTATAAATACCCCTAACTACCTTAAAACAGTGGTTTTAAACCTTTCTACAGCTTGGGACTGGTGAAAACCGGAAACCCACCTCAGGGACCTTTGAGGCAGAAACAAAAAGCACCATACACATAATACAATATTCTGTGTATTAGGTCCCAAACACAATACTAAAAAAATGAAAATTCTCCAAAACAACCAGAGCAACAAAAATTCCAACTAAAGAATAAAATGCTGAAATCGGTGTGGCATGGCTCCCAGCTGCTTTCCACTGAGCTGTCTCCCTCCCCTCCCCACTGGCACCAGCACACCCCCCACAAGTGTGATGCCAACTGAGAAAGGGGTGGTAGAGCACAGCCAGCCTCTGCACTGGTCCATGGCAAGCAGCTGCAGCCACCCCATGGACCTGCAGGAAATCTGGCGGGCCTGCACTGGTCCATGGACTGGTGGTTGAGAACCACCGCCTTAAAACATCCGGGGTGCAGTTGCAAACCCACCCTAGATTTCGACAATAAGATGTAACATTACAAAGATAGCATTTTGTACTTTAGGACAGCCACTTGGTGAAATGCTGCAAGAATGGCTTTGGGATGCTTGTTACTTGGATTCTGCAACATAGCCATGATATCTTCTGAAAGAGACTTAAAAGATGAGTTTTACCTTCAACATTCACTCCCTGAAGGTTAGAATTAGCTCTTAAAATGTTGGCAAAAATTTCCATCGTTATTACAAAAAGTAGGGATGAAAATGGATAGTCCTGCTAGTCCCTCATTTTAAGGGGAAAAGGTGAGGGTCCATGCGGATGCAGAGCTAATCGGCAAAAGCTGCAAAAAATTCTCCATAAAGTCTAATTTAATCATGCATTACTTAAGGGACCTCCATTCCACTTTATCAAAAGTGCTAAAAGCATCCAGTGAAAGGAGAGTGCTAGACAGCTGCTTATTAATACAGTGGAGAATAATAGTCAGGATCTCATTGACAGCGTGGCCAGCCATCTACCTGGGATAAACTTTGCCTAGTCTAAGTTTGTTTGTTCAAGGTTATACCTCCCCTTTCTAAAGAACTCAGAGTGGCTTATACTTCCTCCTGTTCTCAATCTTATCCCCACAACAGCAACCATGTCAGGCTGGGCTGGGTCAAAGTCACCCAGATGGCTCCATGGCTGAGTGTGGACTAGAACACAGATCTCCTGGGTCCCAGTCCTGCATTCTGAATCACTGTACTGCACTGGTTTTCAGTATATCTCAAGTTAATATACTCAGGATTAAACTAGTTAGTCCTACAAGCCATAAAAGCGGACAAGAATTTCACATCCTGGTTTAGGAGGGTGGTATCAGCTAGTATGATCTCAGAGCTACAGGTTACTTTCCTGGCTGAAGAGGTATCACCAGTTGTTATTATTTCCAGGAATCTAAGTCACTTTCCTGCTTTTAGAATACCATTGAGTGGTGCCTGAAGTTGTAGCAGAGGCTTTATAACCCCTCCCCCCATATTGCATGCCATTGATTCCTGCTGTTTGTGTTTTTAAGATGTTTTGAAATACATTCTGAATGTCCATGGTTGATAATGCCTTATTTAATATTTCTTTGTGAACTTCATCCAGAGATGTAAGTATTCCTTTGGTCAAAAGGGTGTTAATTTTCAAAATAGCAGAGATATTAAATATACATCTTCAGTTCATGTGTCATGCCAGGTACCCTTGGAGAGCAATACATGACAAAAGGAGGGGCTTGCCCGCCAGATTGTCTCAGATGTTTGGGATCTTTAACACATGGCCAGAGAGAACAAACCCCTGTTTTGTATCCACTCAGACACACACAACACTTAGAAAGGAAAGAAAAGGAAAGTTTATTCAGCAGAAAATACAGCAGGCACAAGCTTTTAACTCAATGTTATTTAGGCAGTCAATATTCCTGTTGCATCCCAATCTTATTCCATATCTCTAAAGAGTTAAAGAGCTTTCTGCCTAATAGAGGGAGGAGGGGGGAGAGAGGGAGAGAGAAGCTAACAAAGAGAAAGAGAGAAAGGGGGTCTATTAACCATTCTGCTGGGTAGACTCTAGACCATGGGTCCTCAACCTACGGCCTGGGGGCCGGATCCGGCCCACCATGCCCATTTATCTGGCCCACCATGCCCATTTGGACCTGCCGCGCATGCGCCCGTGCCCACAGGTGCATCCTCTGCTGCACACGTCGCCCCGCGCATGGGGAGGAAACGATCTCCAAGTGAGCAAGCCACTGCCTTGTGCGCCTGCCCCTTGGTGCGTGCCTGCCCCCGCCCACGCCTCGCTTCACCTCGTGGCGCGCCCCACCTCACCTCGCCTCGCTGCATGCCCTGCCCCAGCCTCAGCGCACGTGCCCGCATGCACTGCCCCCATGCCGGCCCGCACGCACCGCTGGCACCACCTTTCTGGCCTGCGCCCAGCACTGGCAGCTTTCAACTGTCCCCCTGGTGGAAAAGTTTGAGAACTCCTGCTCTAGACAGCATTCTTGTGCGTGTGGAGGACTGGGGTGCCAGGCCTGTGTTCAGAGCTGGCCTCCATCTGTGCTATGTTCAGAATCTGTCCCTCCTCTTCTCATTATGTCTCGAGCTTGTCTGACTCTCCTTCCTAAGTCCTCAATGCTTATCTTATTTCTCTCTGTACTTGCCACTATGGGGTGGATGAGTTTCCCAGACTTACGCTAATTCTTGGATGGGTGCTTGCTTTCTCTGGATGACCTTACCTGTTGTTGTCCATGGGTCAGTCTCCTTGCAGGGTTGTTTTGCCTAATCTCTTCAGGGGAAAGCCTGGCCTTTTCTCTGCTATAATTCGAGCACTCAGTTGTCTCTCCCACTGGTAGCCTGGAACACTATGCACTTCTTCCTGAATTCGAACCTAACCAACATGACCCACAGCCTGAAAGCCCATCCTGGCCTGGGATCTTGTTGTTATGGCATTAATATTGATATATACATGTGTTACAATGGTGCTGTGATTTCATGAGGGACTCTACATTTGAGCAGAGATGGTTCTAATTCTTTGTATAACCACTACATGTATGTGTGTTTTTTTCTTAATAGTTTGCATCTGAAGGGCAGGATTACCTGTCAGCTTTGATGGAAACAGGGGCTTGGATAGAAAATAGTGTTCTACCAGCATTTTTGAGAGATGAGCAGGAGAGCAGCTTACAACAGTGCAGTGAAATTTCTCAAGTGGTTATTCAGGTAATAGGTGTGTGTTTTGGGGTGGGGTGGGGTAGGGCTGCTTTTACTTAATCATGGCTTTTTGGTCAGTGCACTAACATTATGCTGGTTCAGGTACTACAGCAGCATGACTTGAATCAATCTTAGCTTAAATGAGTTCAAAGAGGCAATTCTTCAGTTCTTTTTCTCAGAAACCCATTGTTTTAGAGGTGCTTTTCTATCTTTTGTTTTACTTTTTACCTCACCAGGTTACTTTGTTTCCTTACTCTGTGTTCTCAGTGCTTCTCTTAGTTTGGTTCAAAGCTTTAAGAGTAACAACCATAATTAGGATTTGTCAAATGCAAGGATCATTCCAAACCATGGTGTGCAAACTGCCAAACATTTGCTCTCATTCTGATCTGGTTTTCAAAGCATGGTGCATTAATTTGGCCATGGCAAGCCATAGCTGAGCCTCTGAACTGGAGAACATTTTTCTTTCTTTTCAGGTAAAGCTGAGTTCTCATGAGTATTTTTAGTAATATTTCTGAGCAATTTATCAATTTAATTCATTGCAGTGTGTCTGAATAGTGTCTTAGTCTTGATAGATGCATCTAAATATGAATTGCTATACACAGAAATCTAATGCGGGTCAATTTTCTGCTCTTGTATGTAGATCTACCTTACAGTGTGTAAAGATCTTACAGCTGTTGGTCTTGCTGATGCAGAATTTCAAGCCAACCTTCTAAACATGGCATTTGTAATCATACATGGAGGTAGGACAAGAGTTTTTAGTTTCTTTTATCCAGAAACCATTAAAACACTATGAGGCTATGGGTGAACAGCACAATCTATTGAAATTTAACTTCAAATCTCATGAATATTGATAAGTTCAAGTTAACTACAGTGTAGATACCAAAATGTGAAAGCTGGTAACACTGCAAACAAGTGCATTGTTGAATAAAATATATATGTATTCAATTTATACTTTTTGTAAACTCATGGAAATATCTGCAAGTGAAGTTGCTGCAGTCAGTAAAAACCAAGTTATATATTGACTTTCTGTGCTAATACTAAGTTTAGTTTTATAAAAGTTGGTAATTCCAGAAAGTATGAGTTCAAGTGGATGGCTTCAATTGCATATTGAACATTGGTACATGTGCAAGAAATAAGGCTGAATGGATGGCATACATAGCAGGTATCAAAACAGATGCATCAGTAGAGAAGTGAATACCTTTTATTTTTAAAAGTGTACCAGCCTATAGGAGCTTAAACTGATGGGTAAAAGAGAATGTCTGTAAAACTGACTGTATGGGATGATCAGAGGATCAGTAACATCCCGGGATTGATATACTGTATATTTTGTGGGTGGAATATATTCTGAAACTTAAACTTTTGTTTGCTTAGACAGAGGCTACATCTTCATTCCAATGTTACTTTGTATCCTGAGAGAGATGGTTGAAGCATCTTCAACCTATTACAGTAAGGACCATGACAATTTGGTGGAGTTTCTTGACAATCTTCAGAAGTTGTTCCAGAAAATTCTGGAATGTTTGGCACGCAGACTCAGAAGGCAACAAGAGGAAGGAATTCAGGTATTTGCTATATTTAAATTTAGCCAGATTGAATTATTCAAACTGCTGTGTTGTGGAGAAAAACCTTAATATAACATGAAAGGTTTTCTATCAGATATGCACAACTGCTATGATTCACAAAGGAAAGAGTCTTATTAACTGCAATTTTGGGGAATGGTACACAAAGAAGGCTATTTATTTTGTTCTGAATATCTGCAGCATATTTCACACCTCCCTTTTTCAAGAATGAGTATATAAAACTGCTTTTTCAGCAAATGCATATTACTCAGCATTTTAATGAAAGGGTATCATGTTCAGTTGATGGTGAAGATGTTCTCCTGTGACTGAATTGAAATAAGTCCAACATTTGTTTGGGTATCTCTCAGTGGAAGCTTTGAGGAGTACATTTGAAGGCTATTATTCAAACCTGTATCACAGTAAATATCTCATATTTCTAATTCTGCTTTTTTTAAAAAGGTTCATGATAGGCAAGACATTATTGCAAATGAGATGAAATGTACAGAAATATGCCAATTAAATTGTGTTGAAACATGCCCAGATAAGGAAAACTATTGCTTACTAAAAGAATGAAGTAGGCATTAGATGCTGTAGCGTTCAAAGAGATTGTGCCATGTTTTTTCTTTATCCTGAAGAGCTTGTCTGCAATTTAGAGCTTGTGCAAAAGCACCAAAGAAAGACAGACTAGCTGAAATAGTCTCTGTTATTTCCTCTGTTGCATGCCTTTTCATAGTAAGACTGTTCAATTCTTCTTTAGCCTTTCATTCATCATTTCACATTATGTAGATGCATGACTTTTGCTGCTCCTTTTTATGGAGGAAAAATAATTCTGTACAAACAGAATTGTCTCGTCTTGACTTTGGCTGCTTTTAAGGTTCATAGAGAGATTTGTAATGCCTTAATTTTGCAATATTTTTAAAGGTCTGTGCTTAGGATTAGTAAAGGAAGGTGGATAAGCTTGTCTGTGAAGTTTGTTTTGTGGAAAAATTCAGTGATGTTCTACTTGCATGTCTTGGCTGGAACTGGATGTCCCCACTTCTGGATGACATTAGACAGCTTGCTACAATTGCTTTGTTGATCAATCTGTAATGGATAACTGCTGCAGTCATTATGGAATCTTTTTATATTGCAAATTATGTAAATGTGCCAAAAAGTGATAACTGCCTCAACATTTACTTTTAAATGGAAATGTGTATTAAGATCCACTGACTATAAGATCATGTTTTTATTTTTCTAGTTAATCCACTCTGTTCAAGAACCTCTTGGAGAATTCATACATATGGTCCAATGTTGTGCTTTGACTTCTTCAGCGGTGCATCAAGGAGTCCTTTCTTCCCTGTTAGCTGCCGCAGTTGTAGAGATAGGATATACCTTACAAAAAAAGGTACACGGATTTGTCTTGTTCTGTTTATATGTATGCTTCTTTATATGTATGAACCAGCCTAGGATTAATTCAGTCAAAAATGGTTCTTGAGGAGAGGCCAAGCAAGCATTCATTGTCCTATTAGGAAAGCAGCGGAAGATAGCATACCCAATATAGATGGACAAGCCATACTGTTGTTCAAGTTCAGTTCCCCATTTTAATGTGGTTTGCTCTGACGTACAACATTGATGGTCTAGACAAGTACAATGGGTGGGGAATATCTACCCCTCCAGGTGTTGGATTGCAACTCTCATCACCGCTTGGCATTATAGCCACTAGGAAGAGTTGCAACCCAACAACTTCTGGAGGGCCACATATCCCCCATGCCTGGCTTTGATCATGATGGCAGGATCAATTTTCTCTGAACTCTAGTTCTAATGGTTTATGTTAAAAGGATATCATAATTTTTGAACAGCTAAATCAATGGAGATTTTTTTTGCAGGGTATGTAAGGGGCAGGGTTATAAATCTAATGGGGCTGAGCTTGCACATCACACTAAGCTTCCCTGAGAAGTTATGATTTGGATATTTTGTCCTTCATTCCTGACTGACAAGCTTAACCAGCTTTCCGTGACTTATTTCCCCCTCAGTCCTTCTCGTTCCTCCAGGCCACTGCCAGCATATTTCCCAGGGGCCTTTATGGCAGACATCCTTATTTCCTCATTCCTACATCTGTACCCTTTCTGAAATTGGTCTGCTGGGGTCTCCAGCTGACCCAGGAAGCTCCCCACATGCACGCGCATCAGAATGCCTAAAGAAAATCATTTTCTGAGCCCTTCTGAACTTAGAAACATATTTGCAACCCCTTTTTTCCTGGGTCCTTCTCAGTGTCCAAAGCTCTACCTTTGCTAGTGAGTACCTTTTAAAATGTTGTTTCACATTACATTGAAGTAATCATACCTAGTCATTAAACTGCCTTGCTCCTGTAATTGCCAGCCCCTTTCAGCTCTCTACCCCACCCCTTGGGCTTTTCAGGGCCTTCTACTGGTCTCTGTTACTAGCCACCAGATGTGCATGAGCACTGCAGAACGGGGGAGGGAGTGTTGCCAAAATATGCACATTCTACAGTAGAGCAGTACAATGGAAGCGGAAACAACGCAAAAAACCACTGGAAAAATGCCAAAAGAAAATAACACAAAAATGACTAGAAAAATGTCAAAAAGAGAGCCAGTGTGGTGTGGTTAAGAGCATGGGACTGGGACTCAGACGATCTGGGTTCTAGTCCCCGCTCAGCCATGGAGCCAACTGGGTGACTTTGGGCCAACCACAGACTCTCAGCCCAACCTACCTCACAGGGTCGTTGTTGTGGGGATAAGATGGAGGAGGAGAATGATGTAAGCTTCCTTGAGCCCTTTGTAGGAAAAAGGCAGGATACAAATTGAAAAAATAAATAGATAAAAATAAATAAATAAACAAACAACCCCAAACTTGCAGTGTTTTTAGGATGCTCTTCAGTGTTCAAGTTTCCTGCCAAAATATAATAGAAAATAAAAATGCACTCTGTGGAGGAGGAGGGATGAGAGAGAATGGCAGCAGTAGCAAGCTTATGAGGGTTTTGCCATTCTTGTGGGGCTGCTTGCTAGCTGTTTACAGCAACCAATGTGAAAACTATCTTGTTGGTTTCAGATCTGACACTAAGGAACCCTACCGTATAAGTGTCCCAATTGCTTTCACAATCTTTTCTTTATTTTCCCCTTTCTTGTGCAAGTGTGTGCATTTGAACACATGCTGCTGTGAAATGTACATAGTTTTACCCATCCACCTCACTGCTCTGTACCCCACATGTATATCTGATCACTGACAAGACAAACCAACAGAGTGAAGTGGTGAGGACAAAGAGAGCAGGAGCCAAAAATATAGTTGGTGTGGGCACTTTGGAGGCAGGTTTAATTATTGTGGGAGAGTTGCTAACAAGGCAAGTGCTGAAGTGGAGAATGAAATGTATGAGCTTATGAACTTCAAATGCTAGTAGCCAGTTGTCAGGCCCTTTGATCAAACCCAGCATGAAAGCATTATAAATGCCCCTTCTTTAGTTAAAGCACTTAATTCAGTCTTCTCACTAAATAAAAGCAAGTGCAACATACCATTCAGGTCCTTTCCATTTTAGTGGATGTGAATAGAAATGTACATTGATCATTAGTATGATTTACATCAGAAGTAATGACACCCTAACAAACATGGCTGTTGCAGGGAGATTGCTATTTCCCAAACCTCTTATGAGCTCTTCTGCATTCATCATAAGGTAGAATGGCTTCCTATAGTTGTAGGAAACCTATTCTCTCTCTCCCTCTCCCTCTCCCTCTCCCTCTCCCTCTCCCTCTCCCTCTGTGTGTGTGTGTGTGTGTGTGTGTGTGTGTGAGCGAGCGAGCGAGAGAGAGAGAGAGAGAGAGAGAGAGAGAGAGAGAGAGTAGTGATGTAAGTAGATAAGTAGCTGCCCCATATTTTACCTCAACAATGATCTCACAAAACACCTAGGGTGTAAAGAGAGGAGTGTTCTTCCAGCTTTTCTGTTTTCCAAAAGGTGGGGTCATTTTATCCTTTTAAAAAACATAATTGCAGATAGAAGTTATTATTTTTTGCAGTCATTGCTATTATGCCTTTCTCCACCCTACCACCCCACTCCCCAGACTGTAGCTCTTCCAGCGATGACTAACGATTAGTAAAGTAACATAAAATATCATTTTTTGCATGTTCCTTTGTCTCTCCTCTATTTTAGGCATCACATTCAGAAGACCTAATTCCACCTAAGACCTTTTCAGATCTCCCTCCCTTATCAAGTTTTTTAATGGCAATCATGAATAAATCGGCAAATGTAGTCAGGTAAGCTTTGTTTTCCTCAAAATGGAAACACAGCTGGAAAAGCAGTTTCAAGGGCATAGCCATGATTTATGAATTAATGTGGAGTAAGTGCACACTGAGTCAGAGCACCTTCTTTCTCTGTACCATACAGAGGACCTCTTGTTTGATGTGAACTTTGGTGCCAATGTTCAATATTAAAAAGAGAGCTAATGGATGAAATAGGGACTGGAACAAGTGTTAATTTCTTAACTCCAGCAGACTCATACTGTATAATGGCATACCTTATAATGAACAGAATTAGTACTTTTTTAAAAATTAGAACATTATTTTAGCAGCACTAGTTACATTGAAGATCCATTAACGATGGTTCCACTATTTTCATCTGCTGTACAATTTTTGAATATTCAGAAATCTTTCTCTTCTGTTTGGTTTGTAAAGTAAACCAAAGACAGTCTGGAAACAATGTATTACAACCCAACAATATGTTCATTAGATTATTGAGGGTGCCATGCCAACCAGTTTGGTTATGTTGCTCTGCTCAGCTTGCTAGCATGGGAGGCAGACCTTCCTCAGAGATGGAAAGGAAGTCCACCTCCTTGGAATGCTCCATCTGCTCTCTTCCAGTGCATGGCAGGCTCTTCTGCAACAGATGCTTTTGCCTCACAGCCAACTAGCTCTTCTTGGGACTTTAAACTAACAAATTGCAGTCTTTTCTGATATCTGCTCTGCCCAGAGAAGTGTATGAGTGAGGGCTCTTCTAGTTTTTCATTTTGGAGCAGAATGAAGAGGGGGTCCATCGTCCTCAGAATAATTAAAAACCTTTTTTGAATCTTTTCACTGACACGTTCAGCACTGATTATAAGTAGGCTTGGGTAATGGGCAATTGGGATTTGATTGTTGGTCAGTGATTCACTGAAGGAGATAGTACTAGATAATCACAAGATAACCATGTGAGGTGCCATTGTAAAGAGAGGATAAATGTAACACAAATTTTCAACAAGGCATTATTAACAAGTAATAAGGAAATGCCTTATTACTTGTTAATACTTAAGGTATCCTTGTGTAAGGAATAGAGTGCCATGTTTGGATCACATGTTTCAGAACAATACATTGTTCTAGCTGTTCACTTGAATTCAACAGAGTGAATTGTACTCTAGGATCAGAGATTAAGGTCCTTGGTCTGTTTTAGGGGGGAAGGTCTGCAGGGATAAAAAGCCATAGAAAATGTACTACATTAAGATAAGGGGAAAGATATTGAGCTGAAGGCCCAAGAATAGATGATCTACAAATTGCACAGGATCAAATGGTGTTAGACGTGGAGGCTAAGATGGGTGACAGGGTTGAACTGGCTGGGTGTTGGCAAAAAGTGGTAACACTGGGCTAAGGGTGAAGAAAGAAGAAGCTGTTTGGAGATTGCTGGGAAAGAAGTGATAGCAGAGGAAGTGGTCGTGGAACCTTAACATTTAAGATCTCTTAAACCTAAAAACTCTGAAATCTCAGAGTGGTTCCCTTGAGTTCATTCTTGGAGAGCTTGACTCTTTACTACTTTTGTGTTTATTGCATATTCTGTTCATTCTTAGATCTTTTTTTAATGAATTAATGGACTATATTAATTCTGAAGAAATTGAAGGAATTATTAGCATTTCAGCATCGGTATATATTGTTGCTTTACTTAAAGGTGAGTAAAAATGTTTTGTTGAGTTAAGTGAAAGTGGTATGTGTTTACGTCTGATTTTCAGACTGCCTAAATGCTTTTGACTATGTTTCATCAAAAACCCCAGAGTAAACCTATTAGTCCTATGAGTTATTAAAAAACAAGAAGCAGAGAGTAGAGCTAAAGGTTTTCACAAGGGAGCGAATTATATGCAATGTGATAATAACAAGGGTGCGCACGCACACACACACCACTTCCAGGATCTGTATTAGGACTGGTACCATTTTTCTTCTTATACATGATCAGCAGTGAGGTAAGTTTGCAGGTGATGGCAAATTATTTAAGATGGTGAAAGGCCTAATAAGCTGGGATATACAGCAAAAAGTCATTCCTAAAAAGTAGTTTAAAAGTTCTTCATAGTTGCTGTGCATCATGCATATGGGCTGTGCACCTATATGGAACCGAGCTTCGGGAAACCTTCACAGCTGAAGAATTGCAGGAACTCCCTCCCTCCCTCTTCCAGTGCACAAGTTAAGTATTTCCTCAGTTCCTCTTCAACCACTGTTGTGTTTCCTTGAGAACTCCTATTGCCCATTGGATTGAGATTTGTCTACTTCTGAGGAGTAGGGAAAGGACTTGGCAGTTTCGGGGTTACCTAGTGAAGATGCTCAGGCAGAGAGTGGGAACTAACCTGCCTTAGAAAAGGAAGGAGGTATTTGAGAGCTGGAAGTGGTGGCAGTGAAGGAGGTCCTTCTCCAGTCAGGAGCCAACGGGTGAAACCAGCAGACTACTTATAGAGTGTCTGGCATCCCCTCTGTCTAGGCCTCAAGCAGCAGGGGCCACCCTGAGCGTGAAGGGAGAAACTTTTCTGAAGGGGAGGGCAGGAGGGGGCATTTCAGTTCGGATGCAGATCTTTACATGGGCAGATGATGATGATGATGATGATGATGATGATGATGATGATGATTATAACATTTCTATGCCGCCCCTTGCCGAAACCTCGGGGCGGCTTACAACACAACCCACAGGAGAAAGATACTTTGATTTATACTGTTATACTGATTTATACCCTGTAAAGTTTTAATCAAAGGCCTGTCTCCTGCTGGAGAGAAAAGAGGAAGGGAGAGGACTGCTCATGACACACCAACACCTTGCGGAGCTTCTTAGTCATCTTGCAGGCTTTGATAAGGAAATCCTTTGAACTGCTGGCTACCACAGATTTTCATGTTTTATTTTGGAATGTGGTCGTCTTCATCACTATTATGTGAGCTTTGTGCTATCTGAATAGGCCCTCCTTATTTGATTTTAAGGCAGCACTCCATCCCGATGTTTCTTTCCTTCCAAAGCTCCTTGAAAGCACCAAGCTTTCACCTTAACCAGGATATTACACTATTCACATTCTTCCTGCACCAGCCTTGCCCCTTGACTATGCTCTGCTTCCTAAACTGAGGCTTTTCACAGGTCACAGTGACTTTTTGTGTGCAACAGAGGTAAGAATAGAGGCTTGATGACTAGCAGAGTAGATGATCAATGCTGTTATATTAACTTATCAGCTTGCAGAGCTAGAACTTCTAAGTCCTACAGAATTCATTCTTTCTGTGGAGTTTCAGCATCAGTTGTGTTCAGGGACCACATTCAACTACCAGAACTGTGCTGGGCAGCAACATAGTAAAGAGTGTCTACCTTTATTCAGCCCTACATGCTGGACATTTGTACAGGAGCTGAATACTCTTTTGGAAGAGCAATACTTTCTTCAGTACTATGAGAAGGACACTTTCCCCACTCCAGAAAGTTAAGCTTGCTAGCGACCTGTATAGTGTGATACACCAAGACCACAAAGAACAAAGAATAGTTCCTTTCCTGCAACTGTAGTTCTCCAGGTGGACACTGATCTCTGTATTCACACAATTTACCCACCATGCCCACTTGGGTGTCCAGAATCATACTGGCATTTCAGCTGGATATTCTGTCAGTGTCGGCATTGCTCTCCATATTGGGATTGAAGCCAGGGTTTCTCTTGATTCTCAGGCCGCAGAAGGCAGGCCTGGGGAACGAGGGAGTAGGCTGGAATGCACTAAGGACATGCTCACTAGAACAGCAGGGAACGTGTTCCTACTAAAATTTCTCAGCTTTGAAGGTTTCCTGAAGGGAGGTTCTATGCAGGGGCAGAGCCCATATATGTGAGAACACTACTCAAAGAACTGCAGTTAGCTGTATAGTTATTATTTATAGTTAAATGGCATTAAAAGTGGTTAGACCCAATTAATTGATTCAGGACATATAAGAGAACTTCAAAATGCGCCAGGTACTAAATTAGCTGCCACAGGGTGTCATGATGGCTACTGCCTTAGTTTGAGAAGGAAGGGAAACAATTCCCATTATTTTTCTATCAGTACTGTTAGCTATTAACTGCTAGAAACTCTGTGTTCAGAGGCAATGTACCTTTCAGTACTAATTGCTGGAAGCAAACATCACAGGAGAACTGGTGCCTTCATACCCATGACTAACCCAAGTCACATTGCTTTCAGTAGATCTTTTTCGAGTATGACCAAGTCTGGATCCAACCCAAGAAGTTCCCAAGTAATGCCACAGTCAGTAACTTGCGGACGGTGCATTTGCCCTGGTTCAAATATTGAATATCTATCTATAGTTGCTAACAAAAGCAGATAGTGGAACGGCCCTTAAACCACAGTGGTTTGGTTCTTTGACTGTATGAGATAACATTCTGCACTAGTTTGCACAGAAGGTGTGTTCCTTTCTTCCTGCAAGAAACAGGATCTAGTTTGTTTATATGTTATACAGTCCTGTTTTAGAATGAGATGGCCCAGTTGGAGCTGAAGTTCTGTTTGCTGCTGAAACTCTGGTAATATAGATCTACATTAATGCCAACTTAAAACTGAATTACCAGAAGTGATGACTTTCTTGTATATTGGGCTTTAGAAGTTTTTGATGCAGGTGTTGCTTGTTCAAAGCTTTTTTTTTTTTTTTAAAGATGTGTGTTGTCATTGTTATGAGTTCTGTTTTTTTGGTTTGCTCTCTGTAAACTTGCCCAGATACTTTTTACGTAATTGGGACAGCATACAAAAACCTTAAAAAAATGTGTACAATTGACATACAGTTGTATTTCCTTCTTTGCATGTTAGAAAAACACATTGTTAACATTAACCGTGAAGGGGTTTCTGGAGTATGAAACATAAAATTAGTAATCAGGGCAGTGCAGTTTTCCCCCATGAGTGATTTTTTTTCTTTATATTCTTAGCTGCATTTTAACAGGTGAGGGCCTAAAGCTTATTGAACTATTGTGCTTTAGAGTTTGCATAAATACAAATACTTTGCATTTAAAATCACTCTATGCCCAGCTTTAACTGTATGAATTATTGCCTATTTTTTCATGAAAACTATATGAATGTCGATAACTGGCGTATTTACCAGCATATAAGGCAAGGTTGATATTTTGGGCTGTTTTTCTGGTGTTTGTCATATGTTGGGCATACAAGACAACCCCCAATTTTTGCTTCACTATTTTCAGTTTCAAGGGTTCTCTTATATGCCAGTATATATGGATATATAGTTAGCAAAAAAACAGCTAGTATCTTTAGGGAAAAAAGTGAATATCTCTAGAGTGTTCATGTCCACTGAGGAACAAGACACGAGACTGGCTACTGCTGAAACAAAGAGCATGGTGTCTGCAAACAGAGATATGCATGGATTTTTGCTAGAGATACTTGTGGTTTTTCCACTTTCGTAGGGGTCCTGCAGTTTCAGGCATCCGCTGGGGGGCTTAGAACTTATCCTCCACAGATAACAGGGGTCCTTCTGTACAATTAGTTTTTTCCCCTGCCGTAAAAGACAATCCCCCAATTTTTGCCTCAGTATTTCTGCTTTCAAAGGTTGCCCTATAAGCCAGTATATACAGTATAATTGTTACTTTTAATGTAGCCATCATTAACAGTTCTAACTTGAAACCATGCGGGACTAAACAAGCCTATTTTTACTTCCCAGTAAGGCTCACTTAAACATAATAATGTTTTTCAACAGGTAAGGAAAGGCCCTTGCATGTAAAGAATATAGCATCTACCCTTCAAAGAAAGCTAACTTCATACAGTGAGAATACCAAGGAAGATATTAATAGCATTCAGAGGTAAGGGAGAGAGGTTTACTTCTTTGAAATAATTCTGTCTTTATTTAATGCATGAGAATCATAAATGTATACACTAATCACTTTATTATCTAGAGTATTATAAGAACCATACTATTGTATTGTTTGTGGTAAACTATCCTAGATATATTAAACATAAGGCAGAAAACCAAATTAATCCTATCAGCATCTACATACAAGGTTCACAAATGGAGAAATTGACTCAAAGGCCTGTTTCATATCTAATCGAGAGCTGCAGTGCATAGAGGGCAAGGCCACAGGTATGCATAAGTCTGGTCCTAAACAGACTAGACTCTCGCTCTGGGGAAGCTGAAGAAGGAAGTTGGGGTTATGCATATCTATCTATTCTATCACTTCCTGATTGATATATAATTTAATCATATTAGTTGTCCTGTAACTGAATTTTCAGTTCTAATTTGGTTTGAAGACTTTCTGAGAAGGAAGAGGAACCCTGAGCTTGCACATGGTTTCAAGAATACTGAGTATTTGCGCCTTGGGTTTTTGTAGTATTCAGGCAAGGCACTATATTCCTGGGCAAAATGAACACGGAATACTTTTAACACTCTGGAAGTTCAAAATTTAATGAGACCATGATTTCCTCAGATATTGCTATATTTATGGGCAGGGACTTTTGCTCAACCATCATACTTACCAGTAATTATTCAACACTTTGCCTGTCTCCCATTTAATTTTGCCTAATTCCCTCATCAAGTATCCAGTCTTAGTATGGTTATCTAGCATTACATTGCTAGATCATACCCTGGTTTTGTAGCCAGGAATTACTCAGGCCGGAGACCCTCATGAACAGGAATTTCTTGCATCCTTCTGCCAGAAATACAAGCTCCCCATCATTGTTTTACACAAGGTGGGTGCCAGGCTGAACTGCCTCAGATGCAATGTCATACAACCTGTTGGAACAAAATGTTAAGCTAAACTGCTGGCCAGCAAACCTCTTGTTCGCATTACAGTAAACTCTGGTTTAGTGTGAAATTCCCATGCAGCCATTGCCTTCCTCATTGTAAAACTGTGCCTACAGACTATTTTGTGTGATAGCCATCTCCCTCTAGATATCCCTTGTGGACAAAGCATTGGCTGGGGATGGAAGCAGGGAAGAAAATAACGCATTCAGCATAGAGGGCTGCACACAGATGACTTCTTGCTCAAATCTGCCCGATCTCCAGTAATGTCTTCAGTGTAGGAATTCTTGTGCATGTCATGTGCAGAGAGCCTTTGGCTATTGGATAGTGTAAGAATGAAATAAATAAATCTGCTGCTGCTGCTGCAAAGGAAGATGCCTGAGTCAGGGCCTTCCCTAGGAAAGATCAATCTTGTCAACATGGCTCTTGCTAACAGTGCTGTGAAAGAAATTAATTTTAATTTGACATCTACTGTTTTGCATAAGAGCATCAGAAATGTCACAGTAAGCAGATGCTTGAGTTAATAGAAAACAATATTTGCTTATTTGCCAGTCATTTGTATAACTTACACAGCTGCTCCCTGCTCTTTTTTCAGAACCCTGTGCAAAACAGCTCTGCGAATTCTGGATGAAATACTGAGTTCTTGACCACATGATTACTTGCAAATCAAGGAAACAGGATCAATGATTCCAAAGATACCCAAATAACTGTGCAGTGTTTTTCCTTAAAAATAATGCTATTTTGAGTGCTGGTCCCTGTAACAGACACTCTTGAAAAAAAGAAATCATATTTGTACAAATGTTTTAACAATTATGTAGAGATGTTTTTTAAATGTTAAAATATTTTATACAGTGTATTAAATTTAGCTAGTATGCTTGAATTATATTTTGTATATATTTAAGGAACAGTCTTATGTTCTTTCTTTTGAACAAAAACCTGAGCTTTTCACATTAAATCTTTGAGAACAGCACTGCCTCATATGGAGGCACATTTTTTCTGTACAAAAAATCCTTAATTTTTTAAAATATGGTAAGTTATATATAAATAAATAAATTACACATAACACAATCATCTATTCATAACATGCAGTTACTTTTAAATATATTTCATATAGCAGTATTTAAACCTAAGTAATTTTTTGGAAAGGTGATACAATCACCAATAGACAGTAGCCACTTCTAGGGTGCAATTCAATGTGGCTTGTAGGATTACAGGCATCTATTGAAAGGACAAGAATGTGAAGGTTTGGATCAGCTCCATGCTTCTCTTGCCTTTAAAAATATTTAGTTGGCCAATTCCAGCTACCTCAAAGTTTTCCCTCCTTGTAAGGAGGGAGGCTGAGCCACAGCTGGGATTCCTTGGATGGTGGTGCCTCAGTCTTCTGCTCCTCCCCTGCCCTGGTCTGACTCCAAAGAAGGTCATCTGTTTTCGGAGTCCAGCTGGCATAGAAAGAACAGTGCTGGCTGAAGTGGGGTGGGCAGGTTGACACTGGGATTGCAAGCTATCTTCCGGCCACCCAGACAATGTCAGGGGGCCATGAAAGTGCACCATGACTTATTCTGATACTTGATGTTGAATAATTGAGGAGCCCCATACATTTATGACCTATATTTTTTGTTTTAAAAAGATTACTGGAAGAGAGTGTTCACAGTTTTTGCATGGATAGGTTGACCACTCCTTAACGATCTGCTTTAGCAAGTGTTTGATAATACCCTTCTCTTACAGCTGAGGTCTCCATCGTAAGACCCATGGGCACCAGTGTGCCTGTAGATCCCTTGCTCGATGCCCACCAGGCTTATAAACCTTCCTGTCTATTTTTTCTTTAAGATAACAAAATAGTGGGAGGTGGGCATGTTGCCAAGTCCTCCAGTGCCAATCGTTTGGATTCAAAAGAGTCGATTTTCAGAGCTCAGATTCCACTTATGCCTTACGCAAGGTGCAAATTACGTTTCTTTTAGACCACCAGTTTGTCTTTTGAGAAATGAATGTTTTGTGAACAGCCATGCCTAGCAGCCATTTTATGAATGGGCAGGCATTTTTGTTGGAACCTTCTGCACTAGAGCCCAGTAGACAGGAGAAGGCCTGCCCCTGTTCTGAGATGCCAGAATCTGCCCCATTTTGTCCGTTTGTTTATGTCTTACTTGAAATTCAAGCAGGTTTTTACAATTTCAGATCTTGTAAGCCCATTTTGTCCGCCAGTGGAGGTAATGCTGCCATAGGACATAGACTTGTGGGGGGCTGGGGCAGACATTTCCCCACTCACCCTGAGAACAGGCCAGGGTGCTGATAGTCTTCTCTTGACCATTTGTGCCCACACAGGACAATTGTTGGAAAAAAACGATATAAAAGCCCAGAAAGCAAAGGAATGTTCATTCGTTCATTCAGCTTATATTCCACTATACTGCTCCAAAGACTCTCCAAACAGCCGTTCTGAATCTGTTTTATTTTTTCATTCAAAATTTTGAGGAATACATACACACATATTCTCATTTAGAATCAATAATAAGCTTTGGAAGGCAAGTTTTTAGTCAAAGTTATTATTAATGTAAGATTGCAGCATTATATAATAATGCCTTTGAATATTGTAAAATAGGGTGGACCACATTTGGGGTTATGGGACCTTTCACATAAACGAGTACAGTAGCACTCACCATCTCTCCATTCAGCCTTGTTTTCACATTCATTGTATCTCAAATGCATGTGGACACATTTCCTCCCCACCCCCCTCCCCACCCCCCACCCCACCAAACTGCTTCTCCCCTGCTTGCAGTTCTGCCATCCTGCCTGCTTTAGCTGCTCTGGGACCACCCCTCTGCCATCTTACCTACCTGCATATTCTGTTCCTCCCTTCCTAAAATAGACCTCTGCTTCTTTCAGTCCCTTTTGCACTGCAGCAATATGGTTTGTTTGCCTCCCTGTCACTTCCTTCTCTTGAAGGGGCTCCACACATCTGCTCCAAGCAGCCTGAAGATGGAAATCAGTTTAAAAGCCTTCTGCTCCATTTGTAGTGGAAAAGTGAAATTTCAGGCCCATGGGAGATACCTTTCTTTCCCAACCACAAGAAGGGTAAGTTGGTTAAAATATACAGAATAAGCATTTTATTTATGTGAAATTTTTAAGAACATGGATTATACATACCTTGGCATGTGAAACTGCACTATTATATTTATGAAAATAAAGTGCTTTAGTTGTATTCCTATAATTCTGTATATGCTTATTGTTAGAAGGATTGCTGCAAGCTGTTGTGCCCTAAGATGCCAAGATTGTTTGCTTCCTGACAAAATACACAAAACATTAAAAATAGAAACCATTAATATAGTAAATAAAAAGATTTTATTTTCTGAGCTTAGAAGTAGCATGTAGAACTTACCATTTACCTGTAGCCATAGAAAGAACTCAGTATTAGAGGAAAAACGTATTTGCGGAAATAAATTAAGACAATTATTATTTGTGACAATAAATTAACACATGCAGTTAAACTTCATACTAGCATAACTAGGGTTGCAGTCCTATGCATCTTTAATTGCTGCTGAGTTCTGTTGAACTCTCTGGCACTTGCTTCTGACTAAGAATGAACAGGAGCAGACTGCTAATCCTAATTAACTGTAGAAAAAATCTTGAAGAAAAAAATTTTTTTTTTATTTGCCACAAAGTCTCAGTAAACAATTTATACTTTAAACAAATCATCACGAGTACTGCTGTAATCTTAAAGTCTCCAGAGTGTTAGCCATGGGTGCTTGTGGATGCCTCTCTTGGCTCCTGCTGTAAAGTCCAGGGCTTCGGTGGCTGGTAACTGTGATTGGAACACCAGGGCACAGGTGCAGAGCAGAGTCCTGCAGCAGGTTCCGAGGGCCGAAGGCATGGGGCACATTTGTATAACAGTGCAGAGTCAAGCCAGGGAGACAGAAAATTCAAACACCACAGTCCAGGATTTCACAGTCCAAGGGTCAAGTTCTGGAAAGACAATAACATTCTGAAGCAGGCAAGGTCAGGGAGGATGGGTGCAGGTACCTGTGAAGGCAGGGTCAGGCTAGAGACAAAGGCTGGAGCACGCTGCAGCACTAAAGAATTACCAGAGCAATGTTGTAGCAAAGAGCAGCAGTGCAGAGAAGCCTTCTATGCTGGTCCCCAGGCCCTCCAGCTGCACTTCATAATTGCTCCTCAGCTGTTCTTTGCAAGTGCCTGCACAGGCGTCCCTGGTTCTTCAGGCACTTGCAGGGTCACGCTGGACCTGATCCTGTTACCTGCCAAACCCCCTGCCTCTCCTAATTTTGACATTACTTAATGTTTTACATTACACTTTTTGACAATGGGGAGACTGAAATAATGGAAAGGGAAGTGGTTCACCTTTTATTTGGACTCAAAGGGTTTGGTTCTTTTGAAGCTGTGATCCCACGTCTTTCTTATGCTTTGGTTCTTATGCAGTTTGCCTGCTAGAAGTAATGTGCTTTGTAAGCAACCATGGCAGCCATTTTGTGGGAGCACCTTTTACCCTAAAAACTACCATACTTCTGCATCCTTGAAAGAGAATACTGTGCTGATTTCTGCAGCTGCCAGTGGAAGTTGGGCAGAAATCCTCTCTCAATAAATGTGTCTAAAGCCTTTTGGATACTTTTTGGGGATTGATACCACTGAAATGGAGATTTCCGTTTGCACATATGTGAGTAGGATCAAGGTGTTTTTCGCATCTTTTTTTTTACCCTGAAAAGTTAAGAATATTTCAGTGTGCTGTCCAATGTCTTGTTGGTAGTTGGGTCCTTCAGCCCCTAGCTGATGTAAACAAAATTTCAGAAATCTGCTACCAACAGAACTATATCACTAATCTAAAACAAAATACACTGAAATTCTTCTTCCTTTGTATGCAGCATGTCTTGACTTTAGAGTTTTTGCTCCTTTGAATGAGTAATGGAGGCCATTCTGCTTCAAAATGAGTCTATTGTTCATACTGTCAAGAAGGAGCATTATCTGCAGATTTGTAGGACTAATCACTGTTTCTGTGTTCTGAATAGCACTATGCAGAAAATTTATCTCTTATTCAGGCTGGTTCCATGGAAATGCAAATGGATTTAAAAATGTTTCTACCTAGTGCACCACCTAAAATTAATCCATAGTATGGTTAATATAAGGACAGTCGTGTTGCCCTGCACTTCTGTGCTGATTTGGGAACCTGCATGCTTCAGCCAAGGCAAGAGGCACATCAGGATTACAACAAGATGATCTTTTTTTCAGAAGTGTAATTTGAGATCTGCAACATGTACCCCTGACTTATTCATTCAGTCTACATTTTTCATTTTGAGATTGAGTCTTTCTATGCTGTAGACCTCATAGCCAGGATATCTGGTTCAGTGTTTGAACTTTTCCGTTTCTTTCTCCACCTCATGCTTTTTGTACCATCTAGCTGGCAGAACATGAAAACTTGTACATTCAGGGTGCATCTTTGGCTGGTTATTTTTCCCAACTCTGAATAAGGGACTTTGGATTTTTCCTCATGAGCCAGCATGGTTAATATTTGCTTTTTCACTGTAGTTGCATTTGTAATTGATACAAATGTAGATGGAGAAGAACATGAAACAAACACAACTCAACATAGCGTAGAGCTCATTTTAGAGCCTGCTCTTTGAAAAGCTGAATTACTTTTCTGCCACCATTTTGTTTATATGCAGGGTCACCCAGAGACACTATTCTGGATGATCTGATGCTTTCTCCAGAATCGGTTTAGCAAAGCCTCTAGCTGTGAAACATTTTCTGGGTAAGATCACTTGTATCTAGCCTGACATGGATGCTACACTA